TTTCACCTTGTGACTGAGACTTTCCCTTTTTGGTCTGTTTTGGGGGCGTGGGCATCTTTAGGAGTGAGGCATTCCCCACCAGTAAGAGAGCCTGCTTGATCAAGTGCTAATCATGCACTTAAGCACTTACTCTGACTGCTTCTCAGTCAGTCATTTCTGGGCACAGTAAGATCGTGCTCATTTGAAACCGTTGGCTTTGACTGTGAGTGACAGTGTACTTCACCAGTGCTGGCTGCACGGTGATGGTGAAGACCCAAGGACATTGGAATGGTAAATGACCTTTTTTTTTGGAATGAGGAATCGCAGATTAGGATCAAGGTGGGTTTGGAATCTAGGACCATTAAATGGCCATTCCCCTGACCCCATCTATGCTTCAGATTATCTGCTCTTTCAGACGAACTGAGCCCCATTTCCAGCAGGAAGGCCAACCTGTTTTTGTAGTTGGGCATGCTGCCCCTCTTGCCCATCAGGAATACAGTGAATTGGGCTGATGGTTGGATAAGGCTGTTTTATGGATTGTTAATTGATGAGTTAACAGCCTTCCTTGGCATTAGGTTAGGATAGTTGACCCAGAATTTACTTCCTGATGTGGCGGCAAGGGAGTAGGTAAGTTGCTGGTTTCAACACGCCTGATCACTCTTCCCACAACAGTACCTACTATTTAAAGGAAGGGAATATTCCTGAACTGCAAGTCAGGAAGTTGTAGGATCACTTCAGAGATTAGGGCACTTTGTGCAGTTTGAATCTGAATGAAATTCTTAGTGTACAATTATCTATTTTATTAATAATGTCACGTGTTCTGACTAGTCAACAGCCAGACGGCTGAATAAAAACAGAAAAGCAGATTCTGGAAATCAGAAACAAAAACAGAAATTGCTGAAAAAGCTCAGCAGGTCTGGCAGCATCTGTTGAGAGAAATCAGTTAATGTTTCGGTCCAGTGACCCTTCCTCAGAACTGCAAGAAGACTGATCTGTATGAGAAAGGTCCTGCAAGCCATATCAAGCCCAGAAGTCAAAACCATTGTCTTCCCATTACAACATTCGGCTGTTTCCCAAATTGACCTGGTCCCAGTCTCCTTTCTTCACAGCATCACAGAATTGTTTCACCACAGGAGGAGGCCATTTGGCCCATCAAGTTTGCAACCACTCCATTACCTAGTGCCAATCTTTTACCTTTTCCCATTTCCCTGCACATCATTTCTATCTGTGCAGTCATCTAATGCCCTCTTGAATGCCACAACTTCTTGACAACTTCATGTAGCTATGGCCGATCATAACTTAAAATATGCTGAAACCTCCTCTCGCAACCCTGAACCTGTACCATTGTCCTATATTTCCCTTGTGTTTCTGGAAACATTATTTTGGGTTTACTTCCTCTGTCCCATTAAACGCTTGTAAAATCCCTTTAGATGCTTTGGGGTCGGCTTATAGGAAAGAAGAGGTAAATCCCCCCTTCAAACTGGAGTCGAATCATCTGTGAGCAATGATATCTGAGAGATACAGGAATGCCACAGTGAGAACCACATGATAATCAGGTCTGTCAGGTTATGTGTTTCAGGTGCTTAGATAAGTCTGGACATGTTTTCATTACTTTCCAGGAGGGTGTCGAGAATCATGATCGTGTGTTCTGTCTTGCACAGCATTATGTAGTGGAGAGTACTACAGGTAGAGATGACCTTCGCATTCATCTTGCATCTTGTTATAAAGACCATAAGAGAGAGGTACAGAAGTAGTCTATTCATAGAGTCTGCTTCGCTGCTGAATGAGATCATGGCTGATTTGATAGTCCTCAACTCTACTTACCCGCCTTTTCTGCATACCCCTTGAATCTCTGACCGATTTAAAAATTGATCTACCTCAGCCTTGAATGTACTTGTTGAAGCTGCATCATTAACACTCAGTGGTTAACAAAAAATAGTAACTATTAAATTATGTGATTTTTTTTTTGGAAGAAAAGAGAACTTAATGATGCAATATTTTGCGAAACTTTCATGTGAAGACCTTTGGTGAATTGGATTGGCTTAAACTTAGACTTTTAACACGTCCAAACTCGCATGCAAAAAGTAGAGGCAGGCCATTTAGATCTTTTCCCTGACAATTGGGGTGCTTTTGTCTTGTTACCTTGCCAAAGATTGTGCCACCTCCACCTATGCAAGGACATATTTTACCATCAGAAAATTATGTAGCATGTCAGATACTGATTGTGGAGAGGGAAGAGGGAGCATGGTGAAATGGGGAGGAGCAACTGATGAGAAGTGGGAGTATTTTGAGCTAAGTTCCACTTCCCTGTTCCTTTTTCAGTGTCATCCTTCTGGAGAACATCTTAGTGAAGAAAAGATCAGTGATGCCTTGTAAGGCCTTGCATAGGGCAACTTGATCCTATTTAAAGTGAGGATATATTTGCCACAGCTGTGGTCTTGGCCGGTATAAACTTATTTGACAGTCAAGTATGAACCTCCATGGATTTGTCCACTCTTTGCAAGGCAAGCAATCTTTAATCTGTAATCCTATACTTTCAGTTGAAATCCATTCAGTCCATTATTGGAGATAGTGTGTGTAGTACATCTGTTCCCATGTTGCAAAATTTCTGTATATCGACTATTGTCCTCTTTCACGATGACTTTGGAATTCAGCTCCTATGTCCAAAAAGAGCAATGTGGATGTTTTCTAATCAAACTGTTCACAAATGTTATTACACACTTCTGAACTTCAACTTGGTCTCCTGGCCCAGAGGTAGGGACATTACCACTGTGCCACAAGAGCCTTCCAAAGTTTCATCTCCTACATTCTCTGCAGCTGTCCCTGCTACCAGTTTCTGTTGATGCTCATTTCTAAATTGTAAATCACGAACTGAAAAATACAAAACTCTTAAGTGTTTGTGCTGAAGTGGGAATATTTGCACTGATGCACGTGTGTACATTCTCTGACATTGCATTCTGAGAAGGAAAGAGGTCTCTGAGGAATGATCCCTGTGCATCTCTGGTGACTCTTGTTCTGTGTATAAAGCCCTTGGAAAACAAAAACTATGAATTAGCCATGACAAAGCAACACTCTTGAAAAACACAGTACTTAGTCTTCTCATACTTCAGTCATGATGAAATAAAGTTAACGTGTATTTGAGATTTATTTACTCTACCACCAATGAGTTTTCTGTCTCTCAATTTCCAACTGAGGGGGACAAAGATATGCCATTTATTTCCATTGCATTTCCTGTTTAGTTGTACAATGTGTCGCAGGGCAATCTGTCATTCATTCTCTTTCTTTTGTTTCTGATCTTTTCTGTAAGGGGCAAATATTAATCACTGGGTGAGTGAATTTCAATTATTAATTCTGGATACAGTGCATTGGCTGAGAGTGACTATCGTATGCAACACATAGTGTATGGATTGAGTGAGTGGGAGTTGTTGATGGTTACATGTGGAGGGAAGGAGATGCAGATCAAGTGAAGGCTGGGTGCTGCTGAAACTGAACTGAATGTGAGAAGTGATGAGATGGGAGTAAGCTTGGCAAGTTAGCATGAATGTGGAAGGGCTTGCATCGTATGCTGTAGTTGAACCAAGAAATATACTTATTCTCCTGACCCAGTTACATAATTAACCATTTCCTGCATTACATTTTAAGGCCAGCTGAGCAGAATGGTTGTGCTGCTCACCTTCTCAGACACTTACAACTATGTAACATTGGTGACAACAACGAATAATAATCCTGCCACTATTGGGAAAAGTATGTCCCCCCTATTTTTGACAGCATCCAGCAATATTTTAAGGGAAGCATCATGGAATCTTCTGCTGACCGTGCGTTTGTAAATATATCTTAGACAGCTCCTGGCTCCTCAAAATTTCATATCTGCATTGGCCACATCAAATATAAATTAGAGAAACTGATCTTCTGACTTTACTTCTTAACATTGCAATCGTCACACCCAATTCAAAACCTTCCTTACATTAATATCAGGTTTATTGTTCAATAGCTTTTAACCATTGGAGTTTTCATCACCTCATATGTCCATCTAATTGAAAGAAATCAATTGCTGCAGCGAATGCATCACAATTGAACATAGTTAATGCTGGGATAGACTGGTTATTGGTTTATCAGGAAATCAAGTGAAAAATGGAACTGGAGTTGAAACCAAGCAGATGGCAGTCTTTTCATTCTCCCCTTTCTATACTTTGATAATTACACTACTATGATTAGTTAACAATTCCATAATTGTTGGACCATGCAACTACCAGGATGGTAGTTGGGGAATTAAATTGATCTTTGTGTTTTTAGGCTGGATTTTATTCATCCAGTGATTACTATGTTCTCCTTATCTGTCAGAATCCATAACATGAATCTCTTGACAAGGTCCATAAAAACACCCAGAGCATTTAAAATAATTTGAATTGAAAACATTCAGCGCAATGACAAGACTGCACCCATTTTATAAACCAAAAGCAAAGTATTTAGCAATGTGTCTCAACAATTAATGTGCTGTACGGGTCAGAAATAAGGCATTTTTGGGTTGGGAGGTGCAAATGTGAGTGATTTGGACCCCACCCAAGATCAAAACGGAGCTAAACCTGTTCATTAACTAGTCTGAGAGGTTAATGAACAAGCCAAATACAACATGGACTTATATTGTTAAACTAATTGAGGTTTGATTGTAAAACTGCCACCATGGTCAGATTGCTGTAGTGCAGAGGAGAGCAGAAAAGCCAACCATGGATATTATGAGGCATATGGTACTACAGTTGTGTTGCTGTCCTAATAATTCAGAGACACAGACCAAGCTATGCAGGTTCATAATTCCGCCTCAGCAATTTGAAAACTTGTGTTAAGTTAAAACTTAAATTAAAACTTAGCACCAGAAAAAGGGACCATCAGATTCTGTTTAAAAAAACCCAACTTAGCGTTGTTACCAGTCTGTCTTGCGTATAAGGTCAATAGGAGCAAATCTGAGCACAGTGAAATCCTGAGGAGGCTGTGGACTTGACTTAATTTTTGTGCTTTCTTTACAGAAGGATCCTCACTATCTGCAACAATGGCTTGAAGCCTTTGTCACTTCTTTTGAACGAGTTATTGATGTCAGCACTTATGAGCCACTGCAGCGGAGGTGAGTTCAACAAGTAAAATATCTTCATACCGTTTAATTTTCTGCTCAGTAACCTCTTGCAGCCCTTTTTGTTAAAATTATGGGTTTTTTTTTCATTCCTCAATGTTATGCAATAGTCATCATGGGTGATGGCCACTTCACTGCACCTTAAAAGACTATCTAAGTCTTTATTGGAGTTTGGGAGGTTGGTGAGTGATATCATCAGTGTGTTATCAGGTTGTATCGGGATGTTAAGTGGATTCAACAGAGCAGATACAAAGAGACTAATGCAGCGGTGGAAAAATACAGAGCAAATAGACAGACAGACGATGTTAGAGTTATGTTGCTTAGAAGTGAAATTGAGAAATAATTTTTAGACACAAACGGCAGTGGAAATCTGGAATCTTGAAAAAGCTATGAAAGCTGGACCAATTGAACGTTTTTAGACGCGAACAGATTTTTGCCTTATAAAGATGGCCAATGACAAATGGAGGTAAAAGTGCAGGACTGAATTGTATACTCAAGTTTCTGAATTGGTGCTTGAATTCATAAGCTTCTGTCTCGGAGATGAGTAAGTTTCAAGATACTGTTACCTCAGAAGAAACAAGAGAAAAGTTTAGAAGGAGACTAAGTTATATTGATAAAATGGATAAGTCGGATGGAATAGCAAGAAAGAAATTATTGCTGCAGATTGTGTGAATGTTCTGGACCTCTGTTACAGAGGTGAGCAAAGCAATCTGTTGACCTTTCCCCAATTAACTCCAAAGGGTGAGCCTGAGTCGACTTCAGCTTGCTGTGTGTCACAGTGTAATGGCACAGCAGCATACCAGGCTTGCTGTTGTAACAAATTGTAATGTTGAGCCTTCGTTCACCTTTCACTTATTACCTGGTTCAGTAACTCTCTTAAACTCACCTTCTTCCTGTTAGCTGTCGTATGACATTAAAGGTAAGTGAACTGACTTAATATATATTTGACCCAATATGTTTGAGATTTGATTATGTTTTTGATTATAATTTTCATGGTGATTTTGCAGTTTTCATCCAATTCTGTTACTCACTTCCTTAAAAAAAAAGGAAGCCTTTTATTTACACGTCGCATCTTGTATAACCTCGGGCTGTCCCAGAGTGCTTTACAGCCAATGAAATCCTTTAGAGTGTAGTCATGTTGTAATTGTAGGTAAAGCAGCAATCAATTTGCACACAGCAAGCTCAAATAAACGGTAATAAAAACCAAAAGAACTGTGGATGCTGTAAATCAGGAACAAAAACATAAGTTGCTGGAAATGCTCAGCAGGTCTGGCAGCATCTGTGAAGAGAAAATTGGAGTTAACATTTCGGGTCCAATGACCCTTCCTCAGAACCCCTCCGGGTCACCGGACCCGAAATGTTAACCGATTTTTTTTTTTCTTCACAGATGCTGCCAGACCTGTTGAGCATTTCCAGCAACTTATGTTTTTGTTCTTGATTTACAGCATCTACAGTTCTTTTGGTTTTTATTACCGTTTATTTGAGCTTGCTGCTCCACAAATGTGAGGGGGGTAGAGACAAATTGTTTTTGATTCTTGCTAGGTCAAGGGCTGATCTGATTAACATTTTGTTGCTATGGTTTCAATCACTTTTTTTTGTTCCAGACCTGAAGAGATGGTCGCAGAGATTCCACTATTGCCAGGCAATGTGCTTCAAGTTCTGAGCCAACAACTGAGTGAATGTGTACAGAGATTATCCACTGAGGAGGCTGAGATAGGCCTTGGGCAAGCGCAGCTCCTGATAAAATTTCTCATTATTATCTGCAGGTGCAAATATTTGCGTTATTCCCTTTCTTTCTTGTTACGTTTTCATATTTTACATTTAATTTGCTTCTTACATACAGGATTGGGAGTGGGAGCAAATTTTGCCAGGACTAGAAGCAGTGACAGTGAAGCTCTGAGCAAGTTATCTATAAGGATAATACGATAATAATGGTAGGGAATCTTAAGTTGCCAAACATGGACTGGGGCTGCTGTGGTGTTAAGGGCTTGGATGGAGAGGGATTTAAGTGTGTACAAGAAATTTTTCTTATTCAGTACGTGGATGTACCCACTGGAGAAGGAGCAAAACTAGACCTTCTCTTGGAAATAAGGCAGGGCACATGATGGAGTTGTAAGTGGGGGAGCACAGTGGGGCCAGTGATCATGATCAGTTTTAAAATAGTCATGGAATAGGATAGACCTGATTTAAAAGTTAAAGTTCTGAGTTGGAATGAGGCCCATTTTGACAGTATTAAGCAACAACTTTCAAAAGTTGATTGGGGGGTGAATACTCACAGGGAAAGGGATGGTTGGAAAATGGGAAGCCTTCAAAAATGAGATAATGAGAGTTCAGAGATGGTATGTTCCTGTTAGGATGAAGGGCAAGGTAGGTGTTAGGAATGCTTGAAGACAAGAGAAATTGAGGCTGTGGTCAAGAAAAAGAAGGAAGCATATGTCAGGTATAGAGAGCTGGGATTGAGTGAATCCCTAGAGGTGTATAAAGGCAATAGGAGTATACGCGAGGGAAATCAGGAGTGCCAAAAGGAGACATGAGATAGCTTTGGTAAATTTGGGTTAAGGAGAATCCAAAAAGATTCTACACATACATGAAGGACAAAAGAGTAACTAGTGAGAAAATAGGGCCCCTTAAAGATAACCAAGGCTGCCAATGTGTGGAACTGCAGGAGATGGGTGAGATACTAAACAAGTATTTCACATCAGTTTTTACTGTAGAGAAAGGTGTGGAAGCTAGCGAATCTGGAGAAATAAATAGCATCTTTAAAAGTGCCCATATTACAGAGGAGGAGGTGCTGGACATCTTAAAATGCATAAAATTGGATATATCCCCAGGACCTGATCAAGTGTACCCCAGAACTTTGTAGGAAGCTAAGGAAGTGATTGCTGGGCCCCTTGCTAAGATATTTTTACTATCAATAGCCATGGGTGACTGGAGGTGGGCTTAATGTAGTGTTATTATTTAAGAAAGATGGTAAGGAAAAGCCTGAGAACTATAGACTGGTGAACCTACCGTTAGTGCTGGCTAAGTTATTGGGGGCGAGTCGAAGGGACAGGATATACATGTATTTGGAAAGGCTAGAACTGATGAGTGGCCGTCAACATGGCTTCATGCGTGGGATATTGTGTCTCACTAACTTGATTGAGTTTTTAAAAGAAGTGACAAAGTGGATTGATGAAGGCAGCGGTGGACGTTGTCTATATGGACTTCAACAAGCTTCCACATGTTAGACTGGTTAGCAAGGTTGGATCACATGGAATACAGGGAGAGCTAGCCATTTGGATTCAAAGTTGGCTTGAAGGTGGAAGACAGGGGTTGGTGGTGGAGGGTTGCTTTTCAGACTGGGGGCTGTGACCAGTGGTGTACTGCAAGGATCGGTGCTGGGTCTACTGCTTTTTGTCGTTTTACGTAAATGATTTGGATGTGAATATAGGAGGTATGGTTTGTAAGTTTGCAGATGATTCCAAAATTGAAGGTATAGTTGACAGTGAAGACAGTTATCTCTGAGGACAGTGGGATCTTGATCAGATGGGCCAAATGTAAGGTGTTGCATTTTGGTAAGGCAAATTAGAATAGGACTTAGATACTTAATGGTAAAGTCCTGGGAAGTGTAGCTAAACAAAGAGACCTTGGGGTGCAGGTATGTAGTTTCTAGAAAGTGGAATCACAGTTAGACAGGGTAGTGAAGAAGGTATGCATGCCTTTATTGGTCAGTGCATTGAATATAGGAGTTGGGATGTCATGTATACAGGGTATTGGTTAGGCCACTTTTGGAATACTGCGTTGAATTCGGGTCTCCCTGCTGTAGGAAAGATGTTGTGAAACTTGCAAGGGTTTACAAGGAAGTTGCCAGGGTTGAAGAACTTGAGCAGTGGGGAGAGGCAGAATAGACTGGGGCTGTTTTCCCTGGAGTGTCGGAGGCTGAGGGGTGACTTTATAGAGCTTTATAAAATCATAAGGGCATGGATAGGTTGAATAGTCAATGTCTTTTCCTACGTTCGGGGAGTCCAAAACTAGATTGCATAGGTTTAAGGTGAGAGGGGAAAGATTTAAAAGGAACCTAAGGGGCAATATTTTCACGCCGAGGATGGTGCATGTATGGACTGAGGAGATGGTGGAGGCAGGTGCAATTACAACATTTAAAAGGCATCTGGATGGATACATGAATGGGAAGGGTTTAGAGGGATGTGGTCCAAATACTGGCAGATGGGACTAGATTAATTTAGGATATTTGGTCGGCATGAACAAGTTGGAAGAGATGTACAGCACGGAAACAGATCCATGACTCTGACTCTAAAATCTTGATGGGAAGAGTTGAAGGGCAAGTTATGCGGTGTTTGCTGTAATTGCCCAAAGAAAGTAAAGTCTGCTATTTTGGCCTCGGTTTGTTGAAGAGCCTGTGAAATTAGAACATGAGGGTATAAAACAGTGAATTCTCCCGACAAGTCAATAACCTCTTGTCATTTAAAGAGGTCCACTGTATGCACAGCTAAATCTCCCAAGTAATGGTAAAAGAACAGGTTAAATAGATTTTCCATGATAATGGTTAGAAAATAGATGTTGGCTATATGATGACATATCGTCTTCCAGATTCTCGCAGATGTAGTGATTGTAATGAGGTCTGCCAGCTGGACATTGTAAAATATGGGTTCCCTGATTGGGTCTGTTAATCTGGTCCAATTAGGGAGCTGTCAGAGTGGCTATCAGAAACTGACAGTCTGGATGAGGCAGTACTATAGGTAAGGACTGTTCATGTGTTAATAAAGGGACATTTGGTGACGGGATACCAGCCTGTCTCGAGTTATTTCAGCAGCAGTCATGCAGATGTTGGTATGAGGAGAAAAAGAATCAGCAGATAGGTATGGCAGGCATTAGCGTTCTGACGTTGGGCTTCTGTCACAGATCTGAACTATTACAATGATAAAGGATACTCGATCTTTGCACAAATGATAGAGGAAGCTGAAGGAGAAGAAATGGGGGTTGGTCGCATTGCATGTACATGTATTTCATGAGTTCAGCCATTCCTATAAATCAGCAGCCACTCCACATCCGTGTTTTTTGGCGAGCTAAATGTATGAAGCAATGTGTACAGATTGTACCTTGTAAGGCTTGAATTTTGTGGAGTCCTGAGAGGTATGGTACCCTTGTGGTTGTGGTCCCATGGCACTTTGAGGAGATGGTCAAGTGTCCTTTGGGTCTATTGGAATTGTTAAAAATAAAGATCAAGGTGCAACTGCCAAGGGAGCTGTCAAAAGGAGCCATCATGCTGGCAAGTCAGTTCGGACTCTTGCCTTTTCACTACTTAAAAAAGAAAACTGGCATGTTAAAAGAAAATCAATACAGATAATTTGATCTGTCTTTTGATAAGTCTGAGGGGTTAACATATTGATGCACAACAAATGGCATAACCTTTTGTTTTCAGTGGGGTGCATGCCATTTGATATTTTAATTTTCAATTAAAGCTGCTCATAGACTCTTTGAAATGGGATTGTCAATTTCAGTCCTTATTTATAAGGGTTTAAATATGGTCATATGTGGTCAGTGTTTATTTTATCAATGAAGGTTTTTTTAAAGTCAGCTGTTCAGGAGGCATTTCAACATGGTTACTGAGGACTGGCAATGGTGGAGACTGAGTGAATTGCCATTGTATATGTAATGGCAAAGGGAAGTGGATAGAAGCCTAAGGTTTGGCAGGAGTTAGAACTATGTTGGCTCAGGCACTATGAAGGGGAATGGAGAATGGTACAGGAACACAGTTGGGTATAGGAGCTATACAGGGACAAGGGAGTGGTTGCAGTACCACAGATTGGCCATGGGGATTGTGTGCGGAGTTGTGGGTTGAGAAATAGTCTTTGTATGGTTTTGAGAAAAAATCTTCGACATTGCACACATCCACTGGTAGGCCTTCTGCCCGGATCTCTTCTGCATCTGGCAGCCTCTGCATTGTTTCTAGAATCATTTGACTTACCTGCTGGAAACTAAGGCCCTGAAAACGAAACCTAAAGTTCCAGGACACTTTTTCTCCTGGATCAGGTTAGTGGAGCTGGGCAATATCCCGACTTTGCAAAAGCAGAACTTGGTGTTAGAAACATAGAAGGATCAAACACCTAGTCAGTGCTAAATGTGACGAGAATTTTTTTCTCCCCCTTGTTTTCCCTAATCGTCCTTTTGGGGCTTTTTAAAATAAAAAGCTCAAGGGATGTGGCCTTAGTTCACTCGGCTTACATTTATTGCCCATCCCTAATTGCCCTTGAGAAGGTGGTCGTGGGCTGCCTTCTTAAATTGCTGTAGTTAATTTGGTGTAGGGACACTCTCAATGTGGTTAGTGTTAGATTTTGGATGCTTGACCCAGTAACAGTGATGGAAAGGAGATATCTTTCCAGTTCAGGATGGTGAGTGGCTTGAGTGGGAGACTTGCAGTTGATGTTCCAGTGCACCTGCTGTCTTCGATGGAAGTGGACATCATGGTTTGGAAGTTGCTGTTTAAGGAGTCTTATTGAATTTCTGCAGTGCATCTTCTGAATGGTATACGCTGCTAGTATTGTGCAATGGTGGAGAGAGTGAATATTCCAGGATGTGGTGACAATGAAATTGCCACTTATGTCGTGGATGGTGTCAAGGTTCTTGAGTGTCATTGGACCTGAGCTCATTCAGGCAAGTGGGGAGTATTCCGTTACATTCCTGATTTATGCCTTGTAGATGGTGGACAGGCTTTGGGGAAACATAAAAACCAGGAAGTAGGCCTTTTGGCCCTTCAAGCCTGTCCGGCATTAAGTGTAATCATGACTGATCATCTTAGCTCAAAGTCATATTCCCGCTTTCTGTCCATATTGCTTGAGGTCTTTAAAATCTAAAAATTTATCGATCACTTTTTTGAATATATTCAGTGACTTAGCCTTCACTGTCTTTTTGTGGTAGAAAATTCCACAGGTTAACTTCCCTTTTAGTGAATAAAATGTTTTCTCATCTCAGTCCTATTTCGATACCCCATATCCTGAGGTTGTGACTCCTGGTTCTACACTGTCCAGGCAGAGCAAACAGTAGTGTTGCTGCCAAGACACTCTTGGTGATAAGTGATGAAGGACTATCGTGTGCAATTTTGATCTTTTCAGTTAAGAGAGGATAGACTTGCCATAGAGGGAATGCAGTGAAGGTTTACTAGATTCATACCAGGGATGGTAGGACTGTCATTCGAGAAGAGGGAGAGATGTTTAATTGGGCTGTAATCACTAGAATTTAGAAGGATGAGAAGGGACCTGATTTAAACGTACAAAGTTCTAGCAGAGTTTGACAGATTAGATGGAGATAGGATGTTTTTCTTGTGACCCCCGTTCTGGATTCCCCAAACAAGTCTCAGGATATGGGGTGGACATTTAGGACTAAAATGAGGAAACATTTCTTCACTGAAAGGGTAGTGAATCTGGGGAATTCTCCACCACAGAAGGCTATTGAGGCCAAGTCACTAAGTATATTCAAGACAGAGAGAGAGATCAATTTTAGGTTAAAGGCACTAAGCGTATGGAGAGAAGATAGAGGATTTGCCATGATCATTTTGAATGGTGGAGCAGGCTTGAAGAGCTGAATGACCTAAAACCACCCTAGTTTTTAGATTTCTATGTTTCTATAACTCACTCCCACGCATCCTTTTACCCAGATGTAAGTCATCTGAAGTCCTAAATGAGATTACAGTTTGTAATTCTTTCATTTCTGACCCCCACACCAGAAATGTACAGTAATAATGTCAATCTTCTCTCTACACAGAAATTTAGAAAATATTGAAGCAAAAGTCACTCCAACCTTTCACCCGGTTATAAACCTGTTGACTGTGTGTACTGCTGAGGTGAGTCTTTTGTGTAATTTAATTTGAATAACATTTTAATCCCATGATATATTTTACTTCCTTGTGAATGTACAATTAAGTTTCCAAAAAGATTTGAAAAAGAAAGGCTTGTGGCTTTGGTGATTTTTGGTGTTGAATCTTTTTGAAAGATGGGACTGATTAGAAAAAAGGTACAGGAATGCAAACATAACACATTTAGATGGTTTTAGAAATCATAGTACTTGTGGATATATGGTCAGGGATAAGTAGCAAAACAAATAGCAAGTCGTTACTGAAATGGGGTAGAGTTGTAGGGTTAGGAATTTAAGGTAGTTACCCATATTGACAAAAGATACGAAGTAGTGTTCACAAAGGTTAGTGGTGTGACTATTGCTGATCACCATACCAAAGAATGATTTAGACTTTGGATCTCTCCTTACCACAGAATTGTTGCAGCACAGAAAGAAGCTATTCAGCCCATCATGCCTGCACTGGCTGTTCAAACAAGTGTCATTAACTGAGTGCCAATCTCCCGCTTTTTTCCCATAACTTTACACACTGTTACAGTCCAAAAAATCATACAGAGCTCTTTTGAATGCCTTAATTGAACCTGCCTCACCATATTTCCAGGCAGTGCATTCCATAGCCTAACCACTTGCTGTGTTTTAAAAAAAAGTTCTCATATAATCCTTGATTCTTTTGCAGATTACTTTGTCTATGCCCTCTTGTTCTCCCTTTTACAAGTGGGAACAACGTCTCCTATCTACTGCATCCAGCCTGGTTATGATTTTGAAAACATTTATCAAATTTCATGTCAGCCGCCTTCTCTTCAAGGACAACAGTATATCCCCATACCTTAAGTTTCTCATATCTGGAACCATTCTACATTCTCTTGTATTCACATCTTTTCTATAATGTGTCACCCACAACAATAAACAGTACTCCAGCTAAGGTCTACCAAGTGTCTTGTACAAGCTCAACATCGCCACCTTGCTTTTGTACACTATGCTTTACTAACTGCTCTTCCTGTCCTGCCGCCTTCGGTGATCTCTCCAGAGATACACCCAGGCCCCTCTGCCTTGTGCCCTCTATTTTATACTATCTTTGAATGCAGTGAATCTCATCTCTTACCTGTTCGCCCATTCCTCCAACTTGTCAATGACCTTTCGGAGTTCCGCAGTGTCATAGAAAATCTACAGCACAGAGAAAAAGCCCTTCAGCCCATCGTGTCAGCACTGGTCAAAAACAACTTCATGACTATTCAAATCCCATTTTCCAGCACTTGGCCCATAGCCTTGTATGCTTTGGCATTATAAGTGCACGTCTAAATACTTAAACGTTATGAGGGCTTCTGCCTCTACCACCCTTAGAGGCTGAGTGTTCCAGATTTCCATCACCTGGTCTTTGATCTCTCCGTAATGTGGAAAAGTTTCTTCCTGCTTTCTTCCCTCATAATTTTATACATCTTAGCCATGTCCCTTCTCAATCTCCTCTGCTCTAAGGAAAGCTATCCCAGTCTGACCAAACTCACTTCAAACTGAAACTCTCCAGCCCAGACAACATCCAGTGTTATGACATCCCTCCCATAATCTGGATTCCAGAACTGCACACAATATTTTAGCGGTGTCCTAACCAATGTTTTATTTCATTTACCGCTGATCAGCCCATCTGATCAACTAATCTATAGCCTCCTGTAATCTAAGGCTAACCTCCAGCCTATTTATCACTATTCCAATTTTTACATCATCTGTGGACTTAGTGATTAACCATCCTAACCACAAACTGCAAGGCCCCAACACTGACCTCCCCAGTGGGACTCCACTGGACACAGACTTGAGTCAAAAAAAGTCTCTCGGTCATCATCCTCTGCTTCCTGCCACTCAGCCGATTTGTGCATCCAATTTGCCAAAGTAACTTGGATCCCATGGGCTCTTATCTTTGCTTATCAGTCTCCCATGAGGGACCTGATCAAAAGCCTTGCTAAGGTCCAAGTAGACTGCATCAAAATCATTGTCCTCATCTTCACACCACCAATAAATTCAATCATGTTGGTCATACATGACCTTCCCTTAACAAAACCATGCTGACTGTTTTGATTAATCACTGCCTCTCCAAATGCAGATTAATTCTGTCCCTTAGAATTGCTTTCAATAGTTTCCCCACCACCAAGTTTGGACTGACTGGGCTGTAGTTTCCTGGTTCATCCCATGCTCAATTCTTTAATAATGTCCTCTTCAGCGATTACAGTTCTTCGAAGTTTAGTGTCATCTGCAAACTTTGAAAATGTCCCCTGTACACCAAAATCTATATCCTCCATACATATCAGGGAAAAAGAAGGTCCAAATACTGATCCTTGGGAAATTTTTAAAAAAACCACCACCACCTGAAAAGGAAGTACAATTTGTTAAATTGTTGATAATAGTAAATGGAGGGGTGTAGTTACCACATAAAAGAACTGCAGCAAAATATATGAAGACATTAATCAACTCGGATAATGGGCATGTAACTGGAAATGTGCAAGGCAATACATTTTGGTCGGAAGATAAACCGTTCATTCATGTGTGCTCTGCCCAAAGGCAGATCCTTGGCTCATTGTCTGCTGACGCTTCATTCTGAGTGATTTCTCTTGGCAACTTGTTTTCAGTGGTGGGTTCTTATTGCCTTCCACACTCATGAGGCATGGCAATGAAGCGGGGCCCCTAAGTCTCCGTCCATCAGAACTGGAATCAAAACTGCATTGTTAGCATTATTCTGAACCGAAGGCTAGCTGCCTAACCAACTGATCTTCCTAGTGCCTTGAATTGGAAGATTAAGGAGGCCACATATACTATGAAAAATAAGTGTCTAGTCGGTTTTGGAGGAATGGCGATACCTCGGGATACACAAATCACTTAGAGAATCCATAGGATCCCTACAGTGTGGAAACAGGCCATTCGGCCCAACAAGTCCACACCAACTTTCTGAGGAGCATCCCACCCAGACTTCACCCCCTGCCTTATCCCCAAAACCCCCGTGGCCAATCCACCTAAACACATCCTTGAATAGTGGGAGGAAACCAGAGCACCTGGAGGAAACCCACACAGCCATGGGGAAAATGTGCAGACTCCACACAAGTGGTCGCCCAAGGCTGGAATTGAACTCTGGTCCCTGGTGCTGTGAGGCAGCAGTGCTAGCCACCTGAGCCACTGTGCTGCCGCAGGAGTAACACAGATTAACGAGGCCATAAAAAATCTAAACAAAGAACTGAAATTAATTTCTAAATTTTAAAGCAGGAAGTTATTGTAAGCTTGTATAGAACCTTCTTTGTAGCACCTTGAAGTACTAAAAACAAAACTGGTCTCCACAGTTAGTGATATAAGAGGAACTGGAAAAGGGTGCAAACAAGATTTACTGCTATGATACCTGAACTATTATTGTACCTGAAACCCTCCCCTTCACACCATCTTTGTAGCCACGTTGTCATCTAATATATCCTACTGTTTCTACTCTAACTAGTATGTGGCATTAGTAGGCATCCTGAGATCACTTCCTGAAGAGATCCTACTTTTTAACATGCTTTTTAACTCCCTATATTCGGTTTTAACCTATGTCATTAGTACCGATGCGTACCACAACCACTGACAGTTCGCCCACGTACTTTAGAATGCCCTGTAGCTGCTCCAAGACATCATTCACCCTAAAACTGGGAGGCAACATAACATGCTGGAGTTTCATTTGTGGTCAAAGAAATGTCTATTTATACCCCTTAGAATTGAATCATCTATTTCTATAGTCTCCCACACTTCCTCATCTCCCGTGCAACAGAGCCAAGAAATTTGGCTGTTGCTATTTGGCTCTGAGGAGCCATTCTCCCAAACAGTATTGAAGGCAGTATATTAATTGTGCAAGGGAGTGGCCACAGGGGATTCCTACACTGCCTGTCGAGTCCACTGCCCCTGCCTCGTGGTCATCCATTCCCCCCTGCCTCTGGAGTATTGGCCTGCAGAGTATAAGCTATTTACAATATTCCCACGAACATCATAGATGCAAACTCAGCTCCAAAACTTGAGCTTCCAGGAGCTGCAGCTAGAGACACTTCCTGTACATGTTCTGGTCCCAGACATTGGAACTGTGCCCGACTTCCCACTTCGAACAGGAGGAGGACACCATGGCCTTGAACTCTCCTTCCATGAGCTACCCCGTTAATTTAAACTTTTGATGCCCTTAGAATCAAATAACTTTAATTACTGTAGAGCCCTTCTTCTCTGAACCTCTACATTGCCTTTTGAAACTATAAATCCAAAGTAAAGACGTTACAAACTATAACCGATTTTAAAAAATACAATAAATACTCGCCTGACCTTGATCACCTAATCGGCTACTTCCTCTCATCATGCATCACTTTTTGACACTATTCCCAGACTGCTTCCCTACAGTAGGTCATTCTTCTCCAGCTGCTTCCCTGCAATGCTGCTGCAGGATAATCTTCCCAGACATTTTTTAATTGCAAAAATATACTTTATTCATTAAAAAAAAACACTATCTACATTCACAAATGTTGAAGCAATTCTCTACAGTCTTTGCATGTCAAGAAAATTAAACACTGGAATTTGACATTCCCTGCAGTTGCAAAGAACAAAGACATTTCTTACTCATACAGGACACTATTTGCATACATTAAGGCAATGTGAGGGTTTGATAATTGAACAGACCTTTGTAAAATTTTGGCAGAAAGACCTTAGACTGCAGCCTTTCCGCACTGCGTCTTGATGACACCTGCCACAAGCTTTAATGCGTCCCTGGATCTTGGAATGTGTCAGTCTAGAACATTCGGTTGAAGTCAACTCTTTGCATTGGAAGATCAATAAGTTTCAGGCAGACCAAAGAGCATCTCTCACCGAATTGATGGTCTTCCAGATGCAAACTATGTTTGTCTTGGTGTGTGTCCCAAGGAACAGTCCGTAGAGCTGAAGAGAATCCTGCGTCATGGACCTGCTTGCGACAAACCCACTGTATCTCTCTCCAGGCCTTCTTTGCAAAGAACTTTTACTATACTGCTTCGCCTGAGATGCTGATTGTGGCTCAGTCTTCCCATTTTGCTTTACCTGCGATGCTGACTGTGGGACAGTTAGTTGGACAGCTGCAGAGTGAAGCCAATAATGTAAGTTCAATTCCTACACTGGCTAAGGTTACCATTCTCAATTTCCTCCATCACCTGAGGCGTGGTGACCTTCAGGTGAAATCACCACCAGTCATTTCCCTCTAATGTGAGAGCAACCCTTTAGTCTAGTAGGACTGTGGCAACTTTACCTTTTGCCTTATTTGTAGTTCCATTCCAAATGCTTCAAGGAGGAGGAAGAAAAAAAATTAAATGGAGATATATTGCTCTGTTACTTCATTTTAATTTGTGTTTATTTCTAGTTAAAGAAGGGAGCACCGGAGAAGGTTTTATTGGAGAACTTGAAGGTCGAGCAATTAACCATGTATGCACTGCACCTGTGTGAATGCCTCTTTGATCCATATCAAATCTGGAGGCGGCACTTGGGAGGGTAAGTATACACAACCTGTGTTCAGGCCTATTTTTTAACAGATGTCCCCTGCTAACTGTTGATTACATGAGCTCGAGGACCAATTATCCTCATGGTCTGTTTGCTGATCTTCCCATTTCCAGTGTTCCCTAAACCTGAGCTAATTAACACCCATCCAAATCTCCATTGCACCTATTTCTGTGCACCCTTGACCTCAGCTTCCTGTGTCCTTGTGAATTCACTTGAAGACCACTGTCCTCCATTTTCGTTGACTGACCTTGGAAAAATTAGTGTTAAAATTGATTAATTTGTAATCTGGTCATCAAGCCCAGCATTTCTTGCCCTTCTCTTTTTGTTTCAAACTGGGTAAAGAGTCAACAGCTTTTATACGGGATTAATATTACTGGTAGGGCATATTAATAAGGATCCAGTCAAAATAATTTAGTTTATTGATTCATTTCTTTCTAATTTCAAGAAGATTTTAATTTAATTCTAATTGTCCAAGTGGCATGCTGGGATTTGAACTCCCATTCCAAGGATTAGTTCAAAGTCCTGGATTACAACTATAAATGACACAACTGCTGTATTTCTCTACACTTTCCAATCAAATCTATGCTGCTTCCATTTATTAATTCACATTTTCCAAGCGCCTACTAATTTTCACCGAAAGAACTGCAGATGCTGTGAATCAGGAACAAAAGCAGAAGTTGCTGGAAAAGCTCAGCAGGTCTGGCAACATCTGTGAAGAAACTGCTAGCAGGTCAGAGGAAGGTTCACCGGACCCGAAACATTAGCTCTGATGTTTTTTTCTTCACAGATGCTGCCAGACCTGCTGAGTTTTTCCAGCAAATTCTGTTTTTTCCTAAATGTTTCTCCATTATCAAAATTACAGAATTGGCCTGTATTTTCTGGGTTTATTCATTTCCCTTTACTCTTGAATGTGCGTAAAGCTTGTTATCCTTTAGTCTTCCAGCATTGAACAGTATATAACAAAGATTAGCAAATTTTAACTTGAGCCTCTACAATTTCTGTTGTGAACAGGCTTTAGGATCCTGAAGCAACCTTAGAATGATGTAGTTAGTCAGATAGAAAGTACATAAATGAAAAATGGAAGATTGTTTGAATGTGAATAACAGTTTCTTAATGAAACTTAGCTCTGACCCAGGTATCTTTCAGATTACTCTATATAGTAGTAAGGGAATCAGTGGATGTGCAGGTGGCTATGTGGCATTCAGGTACATGCTCCACTTCCCCATTGATGTTCTGATACAAGATGGTAGAGTGATGACTAATCTCTTCAATCACTCCAGAAATTGCCAGTTTTATTTTTCAGAGTCACAGAATTGTTATGACACAAAAAGAGGCCATTCAGCCCTTCATACCTGCAACTGGTCTATGACCTCGAGGCAATTTCCTACCTTTTCCCAATATTCCTGCACACCATTTCTGTCCAAATAATCACCCAGTACACTCTCAAACCTCAATTGAACCTGCCTCCTCCACATTTCTAGGCTGTACATTCCATGCCCTAACTACTCTCTGTGTGAAAAAGATTTTTCTCACATTACACTTGCTACCTTTGCACATTACTTTTAATCTGTGCCCTCCTATCCTTTCTTCTTTTACAAGTGGGAGCAAATTCTCCCTATCTACTCTATCCAGATTGCTCATGGTTTTGAAAACCTCCAACAAATCTCCTCACAGCAACCTTCTCTCCAAGGAGAAAGGCCCCAACTTCTTCAATCTATCTTCATAACTGAAGATTCTCATCCCTGGAATCATTCTTATAAATTGCTTCTGCACTCTCTCCAATCATCTATATCTTACTTGTACAAATGTGAGCAACGTACTACATAATACTTCAGCTGAGGTTTAACAAGTGGCTTGTATGAGTTCAATATCACCTCCTTGCTCTTGCACTCTCTGGCCCTGTTAATAATGTCAAGAACACTGTTTTAGTAACTGTTTTCTTCACATGTCCTGTTGCCTTCAATAATCTGTGTGCATACATATCTAGGTGCTTCTGTTCCTTCACCTCTGCTTTACTAGTACACCCTATTTTAGATGGTCTTTCAATGTTCATCCAATCAAATTGCATCACCTTGTACTTCTCTGCTTTGAACCTTTGAACCTACCCACTCCACCAACTCATTTTGGAGTTCCATGCTGTCCTCTTCACACTTAACAATTCTTTCAAATTTTGTGACATCTGCAAACTTGAAGATGTTCTGTACACACCAGGATACAAATCATATATATCAGGAAAAGCAAGGGTCTAGCTTCCTTTCATTGTCATAAATCACTTCTTATTTTTTTCTGGAAACGTTGATGACTGATCAATTGATTGCCAGTAGGAAAGTCACCACAAAGAGTAAGAATTTTATTCTAAACAAATATCATGTTTTGGCTTTAACGACATGCCCACCATACGGGGGTGGCAACTAATTTGTTCCCACACCTCACATGAGCTGGTGACCAGGGAGCACCACAGGGGCATGGATACCTAACCTAGTTAATCTAAGTTAACTGCCCTTACGATTTGATACAGGGTTTGTATGGCTGAGGATTAATGACTGCATTCTTACTGGCTTGTCAGATTTTGTTGAAATTGTTCACTGCTTGTTGTTGAATGTTAGTGAGAAGTTGAGAAACTTTGTGTGGCAGAACATGTATGCAGGCCTGAGGATTAGATTCTTGATCGACTTGAAGAATTCAGCTGTTCACATTGAGCCTCCTGAAAGCCTAACTATGATCTTTTGGTTTTAGAGAAATTATCAGTTCCGTGGAAAGGAGTAAATACAAATTTGCACCAGCTGTTTTACCTCAGGAATTTAACACTTTCTTCCATGGTGAGTAAAACTGGGAACCAGACAGGAACAGAGGGTGAGGAGTATTACATGTGTGGTATGAATGTGACAGGTGCCAGATAATGACTATCTCCCATTTGAAATCAATGGCATTATCATTGCTGAGTCCTCCCATCATCAACCACTGATTCCCCAGCACCACCATCCCCTTTTACCATTCATGGCTACAGGAACAGGTTAGAGGCTTGGAATTCTGTTGTGAGGAACTTGCCATCTGACCCCCCAAAGCCTGTTCAATATCCACGGGACTGTGAAGAATTACTCCCCATTTGCCAGGATGAGTAGAGCTCCAACAACACACTTGAAACTCTACACCATTCAGGACTAGCACCCCCGGCACAACCTTAAACGTTTGCTCTCTCCACCACAATGGCAGCAGTGTGTATCCTTTGCAGGATCCACTGCCGCAACTTGCCAAGCATCCTTCTACAGCACTTTCCAAATCAGCAATCTCCACCACCCAGCTGACAAAGGCAGCAGATGCATAGGAACATTGTCACCTGTAAATTTCCTGCCAAGCCATAAAGCTGTTCCTTTTTTGTCATAGAAAGCCCTGCGAGCCTGCTGTGCCATGTAATATGATCATGGCTGATCATTCAGCGCTGTTCCTGCTTTTTACCCCCTAACTTTTGATCCCTTTAGCTCTAAGATCTATATCTAACTAATCTTTTTTCAAAAATCATTCAATGTTTTGGCCTCACACATCTTCTACAGAAAAGAATTCCACAGAGTCACCACTCTCTAGGTGAAGAAATTTTTCCTCCTCTCAGTCCAAAATGGCCAGCCGGTATCCTCAGAATGTGATCCCTGGTTCTTGACTGCCCAGTCATCGGGAACGTCTTTCATGCATGTTTCCCCTGTCTAATCATGTTAGCTTTGTTTAGATTTCTATGAGATCCCCTCTCAGTCTTCTAAATTCCAGTAAATAGAGTCCTAATTGATCCAATCTCTCTTTATAGTTCTGTTAGTTCTGTTCTTCTAGTTCTACAACTCCAGGAATCGGACTGATAAATCTTCATTGTACTCTCTCCATAACTAGAACATCCTTCCTCCGATGAGGGGACCAAAACTGCACACAGTACTCCAGGTGTGGTCACCAAGGGTCTGTACAATTGCAACAAGACATCTCTGCTCCTGTACTCTCATCCTCTTGTTATGAGAGGCTACATAAATATAGAGAATAGGAGCAGGGCCTACTCTGTCGTTCAATATTATCATAGCTGATCATCCAACTCAGTACCCTGATCCTGCCTTCTCCCCATACCCTTTGATCACTTTAGCACTAAGAACTATATCTAACTCCTTGAAAATATTCAACGTTTTAGCCTCAATCACTTAAAAGCCAATGTACCGTTGGCCTTCTTCATTACTTGCTGCGCCTGCACGCTTCCTTTCGGTGACTGGTGTACATCAAAGTTTCATTGCATCTCCCCCTTTTCCAACTCATCACCTATTCAGATAATTGCCTTCTTGTTTTTGCTATCAAAGTGAATAACCTCATTTTTATCCACATTATGCTTCATTTCCCATGCATGTGCCCACTCCTTCAACCTGCCCAATACACACTGAAGCATCTCTGCATCCTCCTCATAGTTCACCCTCCCACACAGCTTTGTGTTGCCTGCAAACGTGGAGATGTTACATTTGGTTCTCTCATTTAATTCATTAATATGTATTGTAAATATCTAATCCTAGCATTGGTCTCTGCTGTACCCAACTAGTCATTTGGCTGCCGCACGGGAAAATGACCCTTTTATTCCTACTATGTGTTTCCTGTCTGCCAGCCAGTTCTCTATTCACGTTAGTGCACTATGCCAAATCCCATGCACTTTAAGTTTTCATAATAATCTCTCAGTGGACCTTGCCAAAAGCTGTCTGAATGTCCAAGTAAAGCTCATCCATTGGTTTCCCTTATCAACTTTACTAGTTATGAACTTGAAAAATTCCAGGAGATGCATCAAGCATGATTTCTCTTTCATAATTCCATGCTGAATTGCTCACTCTTGTCACTGTTTTCAGAGTGCTGTGCTATTAAAGCCTTTGTAATGGACTTGACCATTTGTGCTGCTAACCAATTTGTAATTTCCTGTTTTTGCTGTATTCCCTTTCTAAAATAGTGGGGTTACATGAGCTACCCTCCTCTCCAGGGGAACTGTTCTTGAAAGATGGAACACCAATGCATCTACTATTTAGGCCACTTCCTTAAGTATTACGAGATGTAGATTATCAGACCCTGGGGATTTGTTGGCCTTTAATCCAATTGGTTTTCCTAATGCCATTTCCCTTCTAATACCAATTTCCTTCAGTTGCTTCTTCTCACTAAACCCTATGTCCCCAACGTTTCTGTTATTTGTGTCCTTCTTTGTAAACCAAAGTATGTATTTAGTTGGTCGGTCACTTTTTTTTTTGTTCCTGTTGTTCCATTATAAATGATTGTTAGGAATCCACATTCATCTTTAGTAACCTTTTTCTCTCCACGTAGCTATTGGAAGTTTTACAGTCAGTTTATATGTTCCCTATAAGATTACCCACGTACTGTTTTTCCCATCTTAGTCAATCCCTTTGTCCTCCTTTGTGGAAATGCTCCCAAACCTAGGTCTGCTGCTGTGTTTAGCCAATGATATATGCCATTTCCTTAGATCTAATACTGTCCCTAATTTTCTTTGTTAGTCATGGTTGGATAACCTTTCCTATTTTATTTATGCTGTAGACGAGAATGAAAAGTAAAAGTGAAAAGTAAAAACCAAAAGAACTGCGGATGCTGTAAATCAGGAACAAAAACAAAGTTGCTGGAAAAGCTCAGCAGGTCTGGCAGCATCTGTGGAGGAGAAAACAGAGTAAACGTTTCGGGTCTGGTGACCCTTGAATGACCCAATGAAAAGTTGTTGCAGTTCCTCCATGCACTGTTTAAATATTTTCCATTGCCTATCTGCTGGCATCCCGTTAAGTAATGTTCCCCAATTTATCATAGCCAGTTTGCACCTCTATTCTCTTTCACTAAGTCAAAACATGAAACTCCCTTTAAATACTACTGCTGTTAGGCAGTCCCTTGGAATAGCTGCAACCTGTTTTGGCTGGTTCTGAGATGATTGGTAAGTTCAACGTGCAATTTGCAGACTCTGCGCATGCTGGTTATGTGGTGCTTGGAGAGTCAGGAAGATGAGTTGACAAGAGATTGCTATTGCTTCAAGAGTCTGGTGTCAGGCACACACATGACATATATTTTGCCCGGTTGGCACCTTAATGCTGGGCATGTTAGCTTGTGAAAGGATACAGCTGCCAGATTGCCTTTCTCACGACTTGATTTGGAGGATCTTGCAATGCTCCTGGGTGTCTAATGTCTGTGGTCAAAGTCTCTGGAGCACGGGGATCATTGCTGCCTGGTAAACGATGCTGTGACCACATTAGATGGACTGTAGCAGTTCAAGAGCATTGTTCCATAATACTGTATTGAGGACAGTTACAGATGGGCAGCAAATGCTGGCCGTGCCAACTATGCTCACATCCTATGAGAGGATTAAAAAATGTCTAGGATGAGAGAGGATCTTCTAGTGTGTTCACACTCGTGACATATATTTAAAAGATAATTTCTCCAATGGGTATTTATTAAGAGAGCTTGATTCTTTGAAGACTTTATTATACAAGTTAATTTTACATACCTGGAGCTAGTCTAACCACTGTATATTTTATTTGTTCATAATCCTCACAGAAAGCTTCAAAGACAGTCAGAACTTGCCAAAGACAATCCACCTACGAATCTTATATCTCTATGGAGCCATTATCAGTGGAAGTAAGGTAAAGCAAAGCTTGAGTATTGATTGCACATCTGGAATCTGGTGCAATTGTAAACCATAGTAAAGGAAAGGTTTTCCGATGCATGATTCTCCTCACTTTGCCGGGAAAGAGAGAACTTGTGTTTATTCATGATTTTTAGATCCTCAGGAAGTCCCACAGTGCTTCGCAGTCAATCAGTCGTTTTGTAAACAATTTATACACAGCAAGGTCCTGATGGTATTGTTTAAGAAAGGAATGTTGGACAGTCTTTCTGTATTCAACCTTCCTTTTCTCTCTGTATTTAATCATTACTGCAAGGATTGTTCAAACTTCCAAGCTTGCCATCCAACATACCTTTTCCTGCCACCAGTATTTCCATTGAAGTGCACATGAATTGTAACATTCCACCCAATCCATTATTGCTGCTCAATTTGTGTACGAGCCATTTCTCCATCGCAGTACTAAATGCTAAAATGATCTGTTCAATTTATGACAGCTCCCCAATCCTTGTTTTAGAAAAGATGACAGTGGTGAGAGGAGGAAACCAATACTTGGGCTTTAAATGAGGATAATGAGCCCTGACAGTGAAGGGACATATTTGATGTGCATTTGGTGAGTGAAGTAAAGACCGTGTCACAACTTAAGAGCAGCTTGGACTGGTACAAAGGAAATGGGAATAAACTGAGGAAATGGGATTAGAACTCAGCTGTTTCATTAAAAGGCTGTCTGCAATTCAATTAGTACAGGGCAGAGCTCAACTCAACTCCATTTATTTGTCAAAAAAAAAACTGCAAATGTTGGCAATCAAAAAACAAAAACAAAGTGTTGGAAAAACTCAGCAGGCCTGGCAACATCTGTGGAGAGAAATTACAGTTAATGTTTCAAGTATATTGACCTTTCTGCAAAGAAATTTAGTTCTGATTTCTCTCCACAAACGCTGCCAGAGCTGCTGAGTTTTTCCAGCAATTTTTGTTTTTTGTTTCTATTTATTTATCTTTTGATAGATTTTTATTAAGGGCAATGAATCAATTACAGACTCAAAATGTTCAGTGGATCCAGCTGCCATTTAGCTTTTAGGAGAAAATTAAAAATTCTCACCATCTTTGTGAAAAACATTGCTGCCTTTTTTCATATTTAATGGTTTAGCTCTAAGTTGAAAATTATCTCATCTTGTTTTGACTCCCCCGCCAGTGGAAAAAGACTGCCTTTAGTTTGTTTTATCTTTGTCATTTTAAAGACCTTGAACAAATCACTCCTCAAGGGAATGCAAACTGAGTTTACATAATCTGTCTTCACATTTAACCCATTATGCCCTGACTGCTGCTTGTGCAGAGAATAAACCCCAACATGAACCAGTTGGGATGAACATCCTGTTTCCAAGATGATATCAATACCCTACAGTGAAATCAATGTATATTGAAACTAATGAAGTTAGATCACAAGGATAATTTTGGTGTTTTGAAGGAGGCCTTGCACATCCTGGTTAAACATAAAGATATTTCTTCTTTTAATTTGGGCGTTTCTGTCTCCATTGTTGTGTCTGGGAGTTTGTTGATAACCTTTTAATGATTTGCTTTCTGAGCACCTTGCATCTCAGTTTCTACTTCTGATTCTCTTGTATAATTTAGTGATTATCAATCTGAAAGGATAAATCCTTCCAGTGGAAATTCAACAACATTTCTCCCCATTAATGTAGCAAATGATATCTACCTAATCTATTGCATAGAAGCAATAGCACAGAAACAACCCAGTTGGCTCAGCTGGTTCATGCTGGTGTTTATATGCTGTGTGAACAACTTCCCATTCTAACTTGCTTTTCATGCCCCTGTATCTATTCCCTTTCTCTCTTAGGTGTGTAGTAACTGCTAGATTAAAAGAAAACGCTCTACATGTGTCAGCCCAAATGCTGAGTACATAAGTTAATTTGACAGGGGTATTTGAACCTGCTGTGTTATCCAATCACATACAAAGGTCTCGCAGTCTGGGTGGTTATCTGTCAGAATGAACCACTTGGCATTTTATATAAAGTGCATAACTTTCATTGATTTAGATCTATTTAACAAAAGATTGGAGAGCTAGATTTCAGTCTCTCTGTTTTCTCCATACAGCAAAATGCACTACTCGCCATCACCCCGGCCTCTGTCGAGGTGCTTATGCTGATTCTCAGGACCTCGTGTGACACAGGAACTCGGGAGCCAAAGGACACCCGACTGTTGCAAGTTGGCTTGAAGTGTCTGATTGGAATGATCCACGTTCTCCACTCTAGCAGCATTGACCAGAGGAGAGTGACAATCGAGACAATATTGGACAGCTACTTTAAGTTGTTGAATGCTGATAGGCCGTTGGCAGTGCAGGAAGAGGGGTCTAAAACCCGACTAGAGGATGGCTTCATCACCCTGCGGATCAACATGCTCAGTAAGTGAATTTGTTTTTGTACCTCAGTTATTCAAGATCATGCTTGGTGCAGGGGTTATTTGTTTTTATTAATTCCCAGACTGGGGAGTCATTGGGTGGCTCAGCATTTATTGTCTATCATTTGTTGAACAAATTGACCCGCAGCAGCACTTTGATCAGTGAAGAAGAAGCAAGGGCTTACAAGGAAATTGATAGGTATCTATTAAGATATGTTTAGATTTAACATATGGGTAATTTGAGGCATGATATAGGAATTGTAGTATGTTTAGCAGGTAATATTGAGTTAGCTGTTCCTAAATCATTCCAGTGGTTGGATTTTGGGTATGACAAAATAAACAGAGGAATAGCCACTTGTGTTCCATTTACATGCTTCCAGACTTCAGGACTCAACATGGTGTTCAACAACTTCAGACTGTCCTCTACTTTGACTACTAAGATTCCACTGCCACCCACTCACCCCCACTGCACCCCCCCCCCCCCCCAGCCCACCCCAAACCCTGCCAAACCGCCTCAGATTTTGTTTGTCTTGTTGGTTTTACCCATTTTCTCCTTTTTACATCTACAATTGACAACTATTTTGCAACTCAATTTACTCCTCTACTACCATTAGCACTCCCTTTGTCATTTGTTCTGGGCACCCCCACTATCTGTCTCATTTGTTCCTCTTGCCCGTTTGTGAACAACATCAAAAACATGATTTTCCAGCTTCTTTCAGTTCTGAAGAAAGCTTGTAGTCGACTTGAAATGTAAACTCTGTTTCTGTTTCCGCAAATCCCGCTTGATGTGCTGAATTTCTCCAGCTTTTTCCAGTATTTATTTTAGATGGTCTTATTTCAGATGCAGATTTTATTTCAAACATCCACAGTATTTTGCTTCTATTATATTCAGGTGTATTGTGACAAATTGGTAGAGATTGATAACTATGAAAAATCAACATCTCCAGTAATGTTGTATCATGCAACCTTCAGGACAGTTTTAAGGCAAACTAGATGGGCCATTTTTTTTTTTGGCCAGCAATTCTTATGTTGTGACTCTGGGGAACCATGATACCAATGGAGCCACTGTGGATTGTAGATGCTGCCCCTTTATCTGTCATCCCTGCAGTGATGCTAGATTGCACGTTTTGTGTTGCAGGTGCTATCTCTGAAATGTTGAACTGTAAGGATCGGCCTGTGCTTCAGGCAGTGTTCCTTAATAACAACTGCTTTGAGCACATTATCCGACTCATCCAGAACAGCAAGGTATGGACAGCTAAATGTACAATTCTACCTTGTTGCTTGGTGTTGTCTTGTTGTTCTTTGACTCGTCTGGATGCTTAAAAGCAGAGTTAGAGCCTTGAAGGTGAAGTAAATCCTGTTGTGTACATGTCAAATTTGCACCTGAGGATAGATTGAAACTCTGATAACATTCCTTCATATTTGTTACTTCCAATTTTCTCCCTTTTCTTGTGGGAGGACTGTCAGGGAAAAAACAGGGGAATGGGATTAAATGGATATCTCTTTCAGAGACACTGTACATACAATTCACCAACAAAAACCTTTTGTATTGCAAGATTCTTTTGATTCAAAATCTCCTGGCACTTTTCTGGGTATTAGCCACCATTCACTACCCAGTCAAATCAGTTGTGTATTAACCTCGACACTAAGTATGCAGTGAAGAGTGGAATTGTCAAGCTTAAATCCACTATTATCAGTGAATTCCCAAAATCATGTAACTTAAATTTTCACTATCATTATTTGAGAGGTACTTTGGCAGAAAGGAATGCCTGTTGTTTAAAGAAGTGTGTGTGTGTGTCTTGAGTGTACACTTGAGTGATTGTGAGTGCCAACAGGTGCAAGTGAGCCTGACTGCCAGTTTGTGAATGTGTGCATGTAAATGATTGTATGAGTGAGTGAATTAGAATGTGCAAGTGAAAACGAGTAAGTGTGCAAGAAGCATGTTTATGTGACCCCAGCTAATCTAGGAGAATATTGCTTTGTACATCTTTTAAAGAAGGTATTGTAGTCTCGGCTGAATGTTGTGTGATGAAAAGTAAGATTTGTACAAAAGTAGCATTATGATCTTCAGTTTCGTAGCTGCACAAAGCATGGGACCCTAAGACCACTTGCAATGGCTCCTTTGAAAATAGCAGTGAGATGGAGAAAGATTTTAACTTTGAGCCAATTGATGGGGTAGTGCAACTTGAAAAATGGCAGTGCCAGCTCTCATCCATTATGGTGGAATATCAGAAGAACTCCTAGAAAAGTTCAGCGGTAATATGGTTTCTGGGTAAAACAGATGAGCACTTGGAACAAAATCTCCTTGACCTTCAGTATTCCCATCCTGCTGTTTTTAACCTGACAGTGAACATTAAAGATGATTGACGTTTTCACTGTTGTGTGTTATGCAAGCTTTGTCTGGTTTCTGATGTCATGTTTTTTTCTCCTTTTTTTTTGTTTTTTGTCGCTTTACCAACACCTCCCTGATTCACCCACCCATCCTCCACCCTCTCTTTGACAGCTGTATGTAAGCAGTAGGTCTAAGGATGACAGCAAGGGTGGGAGTGATCTTGCCACTCAGTTACTGACTGAAATCAATCTCAGCAAGGTATTACTGGAGATGCTTATACTCTGGGAGAAAATGGCCAGGCTTGATTTCAGCATGATGTGATCAGCAAGTTTGAAATTTACCCTTCTTCCTTCCAATTCCTTTCTGTCTCTGTTATTCTCTTTCTTGTTTAGTTTTATCTTTCTGTATCGCCTGTATTCTTTCGCTTGTTTGTATCTATGACCTTACTCTCTGCCTCTGTTATGCTTCCTGTTTCCCTGCTTCTGACTTTTTCTGTCATGTTCCTATTGTCTTTTCCTTTGCTTTACTCTTTCAGTCTCATTGCTTTCTTCCATTACATGTCGTTTCACTTTTTTGTTTCTGTTGCACTGTCCCTCTTCTTCTCAGTTGATCTCCCCCTTTCAGTTAATTTCTCACCTTTCTTTTGTGTTCTCTGTTCCTCCTTGCCTTTTCCTATTGTGTTTCTCTCTTTTCCCCTCCTCCTGTTTTGCTGTCTCCCTTTTTGTCCAATCCTTTCTTTAGCCCCTCTCCCCATTTTCTTTTATTATCTTATCTTGACTGATATTTTTTCCTTCTCTCTCATTCTTCCCTAAAATGATCTAGTAGCCAGCGTAACTTCATTACTGGAAAGAGATAAACCTTCCTTTCGAAAATGTAATAGAAATTTGAACATAATTCCTTCATTTATTAAATATGTAAGGAAAGCTGTAGCATGCTGACATCACCTGGTTACTGGAGATGCTGATCTTGCCTTTTGTCCTGTGTTTCATAAGTCTACTAATCATCAGTGTTATTTTAGCTGCTTTATTGAAATTCAACTAAATGACATCACCCCACAACAATGTGTAAATATTAGATATAGAGACTTCATACATTGGCAATAAAAATACTGCACTGTAGTATAGTATCATATGATTACACTCTGCCTGTTTGAGCTAATTAAAAGGAGCCAAAATTTTCTTGATAAACAGAGGTTATGTTTGAACAAATTAGTTCAAGTTTTGAGATCTTTCAACCTGCTGGGAAGGTTGGGCTATGAACATTGTCGAGTTGTGAGCACAAATATGCCGACACTTGGAGAGATTAGTGATTGGGCAAAATTGGAAAATGGAGTTCCGTGTATCAGAGTTCCTCTTTGAACCATGAAAAGTAAATATTTTATTAATGTTCGGAGTCTAGAAATTTGGAATCACTAGATATTTGAGTGTCGACATGTGTATCACTAAAAACTAGTGAGCAGCTACAAAATGTAATTTTTTTGAAAAAAAAGAAGACTTTCAAGGGGACAGGAATATAGAAGTGAAAAAAGACATGCTTTTGTTGCATAGAATCTGTGCTAGATCCCATCTGAGCTTCCGTGTTCCAATTTGGGAACTGTGCCTCAGGAAGGATACATTGGCTATGTGCACAATGTGAATTCACCAAAATGATACCAGAGCTGAAAGGATTAAATTACAAGGCCAGGTGCATTGACTTGTATTGTCTTGAGCAGAGAAGGTTAAGTGGTGACCTAATTAAGGTGTTTTAAATAATAAAAAGATTCCATTGGGCAGGTACAGAGAGACAATCCCCTTTGTTGGGGAATCCAGAATCCAAAAGGATGTAATCTTAAAATTGGAACAAGCCTATTCAGGCATGTTGGGTTAGTTGAGATTTTGGAGATGAATCCAGATTAGGTAAGGTTATGAAGGAATAGAGGCCATTTGTGGGTACAAACCATCTGTTATCAAATTAAATGGCAGAATAGACTTGATTACTTGAATTCCTACCACTGTTCCTGTACTCCTTTGGGAAGTGTGAGAAGAGGCTTGCACAATTATTGGACTTAATAGGAAAACTGAGGCTTCTTAAGAGAAGGAAAACTAACTAACTACTTGAAGGAAATGTGGTCAGGCCATTATAAGGTTGTGGATGACACTTGCAGTCTACAAAATATCACAATCTTCAAAATCCAGAGGTGGATGATGATCTCTGCTGTAACAGGAAGGAACAATGTGATCTGAGCAGATATGTTGTGGTGTGATGGTCATGTTTTAAATCCCACTGAAACTCTTTACATGTTTTCATGATTTCATGTCTGTGGTGAATGCCATATGTGGTGTAGTGTCACAGTGATTTGTGTCTTCCATGATCCAGTTGGACGTTGCTGGCTATGATCAGAGGACAAGAAAATTTGTTCTCTACCAATCATGGTTGAATAAGTTGCCAATATTAAGTTTATTAATCTTTCTCTGGATGTAGTGTGTCAGTGATAAAGCTGACATTTACTGCACATGTTAGATGTCTTTAAGTGGTGGTGGAATTTGGTGAACTGGCAGTTTTTTTTTTTTGTAATTGTTCGAAACAATGAAGTAGTTTGTTACGCCATTTCAGTGGACATTAAAGATTCAATTATGTTGGTGTCTTTTTCTGAAAGCATCAATTGCAGAAAAATGCAAGTTCAGTTCTTAGGTAAATTAAGATCATGTCTACTCATTGGTTTTACCAATAGATCCTCCTGAAAATATGTGCACTATAGCCAGCCTGTTTCATGTGATGGATTGTTGAAGCCCAATATTATTATGTTCCTATTTGTAGGGTGATGCTATTACTTTGATTTGACATTACCAGTTTGTGGCTCCTTTGCAGGTATTTGAGAAGGAGTCAGACTCCATCACAGTGCATGCTATCAGAGTGCTAACAGCGATAATGAAGAACTCACCCTCTGCCAAGGTATGTCTGCCAGGGTTGTCAATGCCAAGGATTGCTATTCTAAGATTAAAACCAGACAATGTTGGAAATACTCAACAGGTTTGGCAGCATCTGTGCAGAGAGAAGCAGAGTTAACATTTTGACTTCATGATCTTTAATCGGAATAGGGAGATATAAGAAGAGGAATAGGTTTTTAAATAGGTCAAATGGGAGATGGTGGAGAAACAGTAAAAGGGAAGGTCATGATGGAGTGAAAGGCATGCAAGATTAAATGAGAGAGTTTGTTGGGCAAAGCCAAAAGGATTATTTAATGGAGCAAATAAAGAAACTAAAGTCATGTCGAGAAGAGGTGCAAATATTATAACAATGATAATCTGCTGGCAGAAGGCAAAGACCAGAGAATCAGACTAAGACTGAAACATGCTAAGAAATGGAAACAAATTACAGGCAAATTATGGTCTGAAATTTTAGAACTCCGTTGAGTTTCGAAGGCTATGAAGTGCTGTTCCTGAACCACCTTTGATCTTCAGTGGAATGCTAGAAAGAGAGATGTCAGCATGAAAGAAAGGTAGAACATTAAAATAGCAGGACAATGCAAGCTTAGGGTTATGTGTGCAGATTGCTGTTGTTTTAAGTTTTGCCAATAAGCATGATGATCATTTTTAAGACTGTCAAATTCTAGCTCCTGATGGGTAAGTTTAGAAGGGCCAAAGGATGGTTGGCCTCGCAAACACAAATAATACTATTCTGTTTCAATAGGGGACATTTATCTGAGGCTGAACATTGGGTCAGGATGTAGAAAATTTTACCTTGCGTTTACCTCTGCTGTAGCTGGAAGCATGTTGGACGTGAGGACTGTTAGTCCACCTCCTCCAGCAATCCACATTAGTCCTGTAGTTCATTGCTAATAACTCAAAAATTATATTTGTTGACCATAAGCTGTCTATTTCCTCCTTTCAAATCTAGTTTTTTTTTCCCTATTACTCATGCCAGTATCCATTTCACAAGCTTAACTGCCGTCTTTGTTAAATAAAATTCCTCCTACTGTATTTTATCATGAATGTGTATACCCTTTGTGCCCTGTTCATGGCACAACATTTTCTTTGAATCAAATTTATGAGGAAAAAAAAAGTCATGATTCCAAGCACTTCTTTATTCTTTTTTGTTCTTCTCTTTTCGAGGAAGAACAGACTTGTTCTTCAGTATCAGCATCCCTCATCTTTAAGACTATAAAATGCACTCTTCCCATACATACCCTTCCACCTCAGATCTTGATAACTTTCTCCAGCCCCATCACTCTGTTTGGCATCTCTCATCAGTGAGAGAATTTGGTGGTGCAACCTCAGAACTTTAGTGAGATCAGATGAAATCAGCTGCTTCTTTTGATAGCTGGACAACCTGTATCTGGAAAATCAATGTTGGACACAAGTACCAAGTGTGAAATTGTTCCTTGTGACTGGTGCAGGATGACTTCGGCTCATGCCTTGTTTGCAGGGCTGGGATCTGCTTTGGACATTCTGAAGCTGCATATTGTTATGCTGGTGTTGCCACTTGGATTGGTCATTGCTTGAGTTCCCCACTTGAGATTGGTGTTGGAGGGCTTTTGTGACTCTGTTGACAGCATCACTAAATGCGCTCGCTGCTGCTATCTTGACACGTCACCTTCTTGGATAACCAATCCATGGAGATGTGGCCGTTTTCCATCCTGAGCATGTGGCAAACCAACAAGGCTTCCTTAATTAGAGCTAAGTTTATGTTGTAGACATCAGCAGTGGACGTTATTGAACCTTTTCTCTTGGTAGGTTTTTGGTTGTCTAGGCTTTGCTGTTAGACAGCAATGCACTGACCATACAGGCCTTATAGATAAGCATCTTGGTTCTTCGGCTCAGTTTAATGTTTCTCCATATCCATTTTCTGGTTGGCCAAAATTTGTTGCTGCTTTTCCAGTGCTTGTGTGGAGCTTTTTAAGTTATCTGTCTTGCTAGAATCAAGGTTTTAGAATTGCAGACTGCTTCCAACTGCTGACAACACTGTGTTGTTGAGTTTGCTCACAGGTGGAGAGACAATAGCTTGTTCCATGAGTACAGTTCTCTTGACACTGGTATTACAGCCAGTATCAATGTGTCACAGGCATGGCCAGACAGTTGAGCCCGACAGCTGTCTGAGACCTCTGTTGCTTCTAACAGTTGTAGCTTGATCATCCTTCATTTCTATTGCTCCATCATTGCACGCTGTGCATTCTGTCATCTCGGCTGTAAATCCTGGTATGCTGTTTCTAAACTTCTCCACCTCTCTCCACTCCTTTTTAAGATGCTCTTTCAAACTTGCTACTTTGACCAAGTTTCTATTGCCTTTTCTAATATTTCCTCATTTACCCTGCTGTCAATTTTTTTTTGTATCCTGCTCTCATTCTTCTGAACTCCAGTGCGTGACTTGGAACAGGCCGACCCTGTCCAACCTTTCCTCATAACCGTTTGAGCCCAGCAATCAGTCAAATGGACATTCTATGCCCTGCTTTCGCTGCAGTTGTATCCTTTCTGAAATAAAGAGAATCCAGCAACTTAAAAGGTTTCATCTTTTTCTCTCCGCCTATGCTGTCAGACCTACAGTACTCCATATGTGGTTTCACTCATGCCCTGTGCAACTGTAGCAAAACTTTCCTTCTGTTACATTCCATTCTCCTCGCAATGAATGACAACAGGACACCCAAGTCCATCTGTACCAGATTTAAGAATGATGGCCCTTTTCTATTCCTACTTCCAAATTTGTGAAGTTCATAACTTTCCCATGTTATAGTTCTTCTGCCAAATTCTGTCCCATTCATTTAACCTATCCACTTTCCTCTGTAGGCTCCTTACGTCCTCTTCTCAAATTACATTCCTAATTTTGTATCTTCCAAAAATTTAGTGTAAATGATCATTTTAATCCATGTCATTGATACAGATTGCAAGTAGTTGAAGCCCTAGAACTGATCTTTTTGACAAATAACTAATTACATCTAGCCAATCTGAAAGTGACCCATTTATCTCCATTCTGTTTCCTGTTAGTTAAACAAATTTTTATCCGTCATAGAATAGAGAACTGTAGAGGCTGGGAACAGATCCTTCAGCTCACTGTGACTGCACCAATCATGGTGACAATCTAAACTAATCCCACCTGCCTGCACAGGAGTGAATTTCTATATTCCCTGCCTGTTCATGTGTCTGATAATATGTTGCTCTGTGCACAATGAGCTGTTATTTTGTGTAGTAAACCTGTGATGTGCTACCTTGTCAAATCTCTTTTGGTGATTCAAGCACGCTGCATTGACATGTTCTCTAGATCCACATTGCTTGTTACTTCCTCAGGGAATTGTGTGTTATTTAAAACACAATAGCTGTGACAATTTTAGTCATTTTATCTTTGGGATGGTGACCAGGCTAAATTAGTATATATAACCATGATTTTAATTTATATCTCCAGATGAGAAGAGATGTGAACTTGCGTCAGTTTGACTCTCATCCTGCAATGATTTTGGTTCCATTCCCGTAGGGTGCTTTATAATGTAAAACTGTAAATTGACTATGTTTTGTATCACATTTAAGTGCACATTGTTTCTTTATGCTTCTTTCGTGAGGTTCTTGATGCTTCTTTCGTGAGGTTCTTGATCCCTCACTTCACACCATTCCCACCCCTTCAGCGATTAAGCTGAATTTATCTGTCTTTCACCTGAAAAATACATTCTTAAAATGCATGTTTCAAAGGAGAAAATAGATTAAAGAATAGAATCCCCACAGTTTGGAAGCAGGCCATTCAGCCTATGAGTCCACACCGACCTTCCAAAGAGCATCCCACCCAGACCTTATTGACCTGCATTTACCATGGCTAATCCACCCTGTCTGCACATCCCTAGACATTTTGGGCAATTTAACATGGCCAATCCACCTAACCTGCACTACTTTGGTCTGTGGGAGGAGACCAGAACACCCAGAGGAAACCCATGCAGACATGGGGAGAACGTTCAAACTCCACACAGATAGTCGCCCGAGGGTGGAATTGAACCTGGGTTTCTGGTGCTGTGAGGCAGCAGTGCTAACCACTGAGCCACCATACCACATAGAATGTGTAGAGTAACCTGAATGACTTGAGTGTTAGTTTAGATCATGAGTCAAATTGGTTTCACTCATCTTCCTGAGGGAGCTTTTTGCCATGTTTTGTTGGAGAATAGATGTAAAAACACTCTCAATTTTGAATCATTCCTGTTTTGAGTTAGTTTCTACATCCCTCAGCAATACTATAGGTTGCAATTTGCTACTAATCTCACTATCCCATGCTCTTCTTACTGCACAGCAAAGACTTGAGCATGTGATAAATCTGAAAGTTTATCTAGTCCTATGGAAGTTCTGTATTGTTAGGAATAGCACAGCAAGAGTGCATTCAAGGAGTATAGAAAGGTGAAGAGGTTTAGGGAGGGAAGCCCACCGCTTGGGGCTGAGATGATTGAAGGCACGGTGTCCAATGTTAGAATAAAGTAAATGGAGGATGATCAGAGGCCGTGGCTGAACTTTTGCATGAGGTGTCAAATTGAGGCCCTATTGTCCCCTCAGATGGAGATAAAAGATTCCATGGCGCTGTTTCAAAGAGAATCTGGGGTATTCTCTAGGCCAGTATTTATCCCTCAGCTAATATCACCGAAACAGATCATGTGCAACAGTTCATTGTTGCACGTAGAACTTGCTGTGCACGTTTGTTGCTATATCTCCTTATGTAGCAATAGTAAGCACATTTTAAAAGGACTTCATTGGCTATATAGCGTTGCAATAAACTGGGGCATGAAAGGTAGTCTTTCATTTAGTGAGCTCGAACAGTTCATCCACTTCACCAACCCCTTTCACCCCAAACTTCAGTTCACCTGGACCATCTCTGATACCTCTGTCTCCTTCCTGGACCTCTCTGTTTCCATCTCTGGCAGCCACCTGGAAACCGATATCCGTCTCAGATGACATGTACATCCTGGGCCTCCTGCAGTGCCACAACGATGCCACCCGAAGGTTGCAGGAACAGCACCTCCTATTCCGCTTGGGAACCCTGCAGCCCAATGGTATCAACGTGGACTTCACAAGCTTCAAAATCTCCCTTCCCCCTACTGCATCCCAAAACCAGCCCAGCTTGTCCCCACCTCCCTAACCTGTCCTTCCTCCCACCTATCCCCTCCTCCCACCTCAAGCCCCACCCCCATCTCCTATCTACTAACCACATCCCGCCCCCTTGACCTGTCCGTCCTCCCTGGACTGACCTATCCCCTCCCTAACATCCCACCTACACTCACCTTTTACTGGCTCCATCCCCGCCTCTTTGACCTGTCTGTCTCCTCTCCATCTATCTTCTCCTCTATCCATCTTCTATCCGTCTCCCCCTCTCTCCCTATTTATTTCAGAACCCCCTTCCCCTTCCCTCCCCCATTTCTGAAGAAGGGTCTAGGCCCGAAACGTCAGCTTTCCTGCTTCTGTGCTGCTTGGCCTGCTGTCTTCATCCAGCTCTACACCTTGTTATCTCAGATTCTCCAGCATCTGCACTTCCTACGATCTCTGGTAGAATTGCAGTGTTGTGAATTGCTTTGATTGTACAGGAATTTGTTAGTAGATACAGGGGATAAAAAAGGGATGTTCCCTGTTGTGTTAGAGAATGAGTTGCTGTTTGCAGTGTTTGCAGCTACTCAAATTATAATCAAGTAATTAATTTAACTTCTGCATTAATCTTTTGTCAACAGGAAGTTTTCAAGGAACGGATTGGTTACTCTCATCTGTATGAGGTGCTGAAAAGCCAGGGGGAGCCAACAAAGCAACTCTTGCAGGAACTCATGAACATGGTAAATGGTTGGCTCGGGGATGATTAAGGCACTGAGGCCACAATTGGAATTCATGTCCTGCGACAAGCAGGAATGGAACTTGGTTTCCACTCCTGACCAGTTTCCATTTTTATTTATAGTTTAGACTGATGTTGGCCAGTTTGTGAAATGTCCTTGCCCCTGTTTGTTCTGGGGAGGTACGAGTAATGCAGGCCCTAGCAGTAGACCTACATTACGGCTGAATGGTTTTCAAAACACATTGGGTTCAATTTCTCAATCAGTCATGAATGAATCAAGCACAAAAATAAACCACGAGTGCACCATTACGATCCTATTCCCATTGATGGAAAGGAATTGACACCATTTGGAGAGTCTTGCAGCTCAGTTGGGAGAAAGACAGACTCCAATCAATGTACCTAACAATGACTGTCTTATGTCTGCAGGCTACTGAGGATGAGAATATGACCTCCCTCACCATGATCAATAATGAGCAACCACTGTTGATCCTGGTGCAATGGATTCCTGACCTGGAATCTCGCAATCTACAGATCTTTGTCTCTGATTGGTTAAAGAAAGTATGTGGTGCTACCCTGCGGACTCGCATGACCTGCGTGAAGGCTGGGGTATTGAGTGCTACTCTGGCATCGTTGCACTGCCACCCACAGCTCGACAGAAAGTGTGGCGAGAACCTTATTGACTTGCTACAGGTGGTGGGTAGCCTTTCCATTCAACCCGGAGAACTCCGGCAACTCATAAAACTACTTCGGACCACTGATGGAAAAGTACATCCATACTCTGCCCGTGTCATTCGGGCCTTATCAGCCATGGCGAGGAAAGATGGGACTGAAAGTGTGCTGCAGTATTTTGACCTGACTCCCAGTATGGCAGGAATAATGGTTCCCGTTATTCAGAAATGGCTGGGTAATGGTTTTGCTTTCCACACGTGGCTGTGCCTGAATGAAGAGTGGGAGGATGGCTGCATATTCAGCAAGAGACCAAAACGAAAACAACTGTACAGGTAGGAAATGTGAGTTATAATTCCCCTGCGCACATGAGAACTATTATTCACCTGCAGAAGTGTAATTGTCATTGTCCTCCCTCTGCACAAGTAAGAATGGTCATGTATCACTCAGCACACAGGTGAGAATTGACAACTTGGACAACAAGGAAAACCATTAAATTATTTTTAAAAAAAAAAAAAGAAGCAGGCATAGACCATTCACCACGGACCCTACTTTGTCATTCAATAAAATGACTTATCCAATTGTGGCCTTAACTCTACTTTCCTGTTCAATCCCACAAGCTTTGAAGACTTTGTAGGTCAAAAACTTGTCTAACTTGGCCTTCAATGTCTTTAGTGACCCACCCTATGCTGTCTCTGAAAGAGAATTTCACATATTAATGACTCTCTTAGAGAAGAAATTTCTCCTCATTTCCATCTTGAGTAGGAGACCGTTTATTTTTAAACTGCACCCGATAGTTCCAGATTTACCCACTGGGCAAATATCCTCTTAGCCTCTACCCAATCAGAATTTTATATTTCAGTAAGAGCACCTGCCACTCTCCTAAACTCTGGTCAGTATAGGCTCAATCTAGTTAACTTTTTTCTTTTAATCAAAGACAATTTCTTCATCATTGATATAAACCTCATGAGCATTCTCTGAACTGCTTCCAATGCATCCTTCTTTAAATAAAAACTTGTACACAGTACTGTAGGTGCTGTCTCACCAATGCCCTGTTCAGTTAGAGTCATGAGTTCATCCAGCATGGACACAGACCCCTCAGTCCAACTCATCTGCGCCGACCAGATATCCCAATCTGACCTAGCCCCATTTGGCCCTTATCCCTCTAAACCCTTCCTATTAATATACCCATCCAGATGCCTTTTAAATGTTGTAATTGTACCCGCCTCCATCACCACCTCTGGCAGCTTGTTCCGTACACGCACCATCCTCTGCGTGAAAAATTACCCCTCAGGTCCTTTTTAAATCTTTCCCCTCTCACGATTAAACCTATGCCCTCTAGTTTTGAACTCCCCCATCCTAGGAAAAAGACATTGGCTACTCACCCTATCAGTGCCCCTCATGATTTTATAAACCTCTATAAGGTCACCCCTCAGCCTCCGACACTCCCTTTATCCACTCTGTTTGTTACATCCTCAAAAAACTCTAATAAATTTGTCAAACACAATTTCCCTTTCACAATCCATGCTGACTCTGAATTATGATTTTCCAGACATCCTTCTATTAGCTCATTAATAGATTCTAGAATTTTCCCAATATCAGATGTTAGGCTAACTGGTCTATGTCTTCCTGCTCTTTGTTTCTCTTGTTTAATAGAAATGTTACAGTTGTGGTTTTCCAATCTGCTGAGATCTTTCTAGGAATTTGGCATGTTAAAAGAAATGCATGCATTATCTCTGCAGCTACTTGCATTGAGAACTTAAGATACAGACTGTCGGGTCCATGGGCTTGTCAGCCTCTGGTTCTGTTAGTTTCCAAGTACCTTTTTCTCTAGTGGATGCAATTGTTTCTGTCTTGATTTGCTACTATTCAGGCATGCTTTTTATGTCCTCAACTGTAACTAATGGCCACTTTAGCGACTCTTGGTTTTTTTTTTAAATGTTTGTCGAAGCTTTTGCTGTCTATTTTTGTAACACTTGCTAGTTTTCTCTTGTACTCCAATTTTTCCCATTGATTTTTAGTAATCCTGGCTGGTTTCTAAAATTCTGCCAGTTTTCTGGGTTTTTAATCTCCACAGAATTGTAAGCCTTTCTTTAAATGTTAGTCACCCAAAACATCCTTACCTGGCTATGGTTTGTTTATTCTTCTTGTAGAGTCTTTCTTTCTCGATGCCATATATCCTTGTCAATGTTATGATATCCCTGCCTGTCTGCTGAATGGGGAGGTATTACATTCCTGTGTGAGGAAGAAATGCCATGCATTATTCATCTGTGCAGGGAAGAATCCATATTGGTCCATCCAACCAATTAGTGACAAAGATTGTAACTGAGGCCAGATGATGGGTGAAATAGCATTATGCTGTTTTCGTCCCTTCCTAGAGAGTAATAAATAACAGATTGGAACTGACACAAGATTAGCTTTAAAAAGCTAATTTTGGAATTCCATAGAGCAATGTACCACAGGATAATGATGTGAATGAAAAAGCTCTTCTGATGTCAGACTTAAGATACATATTTTCAACTGCGCTGAGAGTCGATGGTCTGTATGTATCCCTATCTGTACCTATCTGGGAGTTTTTGACGGGACAATATGGAGAGAGATTTACTTTGCAGGGTGCTGGCAGCTTTGTTCGTTGCAACCTGCTTACGATTCCAGGAATTTTTTGTTGAAGGGGGAAAGAGAATTGTGCATTAAGAACGTTGTCTCTTATATCTGAATCTTCAAATGACAAATGTAGTAGTGCTATATTTACATTAGCAAACCGTTCCTGGCAAAGGGAAATTGTCCACAAAACTCAGAAATGGGAATATGGATTAACGTTGGAAAGAACATCAATCAACCTAGTTCCTTTTGTTTTTTCTCTCCTTTTCCTACAGTTTCTTCACATCAAGTGGAACTGGGTTTGAGGCCTTCTTCACATCAGACGGGATGTTAGTTGTTGCAGTTTGCACCAAGAAAGAATATATGACCGTGGCTCTCCCAGAATTCACCTTGAGTGACTCCCACTGGGTACGTTCTGAGTAGCTTCTTGTGCTCATTTATAATCTAGTGTATCTCACTGGAGGTGGTCATTTTACCCAGCCTTAGCTCTTTTTGCTTTGAAAAAGACGTACTTTATTCATAAAGTATCTAGGACCAAACCAATTCAGTCCAGACATTGCATGAAATGGGGTGGAAATTTGACACTTCTCATTAGAGCTTCAATTCAGTTGCAACAAAAAGGCATTTTCTAATCAAGAAAGGAAACTATTTACATTCCCATTAAGACAATGAGGAGATCTGAAACCCTTATTACATTTTAGCAGACAGACCTTAAACTGTGGCCTCTCTTTACTGTGCCTTGGAGGTAGCTGACCTAAGCTTTAATACATCCCTCAGCATGTAGTCCTGAACTTTGGAATGTGGCAGTCTGCAACACTCTGTCAAGGTCAACTCTTTGTACTGCAAGACCAACAGGTTTTGGGCAGACGAAGAAGTGCCTTTCAACAAGTTGATGGTCCTTCAGTTGCAGCTGACGTTTGTCTCGACATGTGTCCCAGGGAACAGCCCATAGAGCACAGAGTCCCTGCATCATGGAGCTGCTCCCTCCCCGGCTTCCTTAAGAAGATGGTGATGAGCCTCTATCTTGAATCCTAGCAGCAGGTCTTGATGCAGCTGAGTGAGTATCTTATTCAAGCACTTAAGAGTACAGTTAAAAGTCAAGCCCGTTGATATGGGATTGGAGTCAAATGTGGGCAGATGAGGTAACGTCAGCAATTTTACTTCCATACAGTGCGGAAATCCTGAACAGCAGCAGCTCAGAGCCCCTTGGCATGCCTTTCTGTTCTCTTTTGCTGACAAAACTCTTGTTAAGTAATGTAATATATTACTGAAACCATGGGGAACCATCACTCCTTCCTCCAGTGGCTAAGCTGATGCGCAGAAGGCGTGAAGGACTGACACTGCTCTTCCTGCAACTGAGAAGATCACAACTATGTGAAGATTCTGCCTGACAAGATCCCTCCATGCTCCAGCAGGGAACATCATCCAGATCAACATGTCTGTTGACTGTAAATGGATGAGGCGTGTGGCACGTATTTTCCTCTTTCAAAGTAATTTACTTTCATCTCCTTAGCAATGTTTTTCCTTAATTCTTCATTCATTTGGTCCTCCGACTTTTGAAACCGCTTTCTTTTTAATCTGCATACCCTAATTACTCCCGAGGTTCACCCTGTTGACCTCCCATCCTCCACGTGGCACAAATTCCTCATTGTCCGAAATGGCCAGTTGAATTCAAAATTGTTCAAAGGTCCTACAGACTCATTTGGCTACATTTGCCCTGATTAGAAGCAGGCAAACGAGGCCTGACATCAGTATAGTAATCAAAATTTATGTTGCTTTTTCCATTTACTTGGCCAATCTGGAATGGGACCCGAACACATCCCTCTAATTTGGAAACTGTGCATCTGGACCAGAGATTTACTTCCCACCTTCAACTTATGAAAGTGGTCACTCTGCCTTGGGGCGAATACCCCAAACATTAGGGTTAATGTTCCCGGTTTTAACTGTAACTACTTGTTGAAACTGGGTTTGGAAGACAATTACTTGTAAAATGAGGTGAGAGACGTGCCCCCTTCCAAACTGCTGCTTTCTGGATGGCTCCCAGTAATAACATGCTTGAACATTGCAGGGCAGACTTAGGAAGATGGTGGATGCAATTTGGAGTTTAATGATATTAAAAGGACCTGGTTGCAATTTTTTGAAGATTTGAGTGGGTGAGCGGCAGCTGATTACCCATCAGACGAAATGTATCAGATATAAGAATTTTAGTTGTCGTTTGAATTAAAAGTACAAGAGGTACGTTGAAGTTGCAGAAACGTAGGGTTTCCATTTCTTCTAAGTTTTTGCATGAGGGTACATTAGAAGGCTGGTGGGACACTACCTTAATAAGTACCAGAGGATTTTGACAACAGTTTCATTGAAAAAGATGGAGGAAATGTGGACGCAGCATAACAGTTGACGTAAGCCACTAACCTCAAATGTTCTCCACTTGACAGTGAAACATCAGATATTAAACCACAGTTTTGCTGCAGGTGTCCAAAAATAATCTGATTTTGTCTGCTAACGGTATAAAAAGTAAATCTGATCAAAGGGAGCGCGCGCGCTCACAGCACGCAAGAGAGGGAAAACCTGGACAGAGGATGTTGTGTTCTAGTACAGTGAGTAACTCCAGTCACCAGCATAGTTTAATTTTCTCCTCACCTTCTCATTTGCAGCACTGCATTGACATTGTTCACATCGCAGGACGCCGACCCTTTGGGCAAAATTTGGTCAATATTTACACAGACGGTTATCTAAGGAAGACGGCACAGCTACGGTTCCCTTCACTGAATGAGGTGAGGTCTGACCGTCACTAACTTCTTTGAGTTTCTCTTTTTTTTCCCTAAAATAAAACTGACACAATTAAATTTTGTGCGGAACCAACGATGGGACTCAGCTCACTGACCTTGGATACCTTGAGATAAAGTCATACACCAGAATATCACCAAGTTGCACTAATGGAGGGAGTGCTACACTGTTGTCAGAGTAAATTAGTTAGAGCAGGATTTAGTTCAATATTTACACACTTTAGTCGTTACTGCAATTCCAGTATGTTGTATATGTATACTGAGTTGATTTGAAATTTTCAGGCCTAATACAAATAGATTTTTGCTTGTCAAGAGTATCAGTGTTCTGCAGCAAAAGGCATGAGGTGCAGAATAAACTTGAGGAACCACCACTCCTATTCTTATGTTCTCACCCCACTGTTCTTTCAATTTAGATGCCATCTTGTATTCCGGGCTTGAATTCTTCACCACCTTTTCTATGTGTGTTCTGAAGAAAATGATCTGACATAGGAACAGAAGTGGCCTATTCAGTCTATTAAGTCTTCCCCACTATTCAATATGGTCATGGCTGATCAAACACCTTTTACCCAGGCCATCCCCATAACCCTGTTCACTTTTTTTAGTTGTCAGAAATTTATCAATATTAACTTCAAATGCTAACAGACTACTGAGTATTTCTAGGAGGTTTCTGCTTATAAAAATCGAAAGAACTGCAGATGCTTCAAATCAGAAACAAAAGTAGAAATTGCTGGAAAAGCTCAGCAGATCTGGCAGTATCTGTGCAGGGAAATCAGAGTTAACGTTTCGGGTCCAGTGACCTTCCTGATGAGCATCAGTTCTGAGGAAGAGTCACTGGACCTGAAGCGTTAACTCTGATTTCTCCCCACAGATGCTGCCAGACCTGCTGAGCTTTTCTGGCGATTTCTGTTTATTTCATTTTATCTTTAGTATATAATTATGTTGAAATATTGATATCTTACATTTTTTCTTTACTTCCAGTCCTTCACGTACTGCTGTATTGGATCAGCTGGCCACAGAACAACGACAACAGTTATTACTTCTCCCATCCAGACTCCTGATCTGTCCTTCACTTCACATTCCCCTCTCAACCGTTCTCAGTCCTTCCCAGCCAGCTTTTCATCTCCCATGAGAGGCCCCACCTCTCCACAAGCCATTGTGAATACAATCGCAGCCAGCATGCAGGATGCAGAATGGGGCACACCAACCTCCTTGGAAGGGCTGATGGGATCTGTCTTCGTGTTCCATGAAGCTCTGCAGCCGGCACAAATCAAAGCACTTTTTAACGCAGGTGGGTTTTCCTGTACTGCTTTATTGGTCAGCCATGATGTGAGAGTTCGTGCACACCGTCTTGTTTGTTCCCATGTGCATTACTGAGGTCGTACTGAAATGATAGAGGTGTCAGTCTACCTGCCTGCCCTCTTAAGTTGATCGTAAACATTGTAAGGCAGAAGAAATGTATCACCCACCAGTGTTTCAACCGACGATGTTCACGCAATCAGCGCTACAAAAAAGCTGTTATTTTAACTTAGTATGCTTCTTGCAATCCTATTGAGCCCAAATTTGCTGTTACGTCTTTCGAAAAAGCAATAGCGATTGTCCTGTTAAATGATTTTGAGATGCACCTGGTCATGGCCAGACAGATCTATCCATTTATGATCGATATTCTATTTTGGTCCCGAGGGTTCTGGGACAAATCTACTGGCAAGACAGTGTTCTTCTCTGAACAGCCTCCTGCTGGCTGACTGTCGTTTGCAGGGTGACCAGCAGCCTGGCAAGGGAATGTGGAAGATAAATATGAAACTGTTGACCCCAGAACACATTGAGGAGCTCAAAAGGCATTACACAGGTGAGACACCTGTGAAGCCCCTCTTTAAGTCTCCATTGGACTGGTGGGAACGGTCCTTCATCCTCAAAGGTGTTCAGAAGGCAAGAGAGTGTGATGGGTAAAATTGTACAAACTCCAGGAAAGCAAGTAGAACTTACTCCTGTCACAAAGGATCTCTGAGGTGAAGAGCCTGCAAGCCTCACTCTTTGCTTTGGAGGCCTTCAGGATAACTGTCTGGTCCAGGTCTGCACTGTGGAGCAAGATGAGATGCACTTGCATTTCTTCTTCGCAGGGAGAGCTCTGTGATCAGCAGCCTAAAGGAAGAAGGTGGCTTGGTAATGTCATCTCAGTCTGACATCGTAAGGATCAGCAAATCCTTTCATGCTAAAGTACATGACTTGAAGCCCACAGACAGCATGGCCTCCCAGTTGATCCTGTCCTCTCGCGGAGGTCTTGGGTGACAGCACACGAGAGAGGCTGCACCAGCCATTATTTTTGGATGAGCCCTTAAGACCTTTTGAGATGAGTAAAACTCCGGATGTGACGGCTTGCTGGTGGCATTATATTCAGGACTGTGGGATTTGGTAGGCGAGGACCTGCTGGAGGTGTACTGCGGTATGCTTCTGGCAATTAGTGTTTGCAGATACATGAGAAATTGCATCATCACTCTCATTTACAAATGAAATGGGAGAGAGAGGAAATTAGAAATTGGTGACCAAATCCTGCCTAAGGCCATCACCAACTGAGTCAGGTCTTCTCTGGGATCAGTGATGCACCCTGACCAAACCTGTTCCGTACTGGGCAGGATTACCTCCGAGAGCCTCATGCTCCTCAGGGATATGATCGCCTATTTGCAGGACAGGGGGATGGACACCTGCCTCATCATCCTGGACCAGGAGAAGGCCTTTGACAGGATATCACACACCTACATGAGGGACTTCCTCTCTAAAATGGGCTGTGGGGAGGGAATCTGCAATTAGATCTGATTCCTCTACGCCACCGTTGTTACTCAATGAGTGGTAATCAGAAAGCTTCCTGATCAGATCTGGAGTCAGGCAGGGCTGCCTACTGTCTCCTGCCTCTTTGCTGAGGTCCATCAGGAAGGATTAGAACCTGAGAGGGGTGAATTTCCCTGTACATGGATGACGTTACTATTTTCTGCTTGGATCTGCTGTCAGTGGGCAGACTCCTAAGCATCTGCAACCAGTTCAAACTGTCCTCAGGAGCCAAGGTAAATTGAGACAAGAGCAAGGCCATGTTCCTTGGGAACTGGGCTGACCAATCCTTTAACCTCTTTAGCATCAGGACAGATTACCTGAATGTACTGGGTATATGGTTCAGAGGGGATGGGGTATGTCCAAAAGCCTGGGAGGAATGCGTTGCCAAGGTGAGGCAGAAATTGGTCCCATGCGAGCACCGCTTTCTCTACCTTCCTGGTGTAAACCTGGTTATCTGTTGTGACATACACTCGGTGTTGCATGTGGTGCCCATCTGGTCCATTCCCTAAAAGTGCACTGTTGCAGTCACCTGATCCACTTTCCACTTCATCTGGATGTCTTAAGATGGACTGTGTCCACAGGAACACCATAGACAAAGCTCCGGATAAGGTAGGTGGGGTGGGCGTGGGGTGTGTGGGGGGGCGGTGGGGTTGGTAGTTGTGGGATGTTGAGGGTGGAGGATATACCCAAAGCCAATTCATCATGAAGGCCACCTTTGTGTGCAGCTGCATCAAACTGTGTGTAGACTCTTGGAATGCAAACACCATCTGTATTTATATCTTCCTGCTTGTCATTTGTTCACCCTGTCTCACTTGCTCTCATTTTCCATTTTACAATTCTGGCTCCTGGCCTTGCTAAATTGCCCATAGTATCCATGGGTGTGCAGCCTAGGCAGATTAACCATGGGAATTGCAGAGGTACAGGGATACAGCCGGGGGTGGGGGATAGTGGGGAGTGGGTATGCGGTAATGGGGGTGGTAGTTATGGTCGGGGTGGAATTCTCTTTCGTGCAGACTTGACAGGGCGAAATCATCTGCTTCCACACTGTATGGGATTCTATGATTCTGCCCTAACATATTACGTCCCTTTATAGTGCTGAGTTTGATTGCGCTTGCTGTGTTCCTCCCTGCACATTATTCTCCTGGTTTCCTTTAGAGAAACTCATCATCTCTTGACAAAATCCTGACAGATGTTGTTCTCAAGGACTTTACCACTTACATTCTCTCTCTCCCGCTCATGCTCACTCTCCCATCTTCCACATAATTATAATTAAAATTTGGAGGGCTGGCAGCATGTGTGCAAAAACGCATGTGATTAACAGCAGGGGAATGCTTTTCATTGGTGTAGGTGGGTTATTAAAGAGCCTCTTGATCAAAATGGGAGGCTTTGCATCACGGCCACCTTTCATGTCCAACCAATATAGTGTTAAACATATAACTTGAGAACGCAAAGGCGACACTGGATGCTTTCCAAAATTAAATTTCACTTGTAAATGTTTCGCAATGTATTGATTTCACTTTTGTCACGTGTGCATCATCATTATTTGTTTTGAATAGCATCTTCAGAGAGCTAACTGTACTGCTGAGCCTCATGGTTTGTACGTATTGATGGTTACAGGAGGAGTTGGAGACATTTTCTTTGTTGAGGAACAAATAATGTGGTGTTCGTTTGTTCAATCTTTATTGAATGTTTAAGCGAGTGTTCAGTGTTGTGCTCACTGCTCTGTGGGACAATACTGAATTTGCAGGCCTTCCCTTCTAACATTGTTAAAGATCATTCCCAGTGGGGACAATTGAAATGCTGTAAACACAAAGCCCTGTATTTCTCTGCCAGCCAGCATTGTGAGATGGACCCAAATTTGAACTGTAGTGATGCCATTCATTTTCTTACCATGACTGCTTGTTCCAACCGCTTGCACACCCAGGATGTAGACCCTTCCCAATCCACTCCTCCATGCCGCTGACATCTCACCACTGGCTCAGTCTTGCTGGTCCTGAGCCACTGTGTAATCTGTCATCCTCCTGCACCCCTCCTTTGATCCCTAGAGCTATAAGGAAAACCATCAAACTTGAATATAACTGAGCAAAGGTGCACACCACCTTTTAAACATCATGGGCTGAGATTCTCATGTGCTGCTAACTTTATCTCGGAAGTAGGAAATAGTTTAAAATGTTTTAGACTAATGTGTACTCATGGTATGCAAATATGTCCTCTGCATCTCAACCCACTGTTTGGAACTTGAAATTTCACAATGTCCCTAATTGAGTCATCCTACATGCCATGTTTCCTACTCTTGAGCTGCATAAAATGCATCCCATTGTTTCCCTCTCTCTCTGTGTCTCTCTGTGTCTCTCTCTATACTTTGCTTTCATGGTCTCTCTGGATGTGATAAGCAGTGACCCGATCTGCAATAAAAGGCCTTTTGCTAGAGTTGAAGTTGCTGAAACAAACTCAACATACAAAGCAGTGCGGTGATCACTTTGTCATTGGTTTACTTTGTTCTTTAGGTCCAAACAATTTGTTGCCATTTAAGCCTGACAGTGAGCTGTCTGATTTGAGTAACAAGCTACTCCTTCATTACACTCCCAAGGTAAGTAAGTTCAGAAAGTTTTTTACGTGAAAGTTGCAACAAACTTAGTGAGTTGAGTTCTGTCAAAGCAAAGGGTGGTGCATGGAGGAATAGTCACTTGATGAAGGTACTGTAAGTTCCAATCACCAGCAGAGCTCTAGCAAAGAGGGCAGAGGAGTGACCCATGATGGGGAAATTGATTGAAGGAGGGTGGAGTATGAAGGATGGATTGTGTAATGGATGCAGTCGACCTTCCTTCCAGGGCCAGTTAGTGGCATATACTATATTTGAGTTAGTGACAGGAACCATACCTTGAAGGCAACTCGTTAGCTATATGAACATTAACCTATTTTCATGGTTTCATCTTTTTTTAGGCCTGCAAAAATCAAATTTGTCTAGATCTGTCCTCAAACCGATTCTATGATGGGAGGTTGACTGGGCACAATACAGTCAACTGGGATATCAAGGTGAGTACCAGTTTGATGGAAAATGTCAACAAGCTTAATGCAGCATATCTGTTCTACAGTTTGGGATGTCAAGAGCAGGAAGGATGGGGGAGTGCAGCTTACACTTCACCTTACTGCAGCCATGGCATTTAACCAGTGCCAGGGAAAACTCCACTAGACAGTCTGCTGCATCCCTGCAAGCTAAGAGTAAGGTACAGGACCTTGTAACCTGGGATCATTGTGGCTTACAGAGATCCCCCATGGAGGTATATTGGAAACATCCTCCATCTCTGGGTCGTACTCATCTGACTGCAGAGATTTGACCCCACTTAGCAAGGACCTACCACCTGCCATTGCTCTGCAGTACTGTGACAGGAACACACACATCCTTGTAAGTGACCTGATGCCAGCTCTTTAGGTGCCTGAGGATCTAAAATCCAGTTATCAGACTGGAGAACGTAGAAATTGCCAAGTTTATCTATCAGAGAGTAAATTTTGAATGGCACAAGAACATTACCATTAGTCTTCTTCCACACACAGTTGGCGCTGGGCCAGTAATTCCATTGGCACCACACACCCAGACACCTTGCTTGAGGTTGGTATCAGGACCGTGAAGGTGTTCGCAATGAACTAACCAATCCTATCAGCAAAGACTACCACCTCCAGTTCTGTATTCACAAATGGCCAAAAAAAAACTCCCAATTTTTTAATCTCTATCATGTGTCAAGCTCTGGGCTGTTGACCTCCAAGCTCCTTGACCTGCTCCACAGCATTCTCTTAGTTTCACTGACTTTGTTCCAGGGCATGTCCTCCCTCTCTATGTCTCTCTCTGTCTCTGTCTCTCTTTCTCTTTTACTCTCTTACACACTTTCTTTTTCTCTGTTCTTTATGTCCTCCCACTTATCAATAGACTGTGTTTATTCCTATGGTCAGTAATCATTCTTATCTTTTTAGGATGTGATCAATTGTGTTGGGGGAATGGGCGTCCTCCTACCACTTCTAGAACAAGTGGCATCCAAAAGCGAAGATTCAGAGGAGAATCAAGAGACAACTGACCTAGTGGGACCAGAACTGACATCTTCACAGAACATCCAAGGAATGCTCCTACCTCTGGGGAAGTCTTCAGGTAAATCTCTTGACCAGAATTTTATGGCCCCTACCCTCCTAAAATGGTCTGGCAAATATGGAGTATGAAATCATGTGCAATGTCGGAGTTATTGAGCTCATCATCTGCCTTAGTTTTTAACCATAACCTTTGTTATTTTGCCAGTGATAGGCTAGGTATTGTGCAGCTGGTTCACCCTTGGGTTGCTGAGATGCCCCAGAGGCCAATTAATAGTTACTGAAGAGCCACTTCTCACTGTTGTTAGAGTGTGCACTGTCCATGCCACATGACAAAGCCACCACATACGTTCTGGTGGCCTGACTGCTGACCCACGATGATAGCTTTCCTCATGATTGGGAACCATATGCCTTATTGTTAACACCCAGCAGAAAGAGCAGTCCGGCTTCAAGACCCTTTCCCTAGTGCCTTGATCATAAATCCTCCCACTACCTACTTAGGAAATGCATGTATATGGGTAAGAAATGAAAATGGCTGCATAACCTGATGACATCATGTCCAGTAGAAATGCCACAGAGATCATCTTCCAGCCGGAATGGCTCCAAGAGCATCTTTCATCATGTGATTGCATTCTTGGAGATCTAGGGAGAAAGCAAAAATATTAATAAATAAGGAATGTGAACATTTAAAAAGACCCTACTTCTCCATGTTTCTGTAACTCTCAAAACTGTCCACAACTCTGCATTTTTTCACCGCAGCCTCCTTGTCAGTCCTCCACTTCCTTCATCCCAGGTTTGTTGCCATGCCATTAGCCTATAAAGTGCTAATCTCTGAAAGTTTCTGCACCTCTCTTCTATTTAAAATATTCCTTAAAACTACCTTGTCCAACATGCGTGTCTTTCTTTGTCTGATTGCTTTGAAAATCGTCCATATAGGAAGTATTGCCAGCTACAGGAGTTGGAGCTTTGGGTTTAGAAGCTTGATCTATGGTTTGAGTCATTGTGGTACACTGAGGCTGAGAGGTGCGCAAGTAATACATTCAGAGAGGTGGTTACACCACAGGCTAGGAGTAGAACTGATGAAAGAAATAGAAAAGTAGAAAGCGAAAACAGAATACAGATAAAGCACAGGGAAGCATTCAATATGATTAAAATGTAGAATCGTAAAAAAGGAGGATGGAAGGCAGTCCGTGACATTTGCAAAATGGTTGATGATTTGAATACCCAAATGGATATGATTTGATTGTCATAACAAAGACATAGTTACACAGTGCCCAGGATTGAGAATTAAATATCCAAGGACATTCAGAACCTTGGAGCGATAGGCCAAACGTTAAAGAACAGGGGTAGCACTCTTAATTTGGGACAAGATTCGTACATTAGTGATAACAGATCTTAGATCAAAGCATCAAGATGGAATCAGTTTATGTGAAGCCAAGAAACAGCAAAGGGCAGAAAACATTGGTGAGTTGCTGAGTTTCTCCAGCAATTTCTGTTGAAATTGAAACGTTGATGGATACTGTTTATAGGCCACCAGGCAGTGGTGGTAATATCAGACATGGCATAAATCAGGAAATTAGAGATAACACATAATGTGGGTAATACAGTAATAAAGGAAGTTTCAATTTAGACACAGACTGAGTTAACCAAATTAGAACTAATATTCTGGAGGATGAATTTCTTGAGTGGGTACTGGATGTTTCTGGCTCAGTACATTGAGGACCCAACTTGGGATTGAGTTATTTTGTGAGGGAAAATTAAGGACATTGCTGTAAAGGTGCCTTAGTATAGTATGTTAGAATTTCACATTAAATTCGTATACAATACAGTTCATTCTTAAATTAGGGCCTTGAGTCTGAAAGAAAATTTATGAAGAACTGTGTGCAAGTTGGCTCTGGTGGATTTGGAAAATACATTTAAAACATTTGATGGTAGACAGGTTGAAGGTTGCGTTAGATCAAAGGAAGGGGCTTGTATGGTTGGCTGAAGATATAGTAAGCTTGAGGATTGTGAGCAAAGGAGAATCAATAAGCTAATGAAGCATGGAAAAATAGAATATCAGTGCAAACTGGCAAGAAACAGAGGTGTACTGTAAAACCTCTTTAGATACGTAGAAAGGAAAAGGTAAGGCAAATATGGGCCCTTTGCATTGAGGAAGGGAGAATTTAGAGTGGAGAACAAGGAAGTGGAGGAGAAACTAAACAGTTACATTTCTTATATATTCACAGAAGATGACACAGGAAAATCTCCCAGAAGTACTAGGCAACCAGTGGGCTTGTGAAACTGAGGAACAAAGTTAAATTAGGAAAGTATACTTGACAAGTTAACTGGATTGAAGTTGATAACTTTTCTGGATCAGATAAGCTACATCCCAGTGTTGGATGAGGTGGCTAGAAAGATGATGGATGCATCGGTGGTTATCTTTGAAAATTCTGCAGATTCTGGAAGCATTAAAGTGGATTGGGAAGTAGCAAATGTAACCCCACTGTTTAAGAAGGGAGGAAGATGGAGAGTGGAGAACTGCAGATCCATTGGTATGATGTCACTTGCAGGGAAAATGTCATAAACTGCTCAATCAGAAAAGAATGGAAAACTAGGCAGATAAACATGGATTTATGAAAAGGATATTATATTTCATAAACTAGTAGTATTTTGAGGATATTAGTAGCATAGGTAAATAGATATGGCAAATTTGGATTTTGGAAGGCTTTAAAGTCCCATGCAGGAAATTAGTAAATAGAATTAGAGCACATGCGATTGGGGAACCAAAACTCGTACAGATTGAGAACTTGTTAACAGACAGAAAGCAGAGAGTTGGAATAAATGGGTCATTCTCAGGATGTTACTAATGGGATACTGTAAAGGAACAGTATTAGGTTCGCAGATACATAATCTATATAAATGATTTGGATGGGTATATCAATTATAATATTTAAGATTTGCTGATGACACCAAACTGGGTAGAAATATGTGTTATAATGAAGGTTCAAGGAGACTTTAAGAGGACTTTGACAGGTTAAGTGAACAGGATAAAACATGGCAGATGGACTATAATGTGAATAGGTGTGAAGTTATTTACTATCATTTTTAAAAAAGACATTTTTTTTAAATGATGTGAAGTTGGGAAGTGTGAATGTCCGAAGAGAGTGGGATGTCCTTGTTAATGAGTCACTAAAAGTTAGTGTGCAGGTACAGCAAGAAATGAGGAAGGAAAATTGAATCAGAGATAGTAGGAACTGCAGATGCTGGAGAATCCGAGACAACAAGGTGCAGGGCTGGATGAACACAGCAGGCCAAGCAGCATCATAGGAGCAGAGAGGCTGACGTTTTGGGCCTAGACCCTTCATCAGAAAATTGAATGTTAGTTTTTATCAGATAGGGATTTGAGTTTAGGAATAACGATGTCTTGATTCAGTTATATCGTGCTTTGGTAAGATCACACTTGGATTATTTTGTACAGATTTGGTCCCCTTTTTTTGAAGAGGGATACATTTTGCAAATGAGGTTCACTAAATGAATCATGAGTGTGGCTGAATTGTCTAATGAGGAGAGTGGGTCAGTACTCTGGAGTTTTGAAGAATGAGTTGACCTCATTTAAATTCTTAAATTTTTTTTACAGGGCAGATGTAATTAAGATGTTTCCCATGGCTGATGAGTTTTAACACCAGGGGACATGATTTTAGAATTAGGGGCAGGAATTTAAGACCGAAATGAGGAGAAATTTCTTCACTCAGAGGGTGGTGAATCTTTGGGTCAGCTCCTTTCAAAGGATTTTCCATCTGTAAATCCTATCCAGAAAATCCTGTAGCTCCCTTTGCATTTCAAATCAAAACATTGATCTTTTAGTGAATGGAGCTTTGTGCAATTACGTGTGAACGTGAAAAGGTCTTGCTCAAGGGTATGATGTTGAGATGGTGTTGACATTCCATAAAAGATGAGCTCAAATGATGCTTCTTCGTACTATATTAACTTGTGGTCTTTTTATAGAGAGCAAATTGGAGAGGAATAGTGTAGCTGCATTTTTGCTACTGGTTAAGAATTTAATCCGAAACCATGCCATAAATCAGGAGAATTTCATCCAGTGCAATGGCCCAGCTGTCATAGGTGCCCTGCTGCAAAAGGTAAGACTTTGTTGTGAATTTTGTTCTTGCGTAGCTTGTGGTCATCACTGGCAAGATTGGTCGTTTGTTGCCCATTCCTAATTGCCCTTTCTCATGGTATGCTTGGCCATCTCAGTAGGCAGTTAAGAATCAACCACGTTAGCATAAGTAGATTATCACAACTTTTCTCCCATTCTATCCATCACCAAAGAACCCTCTGCTTGGGTTTGCTTTTCATAATAGTCTTTTATAATTTACTAAAACTTTGTGATTTGTATATTTGTACTCCCAGATCCCTTTGCTTCTCCAACCCAATTTGTTCATATTTTTGTTTATTCTGTATTTTGTGTAATTTGTCACGGCCTTAAATTGGGACTATCTCTCTCGCCCCCAACCACTTCCCCTTTCCTTCTCTCTTCCCTTTTGCTCCCCCTCCCTTTCCCCTCCTCCATTAATTCGCTTCCCTCGATGGGGTGCAGATCTTCAAATTTAGAAATGGTGATTTTGATTCCAACGTCTGAATTGTCAATGTCAATTGTGACCTCATGCTTGATTTTCCCAATTGCTTCATTTTAAATATGTATTTAACATTTAAAAGAGGACTATCAGATGACCTCTCAATCTTCTATACTCAATGGACTACAAGTGAAATTTATGTAATCTATTGACATTATTTAATTCTGTAGGTCTGGTATAATTTTGGTGAATTTGCAAACCCAGGTTGAAGCTGAAACATATTTGTAGAGCATCTGGAGAGGGACCCTTACAATATATCTACTATACCTATGCTTGCCCTGCAGTCATTGGGGGATAATGTATAGGTATCCATGCTGCATTTGATCTGGAGTGTTTGATATGACAGTGCAAAAGAATTTATATTGAGTTACTAACCCATCTTGTGCCTACCCTTGGAAGGTTTCATTGTATTCCTCAAGATTCCTCAAGTTAAGGAATATAATATTAAAATCTTAACAAGTTTTTATTTTATTTTGAACTGAAGCAGTTTCAGCCACACTAGTCAAGCTTGTTTAAATTGTCACCGATTCTATTATATTGTTCTTGTTGTACAAAACAAAGTTAATGTCCCCATATAGAGAGCTGGGGATAGAAACTAACGTCCCTGTGAGAGCAGGATTAGGGGGAAGGAAATCGGTGACAAACTTCAAAAGATGACTTCAAAAAAAAAAGGATGTACTTTGCAGTTAATGAGATTTTATGGAACTTAATGAGGTCTCATGATAGCTAACAAACTTCATTGAACTTAACAAGGATGTTTTGTTAGTTATCATTACCTTGGAGTAAACATTTTCTTTCAAAGCTTCCAGTTTTAATCAAAGGAAATTGTTACATTTGCAGAAGGTTGGTGGGTGACAATTCCTGCTCAGTTAGAGCTGAACTAATTACAGTATACTTGAATCATCTTAGCATAGACTGAAAAGAAGAAAGTAATAAAACAGATTTTATTATAGCCTAGGCAACAGTTTTTATTACAGAAAGGATGATAACTGACAGAGAGGGTAGAACTTAGATTTGCTGAGATGATGTGGGAATTTGAAAATATAGCGGTAAGAAGAAAACATGAGAAACATGAAATATACTTAAAACTGTGTGTTACTCTAGCATCAAAAATGATTTTCTGGATGCTTTCTTACCTGTATCAACCAACTCCTTGAGTCCTTTTTCCTCCTCACCTTCCAACCTCCAATGTGAAGAAAATGTGACTTCAAAGTTTGTAACCATTAATTCAGCTTCTCCTTCTGTTGCCAACCTTCACCACTAAGGCAGGCTTCTTATGAGACTTCCCCCAATCTATCTGAGCCAAGGCCATCCTATCTGTGACACTTCGACCCAATTTCCTTTTAAATTGCAAGCATGTACCTGAACTTCATAACAAAGAACATTGTAAATAATTTACTTTGTTTAGTAATTGCCCCAACGCTTTCAAAATATTTGCTTGCCCATTACTCCTCTATCCTTTCAAACTACCACACTTGCCCAACCTCCTTACCTCACCGAAGCTCTTAACATATTGTCTCCAAAATCTATAACCATCTTTACTGAAACAGACATTATCCTATTTGATAGGAGCTCCGTCCGTGCTGAAGCTCACATCTGATCGTTTGCTATCTCTCGACTTGATTATTCGAGCACTTTTCTTGCTGACCTCCCATCCTCTATCTATTGCATTCATCCAAAGCACTGCTTGTCCCGACTTGCATCAGCTCTCATTCACCATTTAACATTGTATTCCCTGATCTACAATGACTTCCGGTCCCCAAGTGCAGCATTTAAAATTTTCACCCCCATTTTAATCTTCAGATTATCAGGTTGTCTCCCTTCCCCACCCCTGTAATCTTTGGAATTTCCTCCGTTCCCACAAGTTCTTTTATCCAACCTCTTTGTATTTACTTCAAGGCCTTCCTTAAAACTTAACTCCTTGTCCATGGTTTGGACATATGCTTGAAATTGTTGCCTTTAACTGGACATAAATCATTGTCTGGATACATATGTAAAGGATCTTTTTCTGTGTTAAAGGTTACAGTTACTCTAATTTCCATGGGAGTTAGCATAAGCAAGAGGTGATTTAATTTTTAAATTTTTTTTTTAAAATAATGAATTGGGAAAGTCTTGTTCTTCCATTTGGACATTTTGTGATGATGGATCATTAGTTTATAATTCTCACTAAAGTGGTAAGAACAAGTATCACGGTGTGGTTGATGCAGAGACCATTGCATCTTTTAAGGGAATGTTGGATGAGTATTTGTAGAGATGAAAGACAGAAGGCTGTGGAAAGAGTGTGGCAATGGAATTTGTTTTAGTTTAATCTATCAAAGAACCAGCACAGACATAGCGGTATGGGATTATGATGATTGTTGGTAGCGTGGTGGCTCAATGGTTAGCACTGTTGCCTCAGAGCGCCAGGGACCCAGGTTCTGCATGGACTTTTCACGTTTTCTCCATGTCTACGCAGGTTTCCTCTGGTTTCTTCCTGCAGTCAAATGATGTGCAGGTTAGGTGGATTCGCTATGGGAAAAGCAGGGTTATAGGGATAGGGTAGGGGAGTGGGTCTGGGTGAGATGCTCTTCGGATGGTCAGTATGGATTGATGGGTCAAGTGGCCTGCTTCCATACTGAAGGGGTTCTAAGTTTTTAATGAAAGGAAGATATGATAGAATCATGCACTGCGGAAAAAGAGACCATGAAGCCTGAGTGGCTGTGCTGACTATTCTCTGCAACTGTTCAATGAATCTGCCTCCCACAGCTCTGTTCCTTTGTTCAGGCATATGTTTGCTCTTTATTGGTGGAAGTGTCCATCAAGGTGTTCCTCAGCCTATTCAATATTATGCTTTCAAAAAGTGGTGATTGCGTTCATAAGGAAGCAGTTAGTTATGTTAAATGCTATCTTGGAATTAAAGGGTCAAAAAGCAATAATCAACACAAAATTATGTACAAAAGATAATGGTAATGTACTCTCAGGACAGTTAGCACACCTGCACAATATTTTCTAATCAATCTGTTCAGAGATATTTTTAGACACCTCTGTAATAGCTGAGACTTGAACCCAGCACTGCTGGCTTAGAGGTAAGGAAACTATTGCTGCGCCACATGAGACATTTAATTTTTTTTTCTGGCAATCATGATTGGTAATGAAACGAAGTAAAGGCTATGGAATGCAGATTTCTGTTGTTTAGTGGAACTAGGAACAATATAAATGAAGTGTGATGATCAGCATTGTTTTGGAAATGAAAGAGAAACCCCTGGATGGTTGAGGTGCATGTGAGTACATCCTGTGCTCAGTGCTGTGCTGTTTTGTTAAGTCAGTCTCAAATGCCTGTTATATGCAGAAAACTTCATCTTTAATAAACCTTTTGAATCATGACTAATACAGGTAATGGGCTGCAGCTTTTTGTCTTGATATTGTTATAAATTTTGCATTCCCAAAAACTGCTCTGCTTCTTTATATTAGTGTCAGTCATGGCTCAATGGTAGCACTCTCACTTGAGTCAGGAGGACATGGGTTCAGGGTCTACATTGAAGACTTGAACACACAATCTAAACTGACACCTCAGTGCAGAACTGAGTGTGTACTGGGGTTACTGAGGATGCTGTTTCCATATGAGACATTAAAGTGAGGCCCTGTCATTCTTCTTGATTGGATATAGAAAACTGATGGTACTAAATGAGGAAGAGTAGGAGAATAACTGGCCAATTTTTACTCTTCAATCGACGTCACTAACATGGGTCATCAGGTTATTTGTGACTATGTATCAACGTGTTGCATTGTAAAGAACTTTGAGATGTCCTGTCATCGTGAAACAGGCTATAAAAACACAAGTCTTTCTTTGTAAAGGTTCCGAGCCACAGAGTGGACATGAATGTACTCATGGCCTGTCAGTTCCTGATGGAGCAGGCAGCTAGTGAAGGCAATAATCTCCTCCTCCACTGTATGTACCAGTACCTGCTCTTTGACTTCCGCATCTGGAGCCACAGCGACTTCGCCGTTCGATTGGGTAATGCTTTACATTTCATTTGGAAAGCCTTTTTCTGGGCCATGAAACCCCAGCCTGTGCAATAGTGTGATAGATTGGGCAAAAATGAAGTGGAGGATCAAGCCAAGTCTCAACTGAGAATAATCCAAAATTTTCGGTCCCTAGTCTGTGATCTCTGCGTGGCAATTTATTCAACTGCTGTAACTGCTAAATCCCTCTTTAAGTTTAGTAAGAATAAAAATGAAGAGTAAGTTTAAACTAATAACTACATAAATTTTCAGAAACTGTTCAGTAAAGTTAAAATTAACTTTAGAGTGTGCAAATCCATGTGAACAAGGGTTGTAATGGGATTGGGCAAAACATGATGCGACAGGAAGGCTAGCATTTATTACACATTTAAACTTTGATCCTATTGAGTGGCTGCTTGAACCACTTTAGAGGCCTGCTATGAACGTAGGAACAGGAGTAGGCCACTCAGCCCCTCACATCTACCCCACCATTCTACAAAATCAAGGCAGATCTGATTACTGTAAATTCTTGCCTATCCCCAATAACATTTCACCGCCTTGCTTCTCAAGCATCTGTCTACCACCTTAAAAATGTTCAAGCGTTCTGCTTCCACCACCTTTTTGAGGAAGAGCGCTCGAAAAACTCGTGACCCTCTGAAAGGAAAAAGAATTCTCATTTCTGTCTCAAATGGGTGATCCTTTAATTTATAAATAATGACCCCCAGTTCCAGATTCCACATTGACTCATCAAGATCAGTCAATGCCTTGTATATTTCAATCAAGTCATCCTTATTCTTCTAAACTCCAACATATGTAAAACTTAGCTCATAAGACAACCTGACCAGCCTAGGTATTGGTCTGCTGAACCATCTCGGAATTTACTCCCAACAGATTTACATTTTTCCTTAAGTAAGGAGACCCAGACTGTGTGTACAGTATTCCAGATATAGTCTCGCCAATAAAAACCGAAAGAACTGCAGATGCTGTAAATCAGGAACAAAAACAAAGTTGCTGGAAAAGCCCAGCAGGACTGGCAGCATCTGTGAAGGAAAAAACAGTTAACATTTCGGGTCCGGTGACCCTTCCTCAGAACTGATGATGGCTGGGAAAACGTCAATTTTTATATGCAAAAAATAGGGAGGTGGGTGGGGTAAAGAGTAAATGAAAGAGAGAAAGACAGTTGGACAGACAAAGGAGTTGCTAACAATCGTGCTGGGAGGGTGAATAGTTGTTAATGTGGACTGTTAGTGACTAACAACAGCGGGTGTGTAATGTCAGGCTGTGTGATAACAAGACCTGGTGTGGGAGGTAGGGGGCTAGGACATGGGATAGTTTAGGCCCTAAAATTATTGAACTTAATATTGAGTCTGGACGGCTGTAGGATCCCGAAGTGGAAAATGGGGTGTTGTTCATCCAGTTTGCGTTGGGCTTCACTGGAACACTGTAGCAAGGTGGAGACAGATGTTGACCAGGGAGCCGGGTGGTGCATTGAAGTGGCAGGCAACAAGTAGTTCAGGGTCTTTTTTGCGAGCAGAACGTAGATGTTCTGCGAAGCGGTCGTCAAGTCTATTCTTCATTTCCCCAATGTAGAAGAGACCACATTGTGAGCAGCGAATGCAGTAGACTAGATTTTGGCAAGTGCAGGTGAAGTGTTGCTTCACCTGGAAGGTATGTTTGTGCCCTTGGATACTGGGGAGGGAGGAGGTAAATGAGCTGGTGTTGCACCTTTGCTGGCTGTAAGGAGGTGTTGGGGGTGAAGGAAGTGTGGACCAGGGTGTCCCGGAGGGAACGGCCCCTGTGGAAGGCAGACAAGGGAGGGGAGGGGAGGGGAAGGGAATATGTGCCTGGTGGTGGAATCTCGCTGGAGGTGGCGGAAATGGCATCTGATGATCTTCTGGATGTGAATGCTGGTGAGATGGTAGGTAAGGACAAGGGGAACCCTATCGCTGTTGCAGGAGGGAAGAGAAGAGGTGGGGGTGGAAGTGCGGAGATGGGTCGGACCTGGTTGAGGACCCTGTCAACAGCGGAGCTGAGGAATCCTCGGTTGAGGAAGAAGGTGGACATTTCGGAGGAACTGAGAGAATGGGATGGAGTCTTCACAGGAAGTGGGGTGTGAGGATCTACAGTCCAGATAGCTGTGGGAGTCAGTGGGTTTGTAGTGGATATTAGTGTGCAGTAGACTAGATTCTGGGAAGCGCAGGTGAAGTGTTGCTTCACCTGGCAAGTAGGTTTGGGCCCTTGGATGCTGGGGAGGGAGGAGTAAATGGGCAGGTGTTGCACCTTCGCCGGTTAGAGGGGAAGGTACCGTAGGGCTGTGGGGAGGTGTTGGGGGTGAAGGAAGTGTAGACCAGGGTGTCCCTGAGGGAACCATCCCTGCAGAAGGTGGACAAGGGAGGGGAGGGGAGGGGAATGGAATGTGTCTGGTGGTGGAATCTGAAGACAGTCTGTGCAAACCTGGAGAGATTAAGATATGATTTATTGCTTTTTATTTATTGGGCTTATATTATTGGGACTTGTCTTTTATTTAAACAGCATTCCAGTAGAATTTAGACCAGATAGGGAGCAGTTAGTATTCTGAGGGGGAATTGACAGTTTGTTAGTAATTTTTGTTAATTTGTTCATTGTTGGGTTAAATAAATAAATTATTTCTTGTTACTTGTAAAGTTGAGATCAGGGATTTTCTTCCTTTTAACCACGAGGGGAAAGGCGAGCTTTTCTGGGTGCTTTGGGGTAATTATTAGAAGGGAACCTCTAATCCCATCATTGCAGATTGGGGCTTGTGTTTTAGTTTAATTATCAGAGGGGTTCGGCCATTCCCCATCATAACATTAGGGATATGGGGTTCATTGGCAAGGCTGCTCTTTGTAGAATTTTCCTGCGTATCGAAAGAAACCTCATGTGCAATTAATTAGAGGTTAATGAGAGACAATCTGTGTACTCTGATGAAGAGTCATCGAGACTTGAAATGTTAGCTTGCTTTCTCTTCTTGGATGCTGCCTGACCCACTGTGATCTCCAGCACTTTTTGTTTTCGGTGTAGGATATATGTTGACTGTCTGATTCTCTTTGCACTCACAGGGCATATACAGTACTTATCTACAATTGTTAAAGATCACAAGCAACGCATCAGAAAGAAGTATGGTGTGCAGTACATACTGGACTCCATCCGGACTCATTATGGGTGAGTAGAAAGTTTTACTGTGTCGATCATTTAGGTTGTAGGTTGTAAATATCTGCTGTTCAGTTCCTGTTTTTTCACCAGAGTAAGGATTAATTAATATTAATTGAGCTACTGGATATTCATAGGGTTAGAGTTATTTACTGTGCAACTGTATATTTAGCGTATATTCAATACTATTTATAATGGTTGCTTGCTCAGTAACTACAGAGTTATTGTTTACTCAGCAGCTTATGGATCAGAAACTTAACATACTTAAAACAACTCTCAAGATTTAGCCATCATCAACAAGGCTAGAATTTGTTATCAATGCTACTTAATATTTGCCTGCAACTTTATACCGCAATTGGTGGTTTGCTATAACTTTGTAGAGAATTTTAACAGCTATAATGATGACTATGAAACCATTGTCAATTGTCTGGAAAACCCATCTGGTTCACTGATGTCCTTTTAAGGAAGGAAACTGCCATCCTTACCTAGACTGGCCTATGTGTGACTCCAGGCCCACAGACATGTGGTTGACTCTTAACTGCCCTCTGGGCAATTAGGATGGACAATAAGTGCTGGCCTATACAGTGACACCCTCATCCTGTGAATGAATGAAAAAGATTCAACAATGCTGATGTTGGATTGGTGTAAGAAAGATGTCAAACCAGGTTAGGTCAAAAGGTTTCCTTCTTCTCTTTTTAAAAAAAAAAATTAGCTGAGAAGTGAAACTGGAGCTGACCTTGGCGTGCAGGAGTTTGAAAAAAATGGGGATAAAATTGACAACTCAGGAAGGCTTTGTATTGATTGGATCTGCATATTGCTACTGTGTCTTCTTTTCTGTAAAGTTTGGGAGACAGTTTTTAAGCATTTGTGAAATGAATACTTTTCAAAATTAATTCAAGAAAGCATTCAGCTTTCCTATATTTAAGTAACAGTTAAGTCTTTCTCCTTTTTAAGTAGCAAAGTTTGTTGGTTGTAGCAAGGTGTATTGTCTAACAGGAATGGCAGGGCAACTCCAGCTTTCCTACAGTTAGGAAATTAGCAAGTAGAATCTCAAAAGTACCAATCTCCAGATAACTTCTGATATCACATGCGAGTGAATAGAGAAATAGGAGAATATAGTGTATGAATGCATGCCTGAAAATATGGTGCAGGAAGGAGGACTTTGGATTTGTGGGACATTGGTACCACCAGTGTGTATTTAAATTGGTACAAGACAACAGAACATAGGTTTTCCGCAAAGCGGTCATCCAGTTTGTGTTTTGACTCCCCACTGTAGAGCAGACCACGTTGTGAACAACGAAAAGAGTAGAGTGAAGTGCAGGTAAATCACTGCTTCACCTGGAAGGTGCATTTGGGGCCTTGGATAATGAAGAGGGATGAAGTAAACGGGCAAGTGTTGCATCTTCTGCAATTGGATGGGAAGAAAGGTGCCTTTGAGGTGTGATGGATTCACTCCTCCTCTATTCCCAATAGTATGTATCCATTGACAGACTTTTTCAACCTAACACATCAAGGAAATGGAGACCATTTAATTGCTCCATTTTAATGGTATACGTGAGCACAGGATGAAATTTATTAAGAAATAGTAGGAACTGCCAATGCTGGAGTCTGAGGTAACAGACAGGTCAAGGGGGTGGGGGGAGGGGGGAGGGGGCTGGTCTTGGGATGAGGTTGGGGGTGGGGAGATTTTGAAGTTCATAAAGTCCACATTGAGACCATTGGGTTTTAGGGTTCCAAGGCAGAATATGAGGTGCTGTTCCTCCAGTTTTTGGGTGGCATTGTTGTGACACTGGAGGAGGCCCAGGATGGACATATCGTCCACAAAGTGGTTTCCGAGCCTCCGCTCGGTCTTGCCTACGCTCGGTTCACGACAAACGACAACACCTCCCAGTCGCGAACCACTTCAACTCCCCTTCCCACTCCCTGGACGACATGTCCATCCTGGGCCTCCTCCAGTGTCACAACAATGCCACCCGAAAACTGGAGGAACAGCACCTCATATTCTGCCTTGGAACCCTACAACCCAATGGTCTCAATGTGGACTTTATGAACTTCAAAATCTCCCCACCCCCAACCTCATCCCAAGACCAGCCGCCTCCTTCACCTGTTCATCTTCTCTCCCACCTATCCGCTCCTCCCACCTCACTGACCAACCCCCACCCCCACTTCCTATCTCCACTCACCTATTAGCTTCATCCCCACCTCCTTGACCTGTCCGTCTTTTCTCCACCTAGCTGCTCCACTATCCAACTTCTATCACCACCTCCCCCTCTCTCTTTATTTCAGAATCCCCTTCCCCTCCTCCATTTCTGAAGAAGGGTCCAGACCCGAAATGTCAGCTTTCCTGCTCCTCTGATGCTGCCTGGCCTGCTGTGTTGATCCAGCTCCACACCTTGTTATCTATGAAACTTATTAAGCCGCGTAAAGAAATTCTTGGTAACTGTGGATTCAAATATTGCAAACCTGTTAATGGTGTTATACTGTATATTGCTCAAACTCATGAAAGGGCCTTTGGCCACCACTTTTGTCCCTGAATAATTCCCAGTCTACCTCAGATTTCCCTGGAAGAGAAAAGTGTTTAAAAAAAATTTGAACTACAGGTGAAACTGGCCTGCTTTTGCTGCAGCTTTGCAGTAAACAGACAAGTTGTTTCCTCCACTAACAGGCTGTTGCCATCCAGCCAAAAAGATATTTTGTCAACCATTCAAATGAGTAATGTGATATGCGGTTCATTATTGGTGTGATGCCAAGTATATGGGCTTTATTTCTCAACGACTAGTATATTGTATCAAACAACATGCCTCTTTGACTATTGTCAGTGAACAGCATGATGAATGTGTTCAACAAGGGAAAAGAAATTCTTTTGATTGAGAAAAAGATCATGAAGGTTGTGGATCCCTGCTGCATTTTCCATACTCTGAACAGTCAGTGTGTACTTGTCTGCTGTCAGTTTTTTTCAGCTAACTAAGATTGGCAGTTCAACGGTTCCTGCTGCATCTCATGTGAACCATGCTCCAACCGATCAGGACTTGTATTTGATGCTGTATAAATTGGTGCTGCCTTTCCAAGTTTGGTTTCTTTCATGAGTCCTGATGAGTGAAAATCGTAGTGAGTGCAAATGAGTGCCAGACCTGTTGAGATTTTCCAGCATCATCATCTGTTTTTGTTTCTGCTTTCCAGTATCCACAGTTCTTTCGGATGTTTTTAACCTGAAATAAGAGTTATGATTCTAATGGGGTGCAAGAGCAGCAACCTGAATGTAAATGTGCAAAAATCATTGAAGGTGGTAAGATTTGTTGAGAGCATGATTAATAAAACTTAGAGTATCCTTGGCTTTATTACTAAGGGCAGAGAAAACAGCAGCCAGGAAGTTCATGTCAACCACGTAGTTTCAACCTCAATTTGAATATTCCACCAAGTTTTAAAAGGATGTGGTGACATTCAAAATGGGTATAGAAACATTCACGAGCATGGATTGAGGGCTTAGAAACTTCATTTATGAAAATATACAGGAGAAGTTGGGACTGTTCTCGGAGAATTGAAGATTGAAAGGAATTTTGATGGAGGTATTAATAGTTATGAGAGGTCTGGACTGAATAGGTCGAGAGAAACCATTCCCATTGATGAAAGAATTGAGAATCATAGGAGACAGACATAAGGTAATTGGCAAAAGAGGATATGATGATATGCGGAAAAATTTTTTCCCATTGTCTGAATGTTTAGTGCAGGTTCAATCCAGACATTTTAAGAGGAAAATGATTCTTTTCAAGTAAGACTCCAATGTGCAGGGTTGTGGAGTGAAGGTGGAAGAATAACACAAGTTGAATAGTTTCTACAAAGAGCCAGCACAGATACAGTTTGCAAAAGGCCCTTCTTTTTGCTGTAACCATTCTGTGATTCTGTGAAATACATTTGCTGCTGGCTCATCAGGACATCAAATGGAAGCAAACTACTAAATGCCATGCATCGAGCTGGACTTGCCCTCACTTGAGGAATGGAGCAGCTTCACAACCATTTTAGTTAACTGTTCCTTTCTTCTCAGCCCACAGAAGGATAATCAGATCACAGCTGATGTTAAAACTGTTCAACTATCACTCTTCAACCTGGTGAAGGAATTCCTCAAAGTAGTTACAGCTGAGGAGTTGCACTGTATCATCTCTTACATGGCAACAGTGAACGATGATGATCAGGTAAAATTGGTGCAAATGTGATCAAGAATTCATACAGAGTGATGACTAACTTAAGCATGTGGGCATCATGATAAATCAACTCATTCAAAGTTTGAAACCAGACTGATATACAAACGGTTTGTCTGTTCCTCCACCATCCATTTGTAATTTATCTTCTTGTTTATTGTTTTTATGCTCAAACTCAACAAAGATGAATTTATGGTTCCCTATCATAATGAACAGGGAGCTATGATTTTACAAATAACAAAAGACCTATTCTAATTTGTCCTTTCCAAAATCCATGAAATTTTCTCATCACAGATCTCCCATTCTACCTTTTGTTTTGCCAGCACCTCGAAGTTGTCTTAACAACAATTTTGCATTTATATTGCATCTTAAAGATTGACAATATCTCTAGTACTTCACAGGAAATTAAAAGAAAGAAGGTGACCCAAACCTAAACAGAGATTTTAGGATAATTAGCAAAATGCTTAGCCAAGCAGATAATTTTTTAAGCATGTTCTAAGAGATGGAGGCTCGCAGTTGGAATTCATGGAGCTAATGGCTAAGATGGTTGAAAGCAGTGACTACCAATAATAAGACAAAGGATATAAAGGTACTGCGTAAGAGACCAGAGTTGAGGAATTAGGATTTGCTGAAGGGTTATATGGCTGTAAGTGCTTGCAGAGTGTTGGGGATTGAGCACGTATGGTGAGGACTTTAAATTTGAGGACTTGATGGATCAGGTATTTGTAGTATCTTTGCAAGGCAGATTAAAATCATGTGCAGCATATGGAGAGTTTACATGAAATTCAGCTAATTTACACTAATATATACATTTGTACAAATAGCTGTAACAGGGTACTATTACAGTGTCAACACAGCAAGCAGCTGGGTAGTACATAAGATAGCTTTGGTGCCATCAGGTTATGGGAAACAAAAGTTTTCCATCTTACATTCAACTTATAAATTTTTAAAATCTGAGTTTAATGTAACTATATATGACTTGCCTAATATTTGAAGTGTTGCTGGGGTCCTGTAATTTGGGCCAAAGCTTATAACCTTTCTCAATAAAACAAAATAAACAGTTCCCTTTTCTAAAGTCCTGCATACTCATGCTAAAACAGAAATAAGGCCAATAGTTTGAACTTATGTAATGTAAATTACCTTCAGAGCTAATTGATACAATCCAGGTGGTGAGTAAGTGAATATAGGGTTTCTTTTACGTAGTAGGTGATGTTAAGTGGGTCAGCACTGCAGCCATTTTACTTTCAGAATGATTCCACAATCTGATTAAGAATGATTTGAATGACAAAGATGATAATTTGTCATTTCTGGTGATATTTGAAAAAAATCAACAGGACTTAAAGCTGTTTCACAAACAGCGACGTGGAATCCCTTCATTCCTATTACAATGAGGGGTCATTGAGATCAAAGTTGCAAGCAGTGAAAAAAGACCGGTTTCCCACCCTGCTGTCTTTGATCAGATGGCTAAAGTTGCCATTGGAAACAGACAAGGACCTCAGCCCTGTATCACCTATTTAGACCTTGGTGCAAATTTGAGTTGTTAAATACACTTCCATGGTCTTGCCTTAGTTCAATGTAGCAAAACCAGCCTTGCTCAAAGGTTATTATTGAAAGGTGATGAAAATTAGATGCTCTGTGGCATTTGGAATGTTAGTTTTTGGGGCCAGGATGGGCAACCTAGATTTTTCTGCAATTCAAACAAAATCTATATTCACATACTCACCTCCTGAATTATATCCCATGTCACTGCCCTGCCCACCCCACCCCATGACCTTGATTATTCTGACCATCTCTGGAGAATTTCTGCCTTCTGTTATCAAAATTAGAAACAACATATAGGAAACTTACCTGTAAAATTTAAATGAGCCCTGAATGTTAAAATATCATGACTGCTGCACCCATTTATTTTATAATTATATATCAAAATCACCCAAGGGATCCTCATTTTAACATTACATTTCCAACAGTGCAGCATTCACTCATTAATATGACACCTTGAATTATATATTCAAATTCTGGATTGACTCTTTGAACCCACACCTGCTGACTCAAAGGTGACTACTGAGCTGAGGATAACGCTTACTAGTCTTTTACTTGGGATAGCAAATTCTTCAGAATGAATGTGTTATGCAATGTAATGAAGGCTTTAACCTCTTTTCTCTTTGCTTGCTATGTTATCAACCCCAGAGAATAAAAGTTCAGTGTTTTTCAGCTTTGTGGTATTCTGGACATCTTGCTCAGTCTGTTGAAGGGAGGCCCTTCCAGAGACCAGCTCTTTACCTTGCTGTTTGACCCTGGCAATGTGGAAGTGTTTTACTCATTGATCCTACAGAAGAGATATTCTGATGAAGTGCGTGAGAAGATCTTTAGGGTGAGTTGGTCCTGGGCAAATATTTGTACCTTGGCAACATAGGAGTTGTGAGAAGAAAAAAAGACTGGGGTCTGATGAGTTTATTTTTTGTCATGTTGGCAGTTACATGTTACAATGACAATGGAGTTGATGACTAATCGTGGCAATCAATTTCTATTTATCTGCAACAGATATGGATGAGACTTGATGAAATTCCCAAAATTTGAAAAACAGACATTCCTCCTGAACGTACTACACATAGCATGTGTCAAAAAAGGATCCTGTAACCTGATGGCTACAGAATTAAATACCAAATAAGACACTGACACAATTCATTCAGCACAGCTAATGTCATCTGTTCTGACAAATAGTCATTGACTAGAAACGTTCATGCTTTATTCCATGTCAACAGATATTGTCTAAACTGTTGAATATTTCCAACATTTTCTGCTGATGTTTCAGATTTCCTTCATTTACAATAATTTGTTTTTTTTTATTATTCTTCATTCAGGGAGTAGTTGTAATCCTGTATACCCATTCTATTCCCATAGCTCCTTAATCCCTTTCCAATCCATTTTAAATTAATGCTGGGCTTGTCACTCACGAGTTGAAACCCCACCATGTCAAACTGTGAAACTGAACTGAATAAATTTATTAATTTATGGACAACATGAGGAAAACACAATGGCCACTAACCATGCCCAGCTGAATCACCTATATATTCAGAGAAGGGAATCGGCCAGCCTGAGCTCATACAGACAATGTTGCCAACTGTCCCTTGATTCAAGTCGCTGTCTGTTCAGGATCTCAAGTTTCTGCTATGGGTCTTTGTGTGACGGAACAGGCAGATTCTCAATCTGCAGATCTATGGGCACATGGGGCAGGACAACCCATGAAGTAGTAGGACCCAGAGTGCAGGATTTGCTTCCTGTTCTTTCCTTTCCTTCTTCTTTATTTCATCATTAAGATGCTGTTGTTCAAAACATGGCGCAGCATAATGGGCAAGTTGTTGCCACTTTGAATGATTTAAAGCAAATGTTTCACAGTTATTAATGTTAGTGCTACTTTGTGACTTTGTAGCATTTCTTTTTCCTCCCCTGGAACACTAGCCATTTGAGTTGAGGCAAAGGACCTGGTGGTGGAGACACTTTTCAACCATCTAGACACTGTGTCCAGTCCATCATAGCTGGTCTTGCAGGAGTTTTGCTCTATATTAGCCTCCCATTACACACTACCTAGTTTACATTGTGGGAGGCTATTTTTCATTCTTCTGGGGTAGAAGTGACCTGTACAGGAAGGATGGGTTGCATCTGAATTGGAAGGGGACAAGTATCCTGCAAGGAGATTCAAAATGTTAATTTTGTTTTTCTCTCTCCACAGATGCTGCAGAGCTGCTGAGTTTCTCCAACATTTCTGTTTTTGTTTCAGATTTCAAGTACCCACAGTGTTTTGCTCTTACCACCAGGTTCCTTGTTAGGCCTGCTGAAACAACTTCTCCTGCATTTAAAAATACAATAAGATTTAGTCCTTAAACCTAATTACCTCATAAAACTTAGATTTGTAACATTGTTTGTGCTGATTTGAAACATTGGGGGCTTAACCTAATCTTGAACAGTAACACAAAACTAGCAATTGAGATAGCAACCTGATTTTAAAATTCCAAACAAGAGTCAAATTGGTCTCACAATGTTAACTTTGTTTTTGTCTTCATTGATGCTGCCAAACCTACTGAGGTTTTACAGCACTTACTTTATATTTAATAGTTCCTTTGCACTTGAAGAGATTTGTTATCTGCTTTGTTTTTATGGCTAGCTAACGTACAAGATGTTGAAGTATGACAAAGTTCACGAAAAATGCAAGCTTCGACTGAAGCTGAAGGATATTGGCTATCAAGGTCTGACCTCCTTCCTGAATGAATTTCCTGCCTCCATGTCACTCATTCGGTGCCTATCCGAGCAGGTGCTGTGCTCAGGTAAGTACCTGATGTTGCTTCAAGCCCCTGTCACAGTCTAAGGATACAGGGTAAGGCATTTAGGACTGAGATGAAAAATTTCCTCACCCAGACCGTGGTGAGCCTGTGAAATTTGTTACCACAGAAAGCAATTGAGGCCAAAACATTGTACAAGTTCAGCAAAGAGTTGGATATAGCACTTGGGACAAAAAGGATCCAAAGGCATGGGGAAAAACAGGAGCAGGTTATTGAGTTTGATGATCAGCCATAATCATGATGATGGGCCAGATGGCCTATTCTTGCCCCTATTTTCTAGGTTTCTATCCCTAATTGCCCTTGATAGGGTGGTAATGCGCTGCCTACTTGTACCACTGCAGTCCAGAGGAGCAAAATGCACCCACAGTGATGTTTAGAAGTTTCAAGGTTTTAATCCAGGGATGGTGAAGGAACAGCAATGTTGTCCATGGTCGGGTTGGAAGAAGCTTGGAGGGAAATTTGCCTTTGTCCTTCTCGGTGGCAAAGGTCAAGAGTTCAGAAGGCAATGGCAATTGAGTCTTGGTGAGTTGCTGCACTGGATGGTGCACACCATAGATACTGAGTGTTGGTGGTGGAGGGAGTGAAGGTTGAAGGATTTGGATGGATGCCAGTTAAACAAGCAGCTTTGTCGTGGATGGTGTTAAGCTTTTTCAGTGATAGTAAGAACTGCCGATGCTGGAGTCAGAGATAACACCGTGTGGAGCTGGAGGAGCACAGTAGGCCAGGCAGCATCAGAGGAGCAGGGAAGTTGATGTTTCGGGATAGGACCATTCTTCAGAAATGGGGGAGGTGGAAGGGAGCTCCAAAATAAATCGAGAGAGGATGGGTAGGGCTGGGGAAGGTAGGTGGGATGGTGATAGGTGAGTGCAGGTAGGGAGTGGTGGGGACTGGTCAGTGAGGCGGGAAGAACGGATAGGTGCGAGAGAAGATGGACAGGTTGTGTCAGGTCAAGGAGACGGGGATGAGAGGGAAGGTTGGTCATGGGATGAGGCCGGGGGGTGGGCAGATTTTGAAACTGGTGAAGTCCACATTGAGACCATCGGGCTGTAGGCTTCCGAGGCGGAACACGAGGCGCTGCTCCTCCAGTATCTGGGTGGTGTCGTTGTGACACTGGAGGAGGCCCAGGATGGACATGTTGCCCAGGGTGTGGGAGGGGGAGTTAAAATGGTTCGCGACCGGAAGGTGTTGTCGTTTGTTGTGAACAGAGTGCAGGTGCTCTACAAAGTGGTCTCCGAGCCTCCACTTAGTCTCAACGATGTAGAGGCCGCCACATCGGGAGCAGCGGATGCAATAGACCACGTTAGCAGATGTGCAGGTGAACCTCTGATGTGAAGGGTTTGTTTGGTGCCTTGGATGGAGGTGTGGGGGGAGATGTAGGGGCAGATGTAGCACTTCCTGTGGTTGCAGGGAAAGGTGCCAGGGGTGGTGGGGTTAGTGGGGAGCGTAGAGCAGATGAAGGAGTTGTGGAGAGCGCGGTCCCTATGAGAGGTAGATAGAGGTGGGGAGAGAAATGTCTCTTTGGTTGTGGGGTTGGATTGCAGGTCGTGGAAGTGGCGGAGAATAATACGTTGAATACGGAGGTTAGTGGGGTGATATGTGAGGACAAAGCGGATTCTGTCTTTTTTTGTTGGGGTGAGGGAATGTCAGGGCAGAGGTGCGGGAAACGCAAGAGATGCAGTCGAGCGTATTTTTTCAGTGTTGTTGGAGCTGCACACTACCAGGCAATTGGAGAGAATTGCATGGCATTGTTGTAGATAGTGTACAGATATAGGGGAGACAAGAGGTGACTTAGACTTCACAGATTTCCTTACCTCTGATGTGCTCTTACAACCACAGTATTTATATGGCGAGTCCAGTACAGTTTCTGGTTAATGATGATTCCCATTATGTTGAAAGTGGGGAATGCAGGAATGTTAATATCGTTAAGCATCAAAGAGAGAATGCTCGATTCTCACTTATCGGAAATAGTCATTGCCTGTCACTTGTATGATTAAATATTCCTTTACACTTATCAGCCCAAGCCCAAATGTTATTTATTTTCCTTTTATATTTGCCTAACATCGCTTGAAGGTGGTAATTTTTTGCCAAATCTCCAATTGCATCTATTTCCCAGATTCATCAAAACATACCAGTGGTTAGTGAAGTAATTGAGGACAGCTTACATAAGTTTGGTTTGTATTGCCTTCTGCAATGGAGATTGATCAGATCATTTTCAATGTGTTTGAAATGTTAAAAGTATATGATTAAGAACTATATTGACAGTAAAATAGCTCCCAAAGTAGATTCACTCTTTTAATAGAAGAAATTTGTGAACAAACAGTGATGGGAAATGGTCTGTTTTCAGTAATGCTGTGTGGGGGTAAATGTTATTCAGCAGTACAGGCAGAACTTCCCTGCTTCTCTTCAGTTACTGCTGTAGGGATCTTTTACATTACATTAACCTGGAAGGGCAGACTTGGTTTAATGCTTCATCAGAAGATGATTTGCACTGTTAAAGATGGCTGGTTATCCTTTTCTCTCTTCTTAATGATGGCCTCACTTTTCTCTTTTAAGATCCTGTTCCAAATTACAAGGACCTGATTGCTGTAGTTTATTTATCTCACAAAGCAGATCTAACTGTGCGGCTGGACGTCTGTCGAAAGGCAAGTGGACATCAAGCAACGTCCGTGATTACTGTAGAGCTTCACATGGAATGTTAAAGCTTATAATTGGTTATACATATGGCTGACATATACAGCCTGTTACATAGACAGTAATGTTATACACATTTGTATTTTTACATATAAATGGTTGTTACACTTAGTATGTATGTCCATGTTTACTTCTGTATAGGTGATAGTGGTTATAGCAAATTGATTGTCCAAACCTCACCATCTTAAAAACGTGAAATTGAAGACAGTACATCTGCTCTGGCACTAAATTGCCTCATGTGCCATTCCAATAGGAGTCATAGGACAGTAATCAGGCATAGTGACTCTGACTTATTGCATTTTCTTGAACTAGAATTTCCAGATCTAACCTTCCTGGCACTATCCCAAGGAGAATCATCTCTTAAAGATCATTAACCGAACAGAGTCTAGGAAGGGTCAAGCTTCCCTGTCTCTCATGATTGTCAACAAGGGAAGCACAGTCCTGGATGAGTGGCTGCCTTGAGGAGAAAATTGTAAAAAGTTGGGTGGAATTTGTTAGGGGATTGGGAAGGATGCATTATTAATTATAAATAATATTTTGAATATAGCTGGAAAAAGAAGCAAGTTCCTGAAGCCTTTCATCTAATACTCAACAAATGCAAGAATGCCAAATTTCAAGCATCGGATTAACTTTGTGTGGAACTGGAGGAACATAGCAGGCCAGGCAGCATCTGATGATATCTCTGACCCCAGCATCAGCAGTTCTTACTATCTCACAATAATTTTGTTCTACTGGGCAAAAGTAGGCTAGTTGTTGGCAAGTCAACTTTGACTGGCCAAAACTTTGCAATTAAGAAATTATGGGGAATTATTGGGTCTGCAGTGATTGTTCAGTGGGTATTTTATTTGTTAATTCTCAAAATACAGTTCAGCTTTAATGAAGCAATTAGACAAGGTTAAAATAGCAATGTGAAATATTTATTGGCCTTGGTCTTATTATTTGAGTGAAGCTGACAAGGTTGACTTTTATTGCCTATCCCTAATTATCTTAAATTCCCTGCTTGACCTCTGTAACAGACATTAAGACATAACCACAGAGCCTGGATAGGGCCTGAAGGATACTGATCTACCTATTGGGTATTGAACACAATTTGGGAAGTTGCGTGTTCACTTTCTATCGGGTAATTTGGCAGGGAGAATAGCAAAGCAACATACAACTTAAATGGATAGAGATTGCAGAACTTGATGGTGCAGACGGACTTTGATGTGCTGTTATAGGAATCATAGAAGTGATTGGAAAGGCAAATGGAATATTGTGGTTTATTGCAAGAGGGAATTAAATATAAAGGTAAGGATGTTCTGTTGATCGTCAAGGGTATTGTTGAAACTACATCTGGAATACTGTGTACGCTTTTGGTCTCCTTATTCAAGAAATGTATTATAAATGCATAAGAGACAGTTCAGGTAAGGTTTACTCAACTAACACCTTGACAAGGAGGGCAGTTATCACAGGATGGACACATTAGGCCTGTATCAATTAGAATTTAGCAGAATGCAAGATGATCTTATTGAAACAGATAAATACCTGAGGGGACTTGACAGGGTAGATGGTGAAAGAATGTATACTTCATGGGAGGGACTAGAACCATATGGCACAGTTTTAAAAATAAGGAGTCACAAATTTGATACAGAGGTGATGGTAATATTTTTCCTCTCTGAGAGGTTAGGGAGTCATTAGAACTCACTTCTCCAGAGAGCAGTAGAGGCAGAATTGCTGAAAATTTGAGAGGCAGGCATGGATAAACTCTTGACTAACAGCAGAGCCAAAGATTATTGAAGTTTGGTGGGAATGTGGACTTGAGGCCACAAACAGATCAGTCATGATCTTATTGATGGTGGAGCAGGCTCAAAAGGGCCCAAGTGTCATCCTCCTTTTCCTAATTCATTTTTTCATGTTCAGAGGACTGGGAGCATCCAACTGTGTTAGAATAAATTGTACTCCAGAAATAAGAAGGGGCAGATAAGGAAGTACATAGCAAATTAAACTGGGCTTTAAGTGCATGTGTGTTAATGCTATTTTGTAGATAACTAAAAGTGATGGAGTCAGATTCAATAATGCAATAACTTTCAAACAGGTAAAGAATAAATACTTGAAAAGGGAAAATTTGCCAGATTGTGGGGAAATAGTAGGGAATGGTCTATTTGAATAACTCTTTCAAATGTTAGTACAAGTCATTGAGTTTTATTCTTCTTCCTGTGCTGTATAATTTTATAATTTTAAGATTGCAGTGTTGAGATGGGATGAGCAAAGCTAAGGTTGGTTTGTATGGAAGAATGTAATTCTTGAATAGAAATGTTGGTGAACCAGCAGGCAGCATAAGTTGGTGATCACAATCGTAATGGATTGACAACATTTGGGCTGCTTTCTCTATATCATATCAGTACACAACCCCATCTTCAAATGATCATTGGCCTCAAAGGTAGGCGGGTAAAGTTCACTGCTGTTACCAATGATAGGGATTAAAAGACAACAGTTTCCTCATTACTTAACTACCATAGATCAGTGGAGCTGGAAGACATTTCAATAGAAGGAGTTAACTTGAGGTTAATTGACAACTGCAGAACAAGGAACTAAATTGATATGATTTGAGAGTGCAACTTGAGGGTCAGAGGGACATTATAGTATTATTTGAATTTTCTTTCAAGGAAGATAGGGAAGGGAGCTGCTGTAATAAAAAGAAAAATGCTGGCGAAAGTCGGGTCTGGCAGCATTTTTGGAAAGAGAAAGACTCAATGTAATGAGACCAATATGACTCAGTTAAACGACTGGAAACATGAACCCTGTTTCTCCCTTCACAGATGCTGCCAGACCTGCTGAGTCCATCCAGCACTTTGTTTTTATTTCAGATTTCTAGCTTCTGCAGTATTTTTCGTTAATTTGAAGGAACAGGTGTTCCTGAATAAGTGGTTAATTTCAGTGATGGGAAATGTGAAATTGGAGGTTCATGGTGACTTTTTACATGATTCCTTCTGAAAGGATTTGTAGGACTGATTAGCCTTTTTTTTTCTAAACAGATCTTTGCTATCTACTTATTTCTGTTCTAAACTATCAATTTTCTTTTAGCTGTTCCATCTGATTTACTCTCAGCAAGACATTGTTCGTCAGTTGGCAAAACAGGCTGGATGGCAGGACAATTTTACCAAACTCTACGTAAAAGAATCATATGAATCTCGAGAGGCCAGTCTATCAAGTTCATTGACTAACTACTCCATTGACTTACTTAGGAATTCAGATCAGAGCCAGGACTTCATCCAAGAGCAAGGCAAAGAGTTGATCAATCGCATGAATAGCCAATCAGACTTCCAGGACTCTGAGGTCTTTCTCCCTTTCAGTATAGATTTGAATGAAGGCTTTTCGAAAGGACAGCCTGACCATTCCATGCTTGCTCTTTTCCCCTCCAGTGAGATGCAGCCCTATGATTCTTTAGTGAAGTCTTTTGATTCCTTGGACCACACGAGTAATTCTTCAACCAATACAATAGACATCCCAGGCTCAGGTGAAGCCATCCCTTCTGATACTTCTGAAGATGCTTTCTACCAGCCTCTCTCGCCTTTCGCACACCCTTCCTTTGACTTGGGAACAGAAATGGGAAGTACTAGTTCCTATACCACGGTGGAGAGTGGAAATTTAACTCCAGTCAGCACATCAGAAACACCATCTCCTCTTGAGAATTTCAAACCCTTTCCAGGGATTCGCACGTGGAAAAGCTCCAGTCTCTCCAATGTTCTGGATGACTCTAGCTACCAAGAGAATCTCCCCAGTGATGATGCTTCTAATACCAGCAACCCACAGGTATTGAAACTTTCTGTAGTTTCATAATTTTCTACACATTGCTTTCAGTCTAGACACTACATCTCATAAAGGATATGTTAGTCTTAAAGGGGCATAATGCATATTAAATGAATACTAACGTTCTTAGCCAAGGTTTGAAGGCTTTCACTTGTGATTAATCATCTTTGTCTCCTTAAAAATCTGGTCTGAAACAAAATATTTTAGAAGCTTGTGGAAAGAAATGACAGCACGTAAGAAAATTGAAATAACATTGCCTACAGCCATACTTGTCTGAAAACGTCTGATCTTGGAAGCTAAGCAGACTCAGGCCTGGTTAGTACTTGGAAGGGTGACCGCCTGGGAATACCTAGTGCATTAGGCTTTGGGCGGCACGGTGCCTCAGTGGTTAGCACTGCTGCCTCACAGCACCAGGGACCTGGGTTCGATTCCAGCCTCAAGCGATTGTCTGTGTGGAGTTTGCACATTCTCCCCGTGTCTGCGTGGGTTTCCACCGGGTGCTCTGGTTTCCTCCCACAGTCCAAAGATGTGCAGGCTAGGTGGATTAGCCATGGGAAATGCAGGGTTACAGGGATGGGATGGTCGGGGTGGGGCTGGTGATTCTGGGCAGGATGCTACTCAGAGTTCATGTGGACTTGTTGGGCTAAATGGCTTGTTTGCTCACTTTAGGGATTCTATGAATTTAACACTGAACTTTAATAATTTTATGAAGTCTTCTTTTAATAGTCTTGAACATGTTCCAGGTTCATTTTAAGTGAGATTGATTTCAAGATAATTTTAAAGCAAAGTTTGAACTGTTTTGACTCATGTGCCTTGAAATAATTTGTTTGTTGTTACCCTTAAAATCCTTACCTCATCTCCTGAAGACCATCTCAGACTGGAGCCCAGAACAACCTGGTCCTTCAGCTCTCACCATCAGATCATCCACAAATGTTGGTGTTCAACCTGGACTAGAGGAACATTGAAGTTGAGGTCAATCTTGTTCTCACCCAACATCCATGTACATTTCACTTTCTAAAGTAGCTGAGCATAACACTCAGATCAATGAGGTAGCAGCACAAATGTATACATTGGCTACAATCCTTCTGGTCATCACTGTAGGTCCTTTCAATTACTTCCATGAAGATGTCTTTATCAACAATAGCTCACATTTCACATGCAAACCACCAAGCTCCCATTGTTATGTTTATTTTTGTCCATTGAGAGGATGTCTGATGATCAAACCTTCACACAACACTCAAATTTCAAATCTGGTCATTATGTATTTGTCAGCTAATGCAAGATCTGAGAGACTGCTTTAGGTAAATTTCCTTCTTCAGTTAAGAAGGAAACGGAAGCCCATTTACTCTTCATCTTGGGCGGCATGGTAGCTCAGTCGTTAGTATTGCTGTCTCACAACACCAGGAACCTGGATTCAATTCCACCCTTGGGCGACTGTGTGGCATTTGTACATTCTCCCTGTGTCTACATGAGTTTCCTCTGGGTGATCCAGTTTGCTCCCACAGTCCAAAGATGTGCAGGTTAGGTGGATTGTCCATGCTAAATTATCCATAGTGTCCAGGGATGTGCAGGTTAAGTGGTTTAGTCATGGTAAATGCAGGGTTCCCCGGATAAGGTAGAGGCTGGCTTTGGGTAGGATGCTTTTCGGAGGGTTGGCACAAACTTGATAGGCTGAAAGGCGTCTTTCCATACTGTAGGGAATCTATGATTCTATCTCAAAGAATTGTCCCTCCATAAAATTGGCTGCTGTCTCTCCTACTAAACCCTGCTGCTGAAACCCTCACCTATGTTTTCATACTCCCTGAATTTACAATTACAGAACTCTTTTTGCCCAGCTAACCTTGTGCTATCATTTAAAAATTTCAGATCACCCGAGACACTTTCTTTTCTTTCCTCATATTCCCTTAGTGCCATTTAACAATCAACTCTGACTTTAATGACCTATGTAGGCTCTGAGTCTCCAGGATTTCATCCCTGTTATCGGTTGCTTCATGTTTTCACCCTTCCCAGTTTTGTAACTTTATCCAGACCAACGATCACCAACACCTCTGCCACTTTCCACCATCACCCAGTTCTTCCTTTACCTCTAGTCTTTCACTCTGGAATCGTCTCATCATTCCCCCCCTCCTCATCTCTTTGACCAAAATTTGAATCATTTTTCTTGAAGTCTGTTCTTTTTTGACCCAATGTCTGTTTTTGACTTTACTTCTGTGAAGCTGTTTGGAGTTTCTGAACATCCAAGGCACCGGTACAATATCCGCATGTTATAATAGTGCATGCATTGTCACAATCATGCGGGCAGTAATGGATAGAACTGAAGACAAAGTCTTTATACATTTACAGTCTTTTAATTAGAGACATAGGTAAACATTTTGCACACCTCCTCAAATTCACCATAGATTCAATCTGTTCATACATAAATGAGCACGATATGAGTCCCTAGCCAAAGCCCAATGTCTGAATACTTCCATTTAAACATTCAAGAAATATTCAGAGAACGTATCTGAAGGCTTCTTGATGACAAAATGATTTCAGCCATGTGTTTATATTTTCTAGCAAACACCAGAAGAGGAACTTTGCAACTTGCTAACAAATATCATCTTCTCTGTAATATGGAGAGGGGTAGAGGGCTCTGAAGATGCAGCATGGAAGGAGCGAGGGCAGATCTTTTCTGTCCTAACCAAGCTTGGGACAGCCTGTGAGCTGGTACGCCCACCTGATGAAATCAAAAGAAGGTTAGTGTCACATCATAAAACATTCTATAAAATGTAAGAAGAAAAAGAGAGGACAGTGACAAGTTGAAATAATTACGTTAGTCAAGTGAAACAGCTAATCAGTTTAACACTCTGGCATGAAGCTTCTTGTCCTCTCCCCAGTGGAGATTGTTAAACAATATATGAGCAGGTGATAAAGACAAAGAACAAGGTTGCATTTATATAGCAACTTGCATAGTTTTAGTAAGTCCCAAAGTACTCTGCAGCCTAATCAAGTATTTTTGCCGTGAAGTCACTCTGGTTATGTGGGCAAACACTGCAGCCTGTTTGCAAATAGCAAGTCCAACAAACAATAATGGAATAATGGCCCGGTCATCTGCCAGTAATGTTGATTGAGGGATGAATTCTGACCAGCGTACTGGAAAAAATGAGTTTTCGTACAATAACGATGTGAGAGTAGAACCCACTGAGCCAAGAGTGACACTGCCGGCTCAATTTTTACTCTCCAAACCCATTTATTTACCCAGATTGAAATTGAGCTTTTTTTGTGTTTAAAGCAGCTTCAAAGTGAAAAGGAATTCCATGAAATATGAGTGATAGAAAGTGGCAGAATGATTAGTCAAACATCAAATTTGCACAACTGTTGCTTTGATTTTGTTATAGGATTGATTTTTATTAAATTACAGCCTATTGGAAATGATGTTGGAGTCTGCATTCTCTGACATTAAGGACTCTGCAAGCACTGCATTAACAAGCCATATCCAAAACATCCTAAAGCTGCTCCGACTGCTCCAGGATTTTCTCTTCTCAGAAGGGCAAAACAATCAAGTGCTATGGAGTGAAAAGGTAATCAGTGGGCAGGGGTGGGGTGGGTGGATGGAGTCAGTCTGACAACAGTTAGAATGTTGAGCTGAAAGAGGAATGCAGGGATGGGTAAGGACATTGTATAATGGAGTTATTATACCTGACAGAACAAAATGCGCCAGGTTCCATTACTAGCTTTGATAAGTCAACTCAGAATGGCTATATGAAATGTTATTTGAAATGTAATAATTATCATTACTGTTTCAATATCCTAGAAATATATGTAATTGTAGGATTCACAACTTATAGTCTGTAGCACATCAATAAGGCCCAACACCATTCAGTTGGTGATGGAAAGTATTCAAACTCTGCCATGATGCCTTCATCATGGGTATAAATATATTTTAAAAACTAGCACAGTTCTGAATATAGCCTTGATTCCTCTTCCTCATCAGTGCTGTCTCACTCTTCCTGTAAAATAGTCTGTAATGCCTCTGTCATTCAAAATAATCCTGTACAACTGTGTACATTGTAGTCGAGGAATGGTAGCATGTGAATTGTTGTGTTTGTGTACTGTGATTTAAGGTGTGTGATTTGTGTATCTATTTAAATATCTTTTCTTATAGAGTGTTGATTTTGAACTAGTGACATTAGTCTGTGTATATGAGGGATTTTGATAGGTAACTTAGGGAGTCATAGATTTTTTTTTTCCACAAGACAGCATGAGAGAGAGACTTCCTGGAGTGGTCAACAGAATTTGTTTGTATTGGGACAGTTTTACAAGTGACCAGAGTAAATATTGATGCGTATCAGCTTGTTTTTCAGCTAGAAGGATCAGAGGTTTTTTTTGGCTTGGGGAAACTCTCATAGATTGCAAAGACTTTGGTTTTGGTTTATAGGAGTCTTAGTTGAATTTAGACATTATAAAACAGTTCTAGTTGAAGAAAGGAGATAATAAAAATCAGTTAGGATGTAGGTTATCTCAGTGCAGAGTTTTTAGTGTGAAAATTTCAGAGCAGAAGTCTTTGGTTAGAACTCATAAGGGATTATGTGAAACTGAAAAAATGTATGCTCAGTTGTGTGGATACTCAAGGGAGAGGCTATCAGACTCTCAAGACCAGGAACAGAAAGCAACAGTTAAGTCAATTCTATAGATGTGATTGAGAAGGGAATTTGCTCTGGTGTTTGAATACTGTAAAGGGATGCTGTTGGGACAAATGGAACATTGCACATTTGCTGTGTTTCAAAATTTTTCAATTTGTGTTGTACCTAAGTAGCTTGATTTATACGATTTTATCTCTTTCTTTTGCATGATAAGCTTCAGTTTTAGAGTCAGATAAATAACATTGCATGTTTGTATTTCCATGAAAGATCACATCATTAAATAAAAAGAAATGTTCTATCAAGGTAGATTCCAGTCTGGGGTCAGATTTGTCCAGTAATAACATCAGCTGGCATCATGACAGTTAAAATAATAATTCATTTATGACCTTCCTGTTTTCAGATTCTTGAAGGTGTGATTAACTTATTGGATAAGCTAGCTGTTTGGTATCACTCGGACAATGAGACATCTGATTTGAAGGAAATGGCTCAGATTGGCCTCAGAATTATCCTGGGCTATATTGTACAGGAAGATGTTCAGGTTTGTAAATATTTTACTTGTGAATAACAGCATAACTGGGGTTTCAGTCCCAGACAAGTCCTACCTCTCATAATTTCTTTGCCTACCTCATCTCCTTGACCCTTTGGAACATTCTAAATGCATTTTCTAGCACCAGGAGTAGTTGTCTTTGACTTCCCTTCTGATGTCATTCAGCCATGATGTGAATGCCTCTGTTGAGATGGACACAAGATGAGAACTTTAAACTGGAGACATTCTGCGGACTGGGGAATCAAAGATTCATACAGCAAAGAAAAAAGTAATTCAACTGGTCGTGTCTGTGCTGGATGTTTTGAAGTCTCATTTAACAACCTCAGCCCTGATTTTTCCTCTTCAAATATATATCTAATTCCTATTTGAAAATTACTTTTGAATTTGTTTACACCATTTTTCAGATAATACTTTACAAATTTTCATATCTTGCTTAATGAGAAAAGGCTCCTCATCATCTCTCTGGTTCCTTTGCTGATTACCGCAAATCTCTGTGCCCTGATTACCAATCAAGTGGAAACACTTTCTCCTCATTAATTAATTCTATCCAAACATCTCATCATTAAATCTCACCTGAATCTTCTGCATTCTCGGGAGTGCAATTGCAGCTTTTCTCGTCTCTCCACAAAAATGATATCCCTCATACAATATATGCAATAAACATAAAGACAGAAAATGTTGGAAATACTCAGCTAGTCAAGCAAAATTCTGATGAAAGAGATTGATCTGAAACACTAATTGTTTTTCCTTTTGCCGATGCTGCCAAGCCTGCCACGTATTTCCAGCATTTTCTGTTTTCCTTCCAGATTTCCAGTCTCCATGGCATTTGTCTCTAGTATTGCTGTTGTAAATATCCTCTGCACCCATTCAAAGTCTTAACATTGTTTCTAAAATATGCTGCCTCTCCACATTCTTCCTTTCCAAATGCATCACTTCATTTCTACAGACTTGGTGAGACTATACTACAGATCTAAACTTCGTCTCACAAAAGTGTATATGGGATAGAAAACGGGCAAAAAGGTTTATAAATAAAATATCAGACTGAAAGTCTCAACTGTCAAAAGATCAAGCATTTTAGAGCTCCTTTCTCTCCAAAACAGGATTAAGTAAGAATTGACCTAATAAAATCTTGAAAAATATAACAGGGTTGAAAATTGTTGAAATTAAGGATATATTTCCACTTGTGGGTCAGTCCAAAACTTGAATTCTTAATATACAAGTGACTGATTCATTTTGGGATGAAGAATGAAGGGAAGCAGTATTAAACAAATTTGAAGGACATGCAGTAATAGAGAGACCAGAGGGTTCACAGGCATAGTGGTTTTCTCATTAGACTAATAATCTGGAGACCCAGCTAATGCTCTAGACACCTGTGTTGAATTCCCACCATGGTGGAATTCAATAATGTAAAATCTAGAATGAAAGAAGTCTAATGATGACCAAGAAACAGTTGTCAATTGTCATGAAATTAATCTGGTTTACTAATGCACTATAGGCAGGGAAATTTGGTGTCCTCACCTGGTCCGACCTACACGTGACTCCAAATCCACACTGATGTTGTTACCCTTATTTACCCTCTTAAATACCTAGCAAGAGGGACTGCACAGCTGAAGCAACACTGTAGTCTGAGCTGATTGAGTCTTTAAGGACATAGCTGCAGGACTAGGTCTGCAGCAGATGGCAAGGGCATCAACAAGAGGGGGAATTCATCCACAAGTAGAATTCCTATTAAGCATTAAATAAAGTGCAGCAGTTCAATGTGACAGTTTGCCATCATCTTCTCAAAGGAGATATTAGGAAGGGGTAGTGAATGCTGGCCAAGCCAACGACACCCACATCTCATGAATGAATGGAAGTAAACAAATCTTTGAAGGTAGTCAGATAAGTTGATCAGACTTTTAAACGAAGAAAAAGCTGTTAAAAAATTCAAGAAATAATTTAGGACAATTAGCTTTGCTCTCATCACTTTGTCTGAGCTCAAATATACATACAAGATAATGATGACACTTTTTGATAAACAAGATACATCTTCATTTAACACATAGAAGAACTCAAGTCTATCTAGCTTTGGCCATGATGAGAATTAACAGTTAGCCATACAAAACCTTTGTCCTTATAGTGCCATCTTGCCCATAAAAGATAAATTCTAAATATATCTTAAGCTTCCACTACTATTTAATGCTCAATAAATTGTTACCCACATAGGAAAATGTTTTGTCTGTTTAGGATGCTGTCAATGTATTTAGTTTTTCATTCTTCAACTCCCTTCAGGTGTGTGCAGTGGCCTGTGTGAAGCTTCACAGCCTCCTCCAGACCATGCCAATTCGGAAGGAGGAGGCCTGCTTTCTGCTGGGAAAGCTGGATGTTCCCCTTACGAGATCCATCAGGTGTAAGACTGAGATCTTCTCTTACCTGATGCCCATTGTCCGCACTCTGATGGACCAGTGTTACCAGTTGCTTGAGCTTCAGTACCAACTGCCATCTCTGCCACCCACCAATGGCAGCCCGACTTTCTTTGAGGATTTCCAGCATTTCTGTGTCACCTCTGAATGGAGACTCTTCTTGGAAAAACAGGTGGGCGTTTTATGCATCTAACTGCAATGTGATATGTCTATATATTTTTCATGGATTGCATGATTTTATGTGCCTGACTTTGTGAGATGGTCATCGCAGAAGTTAATTACCCTCGTCTCATTTTCCTTTTGCTTTTAACATAAATTTTCACATGTCAAAAATGTGTGACTGCTCATGGACATCAGCCATGTCTTTATTCTACAACTTCCATGCCTTTCAAAGCTGATCTTAAGTGTGAACTGAACAATTCTACTTGATTTATCTTGTCTTTTATCCTGTTTGATACTTTAGACACATTTCTTGACACTTCACCAAGGTTACTTACTTTAAGAAAAATAAATTAGTCTAGACTCCATACGCATACACATACTAGTCTCTCCTCTTGTTCTTCTGTTCATTCCTCATGTCTTCCCAGGCAACTTTCTGGTCCTTGCCATCACACTATTTTCTGCCCAATTCATTGCTTTACTAGACTGATATCCTCGCTTTTACTCAGTGATTTTCTGTATCCTGAAATCTCATTAATCTTGCCAATCTGTACTGAGATCTCTCAACTACTCAATCCTGTTCTCTGCCTTTATTTCCTGACTTATTGTGCACCATGATGTCTACTCACCTCCATTTCTGTCCTGGGAACTCCATTCTCAGTTTGTCCTTGTGCTTATCCTAACTCCCTAGACCTGATCGTCTTGTATCGCCTAATTTTTCTTCTCTTGCTCAGTTCTGTACCTTGCCCAAATGATCATCTTATGTTGGCATTGTCTTTCAAGCCTATTGTATTTCTACATATTAAATCATACCCTTTTCTATGTTATCCTATCTTGTCTCCTCATATCCTTTCTAATATTATTATGGCTTTTCAAGCCTATGTTATCCTCCGTTACCTTATTCTGACCAATCCTGTCTTTCATCTTATTAATATGTTCTCTTTGGTGTATTCACTTTTAGTGGGTATAACTGTGTACATTTTTGCAGGTTCTGAAAGCCATGACTCAATACGAGCACGACACATTTGACAGAAGTCACAATCAGATGTCCAGCTTCTGGAATTCCTGCTATGACTCTCTGATGAGCAGCTCATTGCGTCGAGAGCATGAGCGTGGGGAGAGTCGTTCCAAGTTTGAGGTAGCTAATGCATGTGCCCTGTTTTGACACTCCCTGTGCAATTGAAACTACTGATGGGCTCCCCACTTATTTAATATCCTCTCTCAGATCCTGCACATTCTCCATTATCATGGACTTCACCCTAGCCTTCTAATCTACTCCATAAACCCTGTAATACTCTGACCAATTGTGAATTCAATCCCACCCACTTAATCTTCTTATTGGAAGTTTTGATTCTTTCAAATGCCCACTACATAGACTTATTTCAGATTTTTGGGAAAGGATACATAAATAATTTGAGACATGATATGTATGGCATCTTTGAGAAGAAAAATTTGACATTGAATCCAAGGGCTCCCTCAACTGTCTGCCAGTGGGATTTTCCTTGGTGAAGTCTAGGTGGGTTTAGATTAATTAGTAGCGATTGACAGTTCTGACCAGCTATTAGTCTGTCATCTTTGTATGATGAAGCTGCTATGTCATTCAGGGAGTACTGAATGAATTATGTCTTTTTGCATTTAGGAAATTGTACATTAATAGGCTCAGATGTTTTAGGACACAGATCTGGGGAAGGAGGGACTTAACCTGGACCTCCTGAATCAGAGGAAGGGACATTACCACTGCACCACCAGAACCCTCCAAGGCATCTGTTTTTTTTATTTTAGGTACTTTCTAATCAACCTGATCATAGTTGCTATTTCACACCTCTAGAGCAGGTGGGATTTGAAACCAGTCTTCTGGGCTATGAGGCAAGGACACTAATGCTATGCCACAAGAGCCCCCAAGTGAACTCAGCATTTTTTTTTAAATATCCAGAAGTGCCCTTACACACAGCTGAAAAGAGTTTATCCAATCGCTGGTGGTATTTTTCATCTAATTAACCACACCAATAAATCACCTGTGTTTTCCAGTTGATCAGTTTACATGCAAAGGCCGTTATGGGCAATGCAGAGCATCATAGTGAGGGAGAGATAGGGAGCTGGGGAGCAGGCTATATCAAAATCGGCTCAATTTAATGAACTAATCCATACCATACACTTGTTTACTCGACTGCCTTCAACTACTCGGAACTTTAATATCCATCAATAGAACTTATTGAATACTGAACAGCATGCTATGTTTGAAATTTGAGGGGAAAGAAAGGGCTTATCGGGCAAAACGGTCTGCTCCTGCTACTAAAAATGACCTTGAGTTTATGAAAGAAGATTAATGTTGTCACTCTCCAATCTGTTGCATCTCCCTCAAGGAGTTGATTCTGGAGCCATACATGAAGCGTGTGAGGTTTGAGAATGCTCGATACAGCAATGTCCTCAAACAGATCAACAGCCATCACAACACGGTACTTCGACAGTGGCAATCATTAAGGCGCCTCTTTACCTGCCCACGTGGGGCCTGGGCTGAATGGTAGGTGACAGCTTCTTTTAAGAATAGAGAATTCTTCAGTGTTGAGTTTTGACATTATTGAAAAAGTTGGGTTTTTCCAGCAATCCAACAGTTTAGCAGTCCTTTTTGCCTGATTTTTTAAAAGCAGAATATGCATTCTGTTCATCCAGGTCTCAGAATTACTGGACCAATACTATAACCACTAGTGGGTAGTAATTTCAACCAACCTGTTCCAATATCTTAGGACACGTTGCGGCAGGTGAGATTTGAACCCTGATCCATTCAGATGGTGTGATGCATTGGAAGTTGTCTTTTCTAGCTATGACTAACAGGATTAAAGTCCTTCCATGTTTGGTGGTTATGGTTTGGTGGCACTAAATTGGCAATGTTAATCATTAAATCACTGGTGTGAGAAACAGAAAATTGTTACATTGGCCTGGAGGCTTTTGGGCTGAGGCAAATTTTAGCGTAATGGGGAAAAGGATTTGCATTGATTGGTTCATTCTGTAAGTGAACTGGGATTGCTCGGTGGTTTAAAATGATGTCATTCTGTAACATTAATATCTCTTGCATTGCTGGGCATCCTTGCTAAACATCAAAATCACATCAGTATATGACATGAAGACATCCCAAGTGATTTGCAGTCAATGAAGTTCTTCAGAATTTACTGCTGTAATGGAGGAAACTGTAATGGAGGTAGAATTGTGGATGGGGGCTGGAATGAGGAATATTCCACTTAGCCCACAAAGAGACAGGCATAACTGGGGCCCAAGTGGGTACCCATGGCCACCCCTCTGTCCTGAAGAAAATGAGAGGAGTTAAATTTGGAAGGTGTTTAGGGTGAGGACGAGCTTGGCCAGCAGAGGAGTTTGGTGGGGACGGTTCAGGCCTTTGTTCCAGGTAGAAGTGGAGAGCCCTGAGACCATCCTGGTGGGGGATGGACATGTAAAGCAATTGCCCGTCCATGGTAAAGAGGAAGTGGCTGGAGCCTGCAAACTGGAAATTTCAAAACTAGCATAAAGCGTCAGAGGAATCGTGGTGTGAGTGGGCAGGAACTGGACCAGGGAAGCAAAGACTGAGTCAGGGTAGGAGGAGATGTGTTCTGTGGATCAGGAGCAGGCTATAACAATGGATCTACCTGGGCAGTCTTGTTTGTGGATTTTCAGAAGGAGGTAGAAGTGAGCTGTGCGGGCCGGGGGACTGTCAATTTGGAGGCAGGTGGGGAGAGATCACCAGATGAAATGAGATTAGTGACTGTAGTTGATACAATGGTCTAATGTTCCATTGTGGGGTCATGGTCCAGGGGTAGATGGGAGGAGGTATCTGTGAGCTGGCGCTCAGCCTCTGCAATGTAGAGGTCAGTACGCCACGCTACAACAGCACCACTCTTATTGGCAAGCTTAATAACAAAGTCAGGGTTGGATCTGAGTGCACCGAGTGAAGTCAGTTTTGGGTGAGATAGGTTGGAATAGGTGAGGGGGCCGGGGGTCAGAGAAATTGAGGTGACCAATGTGACGTCAACAGTTCTCAATGAACAGGTCAAGTGCACATAGAAGGCCAGAGGGAGGGGTCCAGGTGGCGGGAGAGTGTTGGAGGTGGGCAAAGGGGTCTGTGGTTCGGGGAGAGGACTCTTGGCCAAAGAAATGGGCAAGGAGGTGAAGATGACAGAAGAAGAATTTGATGTCACGTCATGCCTGAAATTTATTATGATAGGGACTCGGAGGGATAAAACGGAAATCTTAGCTGAGTAAAACCTGTTCAGCATCGGAGAGTGGAAGGTTAGGGGGGATGGAGTCAGAGGGAAGGGGAGGGGAAGAAGGTCCATGAGGGCCGTGGATATCTCTGAGTTGTTGCAGCTTGTGTGCCTTGCTGACTGAAAGGGGGGAAAAAAAAAGTTTTGCGTATGTTCTGATGAGGCCAGCTTCGACAAGGGAGCCTCCAAATTATCCACCTACTTCCTCAACTGAGGATTCCCCAGCACCATTTACGACAGGGCCCTCAACCAGGTCCGACCCATCTCTTGCACTTCCGCCCTCAACTCTCTCTTTCCTCCTGCAACAGCGATAGAGTTCCCCTTGTCCTTAACTACCATCCCATCAGTATCCACATCCAGAAGATCATCAGCCACCATTTCCACCACATCCAGCGAGATGCTACCACCAGACACGTATTCCCCTCCCCTCCCTTGTCCGCCTTCCACAGGAACCATTCCCTCCGGGACACCCTGGTCCAATCTTCCTTTATTCCCAACAAACCCCCACAGCCCCTTGGGACCTTCCTCTGCAATCGCCAAAGGTGTAACAATTGCCCATTTACCTCCTCCCTCACCACTATCCAAGGGCCCAAACATACCTTCCAGGTGAAGCAGCACCTACCCTATCCACAATCCAGTCTGTTGCGTTCGTTGCTCACAATGTGACCTCCTCTGCATTGGGGAAACGAAGTGTAGACTGGGTGACCGCTTCGTAGAACATCTATATTCTGCCCGCAAAAATGACCCTGAGGTTCCAGTTGCCTGCCACTTCAACATATCATGCTGTTTCCTGATAAATATCTCTGTCTCAGGTTTGCTGCAGTGCTCCAGTGAAACTCAGCGTTAGCTGGAAAAACAACGCCTTGTTTTCCACTTGCTGACCCTGCAACATTCTGGTCTCAATATCGAGTTCAATAATCTTTGGGCATGAACTCTTCTATGTCCTCGCCCACATCCTTACACATTAAGCCTTGTTAACACACAATCTGCTATTCTACGCAACCCATTGTTAGCCACTAACAATCTCCATTAACAACTGTTCACCCTCCTAGCCAGATTGTTATCCACTCCAACAGCTCTTCTCTCTCTTTGGGCTCTATCTCTTCCGATCATTTACTCCTTACCCCCTCCCCCTACCCTATCTTTTGCATTAAAAACTGACATTTTTCTAGCTACCATCAGTTCTGAGGAAGGGTCACTGGACCTGAAACATTAACTCTGATTTCTCTTCACAGATGCTGCCAGACCTGCTGAGCTTTTCCAGCAATTTCTGATTTTATTTCTGATTTACAGCATCTGCTGTTCTTTTTGTTTTAATTTTATATGCTGTTTGAGGGGTAAATATTGATCACAGCACTAGATGAACTCCTTGTTTCTCTGAACATTGTCACACGACAGTCCCTTTATTGACTTCTCATCCAAAAGGCAACACTCCCTACAGGGCAACGTTCCATCAGTACTGCAGTGGAGTATCAGCCTGAATCATGTGAATCGTTTTTGTGTTCAAGTTTTAAACTCACAACCAATTGAGTTGGCTCTCATGATTGAATGATTCTTTTATCCTAAAATAGCAACATTAAAAAGAACGGAGAGTAAAAAGGTCAAGTTGCCATAGTCCTACCAGACCATAGGGCTGCTCTCTAATTAGAGAGCGATGACAGGTGGTAATTTAACCTGGGGTCACCATGCCTCAAGTCAGGGGGAGAAGTTGAGGAGAGTTCATGGTAACTTCACCCTGTGTGGGAATTGAACCCATATTGTTAGTGTCACTCTGCATTGCAAACCAGCCATCCCTGATCGGGAATATCAATCATTGAGAGCCTGCATTGGAAAGATTGGCATCAAGGTTAGAACATCCAGCTCCAATGACATTTATGATTTCTTGGCACTATTTTGGGATTATATGCATGTAGGTTACTGTTGCCACAGCTAACACAAATTCTCATTACCCTATAGCAATCCTACTGAAATTAAATGGAAACTATCAAGTGTGGAGACCTACTCAAGGATGAGGCTGAAATTGGTTCCAAACTACAACTTCAGCACGCATGAGGAAGCCAGTGCCTTGCGGGACAACCTTGGTAAACAAAATATATATTTTTAGGCTAGAGATAAAGAAAAAGAGAAACTTGCATTCTTATACAACTGTTCAAAATCTTGGTATTTCTAAATAGATTAAAGTCAAATATGTATTTTAGAAAAGTTGTCATTCTAATGTAGGAAACTCAGCCAAGTTTAATCAGCTTAGTTCCAATTTGTAAGGGCATGTTCAGGCCATGAACCTGTTCTGGCTGTCGATCCTCATCATTCCTCTTCATCCTGGTCCCCTTGATTTTCCTCAGAAATATAGAGAAAAGAATAATTATAACCACAAAGCTATCAGATTGTGTTACATGTTTCATTCATCTTTTAAGAAAGAAAGCTTGCTGTGATTACAGCCTGTTTGAATTTGATTTGACACTGCTGTAGTTGGCTGTATGTTATAATCTGAAATGACCAAGTGAGCCCCTCGATATTTCAACTGCAACACAGATTTCTAATGACATGTAAGAGCACTGTTGCCATATACACTGTCACGTTTTAATATGAAAGCCCACCGCCTCCCTGAGGACGATTGGGAATGAGTAAGAAACACCGGCTGTGTCAAAAGTGCCCATATACAAGAACTAATCCAAACAAATTGTGTCTTTTAGCAGGTGCATGTGACAAGCGTGTAGCAGCAGAAAGGATTCAAAACTGACTAATACTTGGTGTTTCATAGGTACTGATCACATAAGAAACCCACCAGACTCTTTACCACTCGCAGTGGCAAAGGAAGCAAAAGTGAATGAGTTGGAAGATGATCAGCTTGGAGATGAAGATCTTGTTTTCCTTAACAGCCAGTAAGTGTTCGGTCAATGCAGCAACCAGTATTTAAAGAGGAACAAAAACAAAGTTGCTGGAAAAGCTCAGCAGGTTTGGCAGCATCTGTGAAGGAGAAAACAGAGTTAACGTTGCGGGTCCGGTGACCCTTTCTCAGTTTTTTCCTTCACAGATGCTGCCAGACCTGCTGAGCATTTCTAGCAACTTTGTTTTTGTTCCTGATTTACAGCATTCACAGTTCTTTCGGTTTTTATTTAGTATTTAAAGAGGCCTTGGCCAAGTGCCAGGCTCTAGTTTACTGTCTGCAATGATGTGATGATTGTTAATAACAGCGTGCCGGGTGCACTTTGAGCATTTAAAATGTTGAGGAGACTTTCCTCGTAACTTTTAAATTATCCAGTTTGTACTAATGAGCACAAAAATGGAAGACATGACTACAAAAGTAACCAGGCTGAAGTTTGAATTGAGATTCGGAAAAACCTTTTGTTTGTCATATAGAAGCAAGTAGAATAGTTGATTTTCTGTTACATAACTAAAAACAGAAAATGCTGAAATCTGGTTAGGAGTACCGTCTTAGAATATTAATAAGACTAAAATGAACCAAACGTGGAAGTTGATACCTCCAAAGTGATGTAAAGGAATTAAAAGTAGGACGTAATTTATATTGTGCCTTTTCTGATCTCAGAACTTCTTTCAATACTTAACAAATGAATAAGACACTTTGATATGTAGTCAATATTGTATTGTATTGTATTGTCACCAGGAAAGGTGACAATGCCCTGATTTTTGTATTCATTCACAGAATGTGGGCATTGCTGGCTGGGCCAGCATTTATTTCCCATCCCTAATTCCTGCTTGAACTGACTGCCTTGCCAGGGCCATTCTAGAGGTCACTTAAGAATCATCCGCATTGCTGTGGGCTTGAAGTCACATGCAGGCCAGACTTCTGCTTCAACTTTTAAATTTAAATTGCCATTGCCCTGTTTTTATTTCTTTGTATATTGGGGAGGTAGGGTGGTACAGTGGTTAACACTGCTGCCTTTCAGTTCCAGGGCATCAGGTTTAATTCCAGCCTTGGATGAGTGTCTGTGTGGAGTTTGCATATTCTTCCTGTGTTTGCGTGGGTTTCTGCTGAATGCCCTGGTCTCCTCCCAAAGTCCAGGTTAGGTGGATTAGACGTGCTGAAATCGCCCTGTAGCGTGCAGTTTACTGGTTTAGCCATGATAAATCTGGGGTTACAGGAATAGGGTGGCGGACTTGGTCTGGGTGGGAAGCTCTTCAGAAGGTAAGTGTGGACTTGATGGGTTGACTGTCCTCCTTCTGCGCTATAGGGATTCTATATCACTTCACATGAAGTTGATGCACTTTCATACATTTCTACAGTCAACAGTCTTGTTGAAATACAGACTCTCTCAACATCTGTCATACATTGTTTTCATTTTTACAGCCAACACCAACAGAGTCCAAAATCTAAATGCAATTGCTATGATTTAACCTTGGCATCAGTCTACTTGTGACCTTTGGATACTCTGGAGCCATTTAATTTCAGACTGTCATATAAAGTGAATTCATTACAAATAAAATGGATTAATTTGCTAGTTCTTGTTCACTGAGCAATCCTTCTTTTTGCAGAGTTGAATCTGAGGAGCCTAGTCAGAAGGAGAAATTGGTGATCTCTGAGGAGTGCGAGTTGATCACAATTGTTGCAGTGGTCCCTGGGCGCCTGGAAATCACCACACAGCATATCTATTTCTATGATGGCAGCATTGAAAAAGAAGAGACAGAGGAAGGTGAGATTGCTGAAACTCCTTTGTTGCTTTAATGCTCTCCTAATAAGCCCTTTGTGTCTGTCGCACGGCAAACATTTGAAAACCTGATTCAAACTGACAATTTAATGATGTAATGCTGCACCTGAACCATGCCTTAGTAAGGAGGCAATCTGAAATGGATCCACAAGCCCATTGCATCATGCAATTAAATCTAAACTGATCTGAACCTCCACCAAGTCTCATTCATTTTTGACCTTGATTGGTTAACCCTTTAATTTTCTAAACTCAAAGTAATACAAGCCCAAGTGTGCAGCCTGTCCTCATCACGTAACTATTTAAGCTGTGGTCAAATTCTCATAAATCACAGCTGTACACCCTTTAAAGCTTGCAAGTCCGTCTATGGGTGTTGTGTTCAAAACTGAACATAGTCCTCCAGATTAAGGCTGGCTCAGGCGTTGTACAACTGAAGCATTACTTCCTCCCTCTTGCTTTCCAAGCCCCTTGTGTAAAGACCAACATCCCATTCGCATTTTCAATTTTTTTTTTAACCACCGCTTTTAGTAATTTGAACACTCAACCTCATTTGCAATTTCTAGTTTCTCGCTATGAAGAAAATGTTACAGTTTGTCTTTTTTAGATGTAAACCTCATGATGTAACACTTCCCAAACCGAAAATCATCTGTTACATTTTTGCTCATTGTGTCTATGTCCCTTTGTAATGTTTCTACTCCGATCCATACAATGCAGCTCCAACAACACTCAAGAAGCTTGGGCAACATCCAGGACAAAACAGTTTGCTTGATTGGCACTAGATCCACAAATGCCCACTCACTCCACCAGTAACTATCAGTAGTAGCAATGTTTACTATCTACAAGATGCAGAAATTCTCCAAGACATCTTAGACAACACTTTTCAAATATATAACCACTTCCATCTGGAAGGACAAGAACAACAGATAGAAGGGAACACCACTCCTTGCGAATTCCCCTCTAAGCTGCTCGTCATCCAAACTTGGTAATATATCGCTGTTCCCCCATTACCATAGGGTAAAAATCCTGAAATTCCCTTTCTAATAGCCTGTGGGTCTACCTACAACAAATGGACTGCAGCTTTTGAAGAAGGCAGCTGTCCACTACCTTCTGAAGGGCAATTAAGGATGGGCAATAAATGTGGCCCCACCCAGAATGCCCACATCCTGTGAATGAATAAGAAAGAAAATATGACATGACTTCCAACTTACTGTCATCTATGAATTTGGATAAACAACTCTCTCATCACTGATTGATATACAGCTGAGGACTTGGTATAGGTGGCAGAGGAGACAACTTGTCCCATGGCACTAATCAGAATGCATCCCATTACCACTGCTGTTTATATCCTATTTCCCAACCAATTAACAACCACAACCTTGCATCTTATTTTACCAAATAATCTCTCCTGTGGAACTTTGTAAATTGCCTTCCATCCATAATGATAATATGCATAGAAATTCATATCTCCATTATGTCACGAGCCACCCCAGAAACTGTACTGGATAAATCAAACATGATTCACAAGTCTGTGTAAATTTCCTTTGATCAGTTGATACTTGTCAAAGTGTTCAGTCGCTCTGTTACTAGATTCCAGTAACTTGCCCAGTATCGTCAATTAGTAGCATTCTCACCTTTGAGACAGAAGCTGCTGGGCTCAATTCTGTGAAAGCATTTCTTTCTTTTATTAACTTCCTCCTTTCTTAAATTATAAATGTAAATTTAATACTTTTCAATTCAAAGCAGCAATTCCTAAATCTGGAGAGTCAAACTCAGTACTGCTGGTACAAATTAGAAACAATATGGAGCACTATGTCAGTACTGGAGTAGAGGAATACTGATATTTTAAAAAGTTTAAACTCAATGTGAAATTTTTCTTTTGAAGAAAATTATTGAATTTCACCCCTAATTCAGGAGATGTATTCAGTCAGTGTGGCTTCATAGACAACAACAGAGATTAAATATTTCCCTCTGGTAGAACACTGTCACGTTTCTGATGCTGTGTTTAACTCCGCCCTCTAGCAAAAGAAAAAGACTTGCAATTTATGTAAAATCTGTCATGACTTTAGGGTGTCCCAGAACACCTCAGTGCCAGTGTAGAACTGTGTCATTTTCTTTATTCATTCTTGGGATGTTGGCATTGCTAGCTGAGCCAGCATTTATTGCTCATCCCTAATTTGCAAAAGGCAGTTAAGAGTCACTTGGGTAATGCAAAGCAGTTCCTTGAAACCATAACATGAAGCATTCACTAAGGGACAGAAATTGGCCAGAGCACCAACAACTTGCCTTTAAAGGAACTTTATAGTATAGTAAAATATCCCGAAGTGACTCATAGGAATCTTAATCAGATAATGAGGCACATGAACAAATATTAGCATGAGTGACCAAATACTTAGCTAAAAGCAGCTTAAAAGGGCAAGAAAGGAAAATAGAGAGATTTAGATAGGGAATTCCTGATTTTGGATCTTGGCACCTGAGACTGGGACAATGAAAATTAGGTTTGGGCAAGTGCCAAAATTGGAGGAGTACAGGAATCATAGGCTGCCAAGTTAGGGCAGGCACCAGATTTATGGATGGTCCGAAGCTTACAAAGAATGGTAGGTGGGAATATACTCAAGTTGATGACTCTTCTGTGTTTATAGTAGTGTATTTTTAAAGTTCTCTTAAGAGGGCAGACTGAGTTTGAGTTTAACTTATCATCCTCAAGATGTAATCTATGTTGGCACAAACCTTAATTATGCACTGCAGTATCAAAGTGGATTATGTGCTTAGTTCTCTGGAATGGGATAAGAGCCTACAGCTGTCCAAGTCATATATGAGAATATTAACACTGATCCACAGCAGACATTGTAACAACTTGTATTTACACATCGCCTTTAATATTGTATAACACCCAAAGATATTTCCCCGCAACAAAATTTGATGCTGAGCCACGTAATAGAATGATAAGGCAGGTGACCAAAAGTTTGGTTAAAGAGGTCAGTTTTGAGGAATACCTTAAAAGATAGGGTTGAGCAGATTTCAGAACATGAGCAAAACATCAGCCAAGATTCTGCTTCCTGAACACCAGCCAGAAATTGTGCATCGATTGCTACCAAATTGTAATGGGTTGAGGTTCAGTTATAGTGTCCCTACAGTGGAATACTGCACCAACAATTGACTCCCAAGCTCACTAAGAATGAAGAATGGTTAACTTGCCAAGGTACAAAGAGATTACCTTTAGAATTGTGCTTTGATTGAATTGTTTCCTTTGAGAGAGGGAGTGGTGTTGGCACATGACGAGAAAAAGACCTCAGAACTATGGTCCTTTTTGTTTCAGGAATTGGCTATGATTTCAAACGTCCCCTGTCTCACCTTGGGGAGATGCATCTCAGACGCTATAACTTGAGGAGATCTGCTTTGGAGTTCTTCTTTATTGATCAATCAAACTACTTTATCAACTTCAAAAAGAAGGTATAGTACTTCTGGTTTTTTAAAGCAGATTCTTCATTATAATAAGAGTTATGGCTTTCAATTGAGAAGGGAAGGAGACAGAAAATAGGAAGTTATAGGCCAGTTAGTTTGAGGTCTGTCATCAGGAAAGTGTTAGAATCTGTAACTGAAAAGATTACAGCTGCACACTTAGAAAAACTTAAGGTAATCAGGAAGATTCAGCATTTCTCTTTGGGAAAGGGAAATCATGCTGAACCAATTTATTGGCGTTCTTTTAAGGAATAACATGGGCTATGGATAAAGGAGATCCTGTAGTTATACTGTACTTTGGAAAATCAAAGGTATTTGACAGAGTGCAATAAGAAATAGTTGGCATGGTGATAACACAGGAGCACAAGTAGAAGACTGTCTGACTGACTAGCTGAAAACAAAGTTTGTATAAATTGCCCTTTTTCTGATTGGCAGGTTGTGATGAGTAGCATCTCGCAGAGGTCAGTGCTGAGCCTCAGCTTTTTACAACTTCTATTAGTGACTTAGATGAAGAAAGCCAAGGTGTGATAGCTATGTTTGACACAAAAGTACTTAGGAAACTGTATTCTGAAGAAAGAAGTTGCGGACAGATATAGATAGGTTGAGTGAGTGGGAAAAGATCTTGCAGATGGAGTCTAACATGGGAAAATGTGAACTTCTTCACTTTGTTTTTGTGTTCTTCCAGCCAAAGTATTACATAAACAACAAATAACTGCAAAATTCGGAGGGCTTCAGGTGTTTGAGTACAAGTCACAAGTGCAGCATGTAACAGAGGTGGCCAAATGGGACGCTATTCTTTATTAAAAGAGGAATTAAACATTAAAAGTAAGAATGTCATGCTTCAGTTACGCAAGGTATTGGTGAGACCGCACCATATCCAGTTATGGCTTTTTTAGGAAAAGATATAAATCTGTTGAAGGTAGTTCGGAGAAGGTTTACTAAATTAATACTTGGATTGACTAGGTTGTCTTACAAGGAAAGTTTTTGGGTTTGTTTTCACTGGGGTTTGGAAGAGTGAGAGTTGGCTTGATTTGAGGGAGGATGCTCTTGCTTTTGAGGGAGTGCAGTGAAGGTTTACCAGCTGATTCCGGGGATGGCAGGTCTGACGTGTGAAGAGAGATTGACCAAGTTGGGATTGTTTTTGCTAGAGTTCAGATGAATGAAGGGGGAATCGCATAGCAACTTAAAAAATTCCAGCAAGACTGGACAGGGTAGATGTAGGGAGGCTGTTCCTGATGGTTGTGTCCAGAACCAGGGGTCACAGTCTGAGGATTCGGGGTAGACAGAGATGAGGAGACAATTCTTCACCCAAAGAGTGGTGAGCCTGTGGAATTCATTACCACAGGAATTAGTTGATGCCAAAACATTGAATGTGTTCAAGAGGCAACTAGATATAGCATTTGGGGCGAATAGGATCCAAGATTATGGGGAGAAAGCAGGATTAGGCTATTGAGTTGGACAATAAGCCATGACGTGATGCATGGTGGAGCAGGCTTGAAGGGGCGAATGGCCTCCTGCTTCTATCTTCTATGTATGTTTCTGTGCTTCTAAAAGATCCTGCGTAGTCTTCACAAGGTGGCTGTGGAATTGGGTTCCTCTTGCTGATTAATCCAGAACTAGGTGACAGTTTCTTTCATGTGTTACCCTGTTAGGATGGAGATGAAGGGATTTTTCTCTCAGTAGGTTGAGACACATCGGAACTTAGGTGGATGTTAAGCTAATCGTCATGTGATTTCCTGCTTTCTGTCTCCTTCCCCTTTTTTGGATAAAGGAGTTACAAGAATTTCATTCAGATGGAATCTTCCCTGAATCCAGGGACTGTTTGGAAGATTAGAACCAACATTTCGACTATCCCACTAGCTGCTACTTTTACTACATAGGATGATGTTTATCAGGACCTGTGGGCTGACAAGTCCCCAACTCTAACAAATTAGTGTGTGTTATGATCTCAGTCAGTGGTAATGCTAGACAAATCAGATACCAGAATGAAACCTGGCTTGCCAGATCACATGTTTAACTTTTGTAGTTGATTAACACGGCAGTTAGTCACTGAAACATATTCAAACAAGGCTTCAGATGTTCTTTGCAACGCAACATAAGTTATTTACATGAAAGAGAAAAGAAATAAGCAATGCTATCAATATGAAATAATAGGAAAGATCTTGACTCAAGCAGTCAAATAAAGTTTCAGCCTGTTTCTCAAAACGGTCCTTTGTCAAATACTCAATTACAGAGAACTATCACTCCTATCACAACTCTTCAATTTTTTTTACTGAATTGACTCTTCCCTGTTTCTTTTTCATGTTTGCTGTGTTAATTTTATGATTCTTTTCCGAGACCCCAAGCATGAACCTTTTGGAATTCTGACAGGCTAAACTTTCTAGTTTCTAACAACTTGGAACGTTTTATACAAGTTCCATGAACCAAAACTCCTTTGACTCGGGTAACTGGTTCCTTTGAATGGACTTGAAAAATTTGACTCTTCTACTGGAAGATAACTGGCCTCCTTCTGAATTGAATTCAAAAGCTAAACTAATGGCCTCTGTCTGTTATAAACCACAGCAATATACTAATTTCATCCATTAGTGCCACAGATGTCAGGTATTTGACTGACATCACATGCCTTCTTGGAAATGATGTATTTAGGTCACTGTTCCAAATGACTCTGTGACCTTTCATTTAAAAAAAACTTTCTCAGAACGAGGCAAAATCCATCTGTCCCTATTTTAACATCCAAATCCCAAATGTTAATACTATATTTCACACGCCATCTATCACATCAGTGCCAATTTCCTGTTGAGCCTCTTTAGTGAAGACCACTGCAGAAAACCTGTGAAATTGCCATGTCCGTATTTCCTTTATTCAGTCCCCAGACTCACTTTTTCTGTTGGATCAACATTCACTTTAACTCTTTTCCTTTTAATTAACTGTAGAAAATTATTGCTTTATTTTTAAATTTCCAGCTAGGCTTTCTCTCGTACTCTAATTTATGCCTCCTTATTAATCTTTTGGCCAATCTTCACTGATTTTTATACTCTATCCAATTTTTTGACCTGCCACCTGTTATTGCTCATTAAATGTTCTACAATGTACTTCGTACTCCATCCTACCATGTCATTACTGCCAGGGTGTGTATACATCACTCCCACAAGTGACTTCGTACCTTATCATTTTACATCTCTGGTCAAACTGTTCTACAGCCTGTTTCTTAAATTTGGGCCATCCTTCTCTATTGTACTAGTGCTGTGATTAATTAACAAGACCATCACTCCACCTTTTCATAGGTTCTCATCTTCCTAAATGTCCTGAGCCCTTCAGTATTCAGTTATCAGTCTAAGTCGACTTGCAGTCATGCCTCTTTCATGGCAATCAGTTGTTTGCACAATCAGTTCATATATTTTGTTCCTAATGCTACTTGCATTCAGATAAAGAGCCTTCAGTTTAGTCCTTTTACTGTTGTGTTTATCTCTGTTATAAATCACTGGGGTACCACACTGAAAATCAAAACCCTCTCTTCTTGGAATCATCACAAATGTGGGCAAAATGGCCCTGAACACTTTCAAGTGGTGTCATTCTGTCTAGAATTCTCCTCATTGCTCAAATAGTTAACAGTCTAAAATAAATTGGTCTTTACATCTCGCCTTATCTGTTAATTTACTTTCAGATGTATACTGTCAATCCCTACTTGTCATGGTCTGTTTATCATTTTCTCGACCTTTCTCTGTTGCCTTTCCAAATCTTTCCAAATTGGATCCTTTGCCCTCTCTACTTACTTAGTTATGCAGCCAGCTAAAACACCAACCCCAACATGATTCAGGTGTAGATTGACTCAATATTACAAGTTGAACTTTTCCTCAGTACTTTTACCCATGCCCCATAAACCAAAACCCAATTCCCCCACACCAATCTCCACACATTAATTTCTCTAATCTTCCTTGTTCTGAGTCCAGAATGAGAATAATTACAGTTTAGCTCTGAAGTTCAAAATAATTTGCTTTCATATAGCATTTTCACAACCTCAAGGTGTCACAATGTAATTTACAGTTAATGAAGTATATTTTGAAGTGTAAGCACTGTTAAGATATAGCATTGTGAGACACTATCTTAGCAAGTGCATTAATTTTAGTAGAAAACAGCTTACTTGCATACAAGACTGATAAATGTACTTCATGTGCATATTTACTGACCATTGAATATCTGTAACCAAGGAAGTAAAGCACTTTGGAACACATTTGTGCACCATTTTCCTTTTTGTTACCATTTTTAGCAATGAATGTACAAAAAGGGTAGAGCTTAAAGCAAAACCCTATGTAAATATGAGCATTAAGATCATATATCAAGCAAAGGTTGTGTAACTGAAAGTTTTGCTGACCACATCATGTTATATCTTGATTGAGTTTTGAGAGGCTGACTGATCACCTTTTGCTGAAACGTTGTTATACCTTTGCAGTAAGGAAATACCGAGTCCACTTATCTGACTGACTTTATTCTTTTTGCTTCTGCACGCAGGTCAGAAATAAAGTGTATTCACGTATTGTGAGTACACATCCCTCCAATCTCAACTTCAACAGCCGCTCCCCCCAGGAACTGCTGAAAGCATCTGGATTAACTCAGGTAGGGTGTTGCTGCATTCTGTAAATTGGAAAAGTAGTGACTGACACAACCAGACTATTGTGACTGTGTCAACACTTTAAAAGAGCTATCCAATTAATCCCATTCCCCTGCTATTTCCCATCATGCTAAACATGGTTTTCTTTTCGAAAGTTGCTAACAGGTCTGTCTTTACCACCTTTTTAGGCAATGTGTCCATATTTAAACAATTTGCACCATAAAAACAAAGTCTACACTTCTCACCTCTGGTTCTTTCACCAACTAGTTTAAAATCTGTATCCTTTAGTTGATCAAGTCTTCTGCCATGGAAACAGCTTTTTATTATTTACTCTAACAAAACTCTTCATTCATTATTTTAAACAGCCCTGTTCTATTTTCCTTTTACCCTGTTCTCTTGTTCCCTTTATATTGTAAAGGGAACAATTCTGGTTTTTCACATCTCTCTCACGTTTTGAGTGCCTTAACCTTGGAATAATTCTGGTAAATCTCGTCTGCATCTTGACACCTTTGCTAAAGTACAGTGTGTAGAACTGAAAACCATGGGCTAGGTTTTGCAGTCAGCATTGAACAAACAGCACTCACCATTTATTGTACTTGGATTTGCGGACTGTCTGTGGGCTTTCTGATACAGTCTGTGGCAATTGAAGAGCTGAAACAGTATCTCATACTCTCTATAGAAGATCTGAGTTGTGTAAATAGGACAGGGATTGTATGCATCCTTAGCCAATCAGATTGAAGAATTCTAATGCACTTATTAAAATGGGAAAGGGAAGTTGGAATATTTAATCTAATGTAACATTAAAGCATTGAACAAAATTGAATGAAGAGTGAAAAGATGGATTAGATTAAGAGAGAGATAAGGAATTTTTTAAAAATGTAGTAATATTAGAAATCTGAAGCCATGAGACGCGACTGTTACAAAAGGACAGTTTCCGTGTTAGAAACTGTTTGACAGTAATTAAAACTTAGATGCTGTGAAAATTAACATACTCCAAGTGGAATAGTCCTAACCATCTAAATGCCCTAACTTCATATTGTTACATGCGTGTGAATGCTGTGTCTATCGATGAGGTCTTATTGTAGCAAAACCTGTGGAGGATCAGAATAGTTCAGACATCAACTTCCTGATCTTTGTGTTTAATGTACACCTTGCAGTAAATGCAGTCAGACTTGCTCTTAAATGTGAATTGCAAATTATTCCCACAATCAGCACTCGCTGTTATTCTTCTCCCAAAATCCATAGTGATACTTCAGCATGAAATCTAGCATGCATGTTCTCATAGTATAACTTCCCAACTTTTGTATACTATGCCACTTTCCTCACTTTGAAAAGATTAGCCTTTGTTGACTTGCTTTGCAGATTACATGGTTAATGGCACTATTCTGTTTCAGAAATGGGTTCAGAGAAAGATCTCCAATTTTGAATATTTGATGCAACTCAACACCATTGCAGGGAGAACCTACAACGATTTGTCTCAGTATCCTGTGGTAAGTTAATCCTCCTAACTTCTGATAGTGGTGGGAGGATGGAGGAGGGGTTAAAAGCCTCTGTGCCCTTTCTTTGTGCCCTCAATTGTCTTCATGTGCAGCTCAAATTTCTTTGTATTTTTTCATGGATGTCGTGACAAAGTCAGCATTTTTGAGCAACTCAAATCAGTCACGTTCAGGAACTTTGGATTTCAGTCAATATCATGAGCACTCAAAGATGTGATGGGTTGCATCCTAGGATTTTAAAGGAGGTAGGTAGAGTGAGTGGATTTGTTGCAAGTCATCTTCCAAGAATCCTTGGATTCCATATGCTAACTTTAGGGCAATTAGTTTAAAGTCTGTCATTGGGGAAAATGTTGAGACTCTATTATAAAGGAAGTAATAGCAATCATTTAGAAATACATTATATAATCAGTGTCTGGCTCTTTGAAGGGGGAATCATGCTTGACAAATGTATTAGAATTCCTTGAAGACGTAACAAGTAGGATAGATGAAGGAATGCCAGTAGCTGTAATGGATTTCCTAAAGACATTTGATAAGGAACTGCACCTAAGGCTACTTGATAAGAGCTCATGCTTTGCGGGGTGTTGTATATTTGCATGGATTGAGGATCGGCAAACTGAGAGAAGTCAGAATTTGGATTAAAGAGGCATTTTTGGGATGGCAACCTGTAGCTAATAAAGTGCTACGGGAATCAGTGCTGGGGGCCAGCTATTTACAACATACATTAATGTACTGGATGAGGATAATGATTGTACTATAACCAAGATTTTGAATAACACAAAAAAAGCTGGGAGGACAAGCGGTGAGGATGACACAATAAGTCTACAAAGGAATAACAGCAGGATAAGAAAGTGGAAAGAAACTTGGCAGATGGAATATAATGTGGAAAATGTGAGGTTATGGACTTTAACAGAAAGAATGGAAGAGCTGAATATTATTTAAATGGAGAAAGACTGCAGAAAGCACACAGGTTTGAGGTCCCTTGGGCATGAATTTCAAAAATAACTAGCATCTAAGTTCAGCAGGTAATAGGGAAAGCAAATGGAATTTTGGCCTTTATTCCAAAGGGAATGGAGTATAAAATTTAGCATGTCTTGTAAAACGATATCAGGCATACCATAGCTGGAATACTGTGAATAGTTTTGAGCCCCTTATTTAAGGAAAGATATATGTCCACTCGAGGGAGTCCAGACAAGGATCATTAAATTGATTCTGGATGTAGGGATTTTCTTCTGAGGAGAGGTTGAATCGTTTGGGCATGTACTCATCGGAGTTTAGAAGAATGATATGTGAAACTATTGAAACATACAAGATTCTTGGGGGGGGAGGCGGGTGCTTGGCAAGGTAGATGCAAAAAGGTTGTTTCCTCTGTGAGAGTGTCTAGAACCAGAGGGCATAACCTCAGAGTAAGGGGTCCATAAAACATAGGAGCAGAAATTAGGCCATTCGTGCCATCGAGACTGCTCTGCTATTCAATCATGGCTGATAAGCTCCTCAACCCCATTCTTCCACTTTCTCCCCGTAACCCTTGATAATCAAGAACCTGTCTATCTCAGTCTTAAATGTACTCAATGATCTGGCCTCCACAGCCGTCTGTGGCAGTGAATTCCATAGGGTCACCAAGTTAAGACTAAGATGAGGAGGATTTCTTTTCCTGAGGGTAGTGAATCTGTGGAATTCTTTATCACAAAATGCTGTCAAGGCTGGTCATTAAGAATATTCAGTGCTGAGGTGGACAGATAAGGGAGTCAAGGGTTATGGGGAAAAGACAGGAAAGTGGATTTGAGGATTTTTAGATCAGCTATGACCTCATTGAATAGCAGAGCAGACGTGATGAGCCATGTAGTCAACTTCTGCTCCAACAGATCCAGTATGGGTTACTTACAAAGCAAATATCCTCCTACACTTCACCTATTAAACAATGTCAAGCAAATACAACATTAAGTAAAGATCTCTCTACACTATCTGATCAAACAGGTTAGATACAAGGACAGGTTACACAAGCAGTAAAGTTCCTTTTGCATTATCCTAACACTCTAGCATATCTGAACGAGATTTCCATTCCACGTCAAATGAAGATGTAGTTCTTTACAAAAAACAGGACAAAGGATATGGGAAGAAAGTGGGAATAGGGCACTGAGTTGGATGATCAGCAGGCTCAAAGAACTGAATGATCTACTCCTGCTCCTATTTTCTATTTTTGTATGTTTCTATGTTTAAAATTTTAGGCAGTTTCGTGTTAGAATGATTCCCATCAAACAACTGAGTACAAAATACGTCTCTTATACAGTTAATGTGGCTATTATTTTAAATATGGAGTCAAAATGAATCTTAAAAAAAGATGGAAGCTTTGTTTTAATTGCTGAATTTAATTTTATTTAACTCAGTTCCCGTGGATCATTTGTGACTACACATCTGAGGAACTGGATCTGAACAACCCAAGTGTTTTTCGGGATCTCTCTCGGCCCATTGGTGTGGTAAATGATAAACATGCAAAGGACGTGAAGGAGAAGTAAGTCAGTGGAATTTCTTTTTCAGAATTTTCGTTCAGGACAGATGTTTTTTTCTACTTATTAAGTGATTGTAGGGATTGTCCCTAACATAGACTAAGTGTAGGTCCACAACAATTTTGTCATTGAGTCATCAGTGGTAAGAGGAGTGGAAATCCAGTCCACGTGTTAACTGCTGATAGATTTCTGGTTTCTCTACAGAAAAATTAATGTCTATGAACATCAGGTGAGAATAGAATCCAGTTTAGGTGTTGCACCCCACACTAATCATAAATAATGTTACTGATAACTGACAGTGTGTTTGATGACTGTCTTCTACTTAGTACATTAAGGATGACCTAAGTGAAGTCTTTAAAATGATTAAGGGTTTCAAAAGATAGATAAATTATTTCCTTGAAGCAGGGAATTTAGAAAAGTTGAGTTAGGGCATTCAGGAGTCAAATCAGGAAACACGTCTCACAAAATGGAAAAATTCTGGAATTCTCTTTTCTATAAGGCTGTGGATATTGAGTTAATTAGAGCTTTCAAGAATACAATGAGTAGATTATAAGGAAAAGTTAGTAAGAGATATTGATCAAAAGGGTTTAAACAGATTTGAGATACATATCAGCCATGATCAACTGAATGGCAGGGCAAGCTTTAAGGTACAATAGCCTATTCCTGTTCTTCTCAATGAAAAGGATGCAATCTTTTCCCTGGTAATTTTGGACAGTGATGAATGTTCATTGGTTTTGGGAATTCTGTGCTTTTGGACAGTGCCTATGATCACAAGAACCAAGTTGTGTTGAACAGTATACAGCTGAGATTTTACTCCTCCTGTTTCATCACCCAGATATGAGAGTTTTGAAGATCCAACAGGAGACATCGATAAATTTCACTACGGTACACACTACTCTAATGCAGCTGGAGTCATGCATTACATGATCCGGGTCGAGCCTTTCACTACCCTGCATATCCAACTGCAGAGTGGCAGGTGAGCACTGAGTCTCAACAAGATGGAGGATTGCTTTACTGTGACTTTAGAGAAGAGGACATTGTACAGTGTTACATTAAGCAGGACTGCATGAACCTGCAGATTCTAAATCTGGATTCAGGTACAGCCTGACTGATGAAATGATCAGGTCAACGTGTTTAACTTTTCTAAAGGATTTGATGGGATAGATATGGAGAAACTAATTTCTCTGGTGGCAGAATCCAAAACAAAATCATACAATTTTAAAATTTGCATCAGGCCATTTTTCAGTGAAATAACATTGCAGTGGAAATCTGAAAGTTATCACCCAAAAAGTGTAGATGCTGAGTCATTTGGGTCTTCCAAAACACAGATGGGCAGATAGTTGTGTTGTAAAGGTTCAAGTTATATGGAGCAAAAGTGAGAAAGTCAAGTTGACATACAGTTCAGCTATGTTCTAACTGTGCAGCAAAGAAAACTTGCGAGGCTCAATGACCTTTAATCAACAACCTCATCATATTAATTAGCTAGATGCCTCAGTGATGTAAACTGACTCATGTAAGACTCCATTATTATGATCAGACATTCTGCTACATTTTGTTTCTGCTGCGTGCACCTCCGAAGTTGGTGAGTAGCTGTGATTTTTGGAATTGGAAGTCAATGCTGTGATTGCTGTGTGCAGACCCTCGGAGTAACTGTGGAAGAGGAATTGTTGTTTTTGATTTGTTAATTGATCCTAGTTTAGCTAGTAACCTATGCCATACCAGCCCTAGAAGTCTTCCATGGACTAGTAGAGAGGGAATCTTACTCATTATCTGACCTGTGATATATTTGTGCAGAATGCGCTTAACAATATATTTTTATAGCCTCTATTTAGCTCATGATATATCTGCTGTTGAAATCTTTGGGCAGTTTATAGGAAGCTTTACACTAGGCAGAACAAGAGATCCAAATTTACAAGTATTCCATTCACATTAAAGTGAAAAGTTTATAAATGTAGTAGTTGTTCACCTGCATGTGATTTAAACATGAAGAAGATCACGTAAGGCCTAATCGGCAAAGATTGACTCTACGTTACAAAGCTCAATAAATCAGGGATCTATAAACATTAATCTTCAATCTGTCTTAAACATGTTGTGGGTCCATATTGTTGCAAGCGCTGCAATATGAACCATGACCAGCTTGTGTTTTGGGTATTGCTGCCATCTACTTAGATTAATTAGTCGTAGAAGTATAACTACCAATGAATCTTAGTGAGAAGAGGCTCTTGTCTTAAATAAGATGTGGTATGTTGTATCTAAATAATCAGGTACAAGTTACACTGCTAAGTCATGCATTTTTGTTAATATTATGAGGAGACTTAGGATACAAGTATTCATTCTACTAGCTACTAAGCTGTCCTACCTTTTCCCACCCAAGTCCTTATCACATTGTCAAATTAGGTGGAGCTTCATGCAACACCAACATTAAACCTTTCAGAATCATTACTTTATAAAGTTTCTCAACCTGACAGAGATATCAATCCTTCCTGGAAATTGCCTAATTGGGGGGGATCAGCCCTGGAGAGCTGAAAGCTCTTCCTCATCTCCAAGAAAAGAAAGCTCAATTTAAATCTGTTTCTAATCTTGAAGGTGAGCATATTTCACCCCATCTGCCCTATCCATGTCAATTCCTGTCCTGTTAACTGTTTGTGTTCTGCAGGTTCGACTGTGCAGATCGTCAATTTCACTCAATCCCAGCAGCCTGGCAGGTCCGAATAGACAATCCTGTAGATGTGAAGGAGCTGACCCCAGAATTTTTCTACTTCCCAGAATTTCTGGAGAACCAAAACAGTAAGCAGAGCTCGTGGCTTTGTAGCTTGAGATGAATTATTGGATGTCATTGTCTTAAAATGTGGCTTGTTTCTCTTTGATACCGGACCAAAACTATCAGTTAATAAATTGCAATAATATAGCATCTTTTCTAGCCTCAGTGTTACAAAGTGCTATATACTCCATTAAATATTTTATAAATGTACTCTCTGTTGTAATAAAGAAAAACATACTCTCTCAAGCAGTGATGAGATGCTTGTCCAAGTGTTCTCTTTTAGCAATTTAAGTTGACAGACATTAGGAGCATACTCTTGTTTCTTTTTGGCAAGTGCTTTGGATCTTTTACATTGACGTGAAGGTGTAATCTGGGCCTTAGTTTAACATCTCATCGAAAAGAAGGCACCTCCAATAAAACAGCACTCTCTCAATATCATGCTGAAGTATTAGCTTTATTTATATCTTCAAGTCTCTGAAGTGGGATTTGAAGCCAGAGCCTCTGAATTGGGGGGCCAGATGCTATCACTACAATTGCACTGACATCATCATGTGAGTGAGAGTGAATTGGCCGAGGGATGACTGAGTTAAATACACTGGACAGTGACATTGAACCACAGCCATTAGAAAACCTGAGACTGGTGTTGAGTTAATTGATCTGAGAATGTCCTTTGCACATTCAAGTGGAAAAATCTGTCAAAATCCATACTTCAGATTGCTTTGCTCCACGAGAAGCTGCATCCATGAACATGTAAGGGTGAAAGCCCTCTCCTGTCAAATAGACTGATGAGATGAATGATCGTTATCATATAGACGTTAGTCACTTCATAAAAATATTGGGAAGGTTTCTGGGTCCCTGCTCAACCACTTGTGAAGAGAAGGGCCATCTCCTAACATTCCACTGTTATGAGTGTAAAATTACTAACAAAATGTAATTTTTGTTTTGCTTTTATTTCTCTTGCTGTCTGCCTCTTCCTTTCTTTCTTTTCTCTCTCTGTCTCTCTCTCTCTTCCTCCCTATATCTTCATTTATGTCTCTCTCTATGTCTCTGTCTCTCTGTCTTTGTTTCCATTGCTGTTTCTGGTCACCTGATTTTGGATACTTTTCCCCTTCCTTTTTATCTCCCTCATCTCTGACTTTCATTCACTCTCAACATCATTCTTTGTCTCAATCTATCCCTGTGTATGTCTCTCCCTTGTCCTGTTTCCAATCCCCATCTTTTGTCATTATCTTTGTCTTGATCTTTCTTCTGTTTCTCTCTTCTCTCTTCCTTTCTCTCTTTCTTTCGCTCTGTAGGGTTTGATCTCGGTTGCCTGCAGATGACCGGCGAAAACGTAGCTGATGTTGTCCTTCCGAAGTGGGCAAAATCCCCTGAAGATTTCGTTTACAAGCACAGAAAAGCACTGGTAACTGAGAGGGAGGGGACAAAAGTTCTTTGGTTATAACTTGCCATTTACCACAATGCATTCTTCCTGCAAACTCTCCTCAAAACACTGTTTTGGAAGTTCAGGATTCAGTTGCTATCTTAGATTACTCACTGCATTGTTTGCTGTAGGATTAGCATGTTTCCATTTTTTCTGTCATCAGTCTCTGTTTGTTTAATCTCGGTCCATCTTTGCACCCTGGCCACCACCTTTTTGTGCCCCCTTCACTGTGAAATTGGACATGAGAGACATAACCTCTGTGTATTTTGAGTTCCAGTCTTGCAGATAACTCTTGGGTGCCTCCCAGCTGCCAGCAGCTGTTTCATCTCCAACTGGAGGTTTGTGCAGTAATTCCTGGTAACAGAATTGATGAATGAAAACCAGTAACCCTTTTGTGACTCATTTCACCCTTCTGGATTACTCCCCATGCTCATTATTTTGAGCCTCCAAGCCACCTGATTAAATTTCAGCTGTAACTCATTCACCCAGTATCCATTATTCTAAAAATAAATGTTAAAGCACTTAATTACATTCTAGCCTCTAACTCCTATTGAACTCAATAGGCCTAATTAAATAGAATATGCCTATGCACTCAGGAGTTTAGAACAATGAGAGGTGATCTCATTGAAACTTAGAAAATTCTGTGTGGGCTTGACCGGGTAGATGCTAAGAAGCTGTTTCCCCTGTCTGGAGAGTCAACAACTAGACACCATTGTCTCAGGCCACTTAAGACTGAGACACAGAGAAATTTCTTTCCTCTGAGGATTACGAATCTTTGGAATTCTCTATCCAAAGAACTGTAAGTGTTCATGTTGAGTATATTGAAGACTGAGATCAATAGATATTTTTTCACTCTTCAGAGAATGAAAGAATATGAGGATCAGCGAGACAGTGGAGTTAAGATTGTCATGCTCTTACTGAATTGTGGAGTTGCCAGACCTACTTCTGCTCCTATTTCTTATATTTTTATTTTCTGAAGATTTTGTATATATACATAAGTAATCTGAACACTGCTTTAGATTTTCTGAAGAAGGGTCTAGACCTGAAATTTAGCTTTCCTGCTCCTCTGATGCTGCTTGGCCTGCTGTGTTCATCCAGCTCTACACCTTGTTATCTCAGACTCTCCAGCATCTGCAGTTCCTGCTATCTCTGAAACTGCTTTAGATTTCATCCTTCCCTGCTATGACATTAATTCTGTAGGTTCTCTGATCTGTGCTCAGTGTCTACAGAATATTCATTGATCCAATTGATCCAGTCCATCCTGGTTCTCCTATTTCACTGTATCTTCCTCATTTGTCTGTAATTATTTAATGCCTACATTTTGTTTTTCTGTCGTGCAGGAGTCAGAACATGTCTCTGCAAACCTCCATAATTGGATCGACCTGATTTTTGGCTACAAGCAAAGGGGCCCTGCAGCTGTTGAAGCATTGAATGTCTTTTATTACTGCACATATGAGGGTATGGCAACTGTGCAAGTGTAATGCAGTCTAAACATTAACTTGTGAAAAAGCGGTTTATTGCAAAATCAGAAGGTACTTGGTAGAAGCAGTTCTATGACTTTCATGATTATGGTGAAAAAAGTGCTTGTAATTTTTGGGATTTACGTTGAACCTGTCAAGTTTTGGGATTAGTTGAAGGGAAGCAAAATAATCAAAAGTTTTGAAAGGTCTCGAAAATAAAATTGAACTAGAATTACAATTGAAATTGAATTATAAACTCATAAAGAAATGACACTCTCAGGTCATTGCAACTATACACTTCGAAACAGCTATTTGACTTTACTGTGTATCCAATGCTCTTTTGAAAATTACTATTTAATTTGATCTGCCTTCTATGGAGTGAAAATAGTTCACAAGAATCAGTGAGTGAAGTACATTCTAAAGGGAGCTGCCTAATTAGGTTAACGGATAGGTCAATAGAATGCAGTGATAAACATTTGAGAGAACAAGAGTGAGAAAAGACCTACCAGATAAAGTGTAATGTGGAAAAATGTGAACTTGATTGAATTGTATAGGATCCTGAGGGGTCCAGACAGAATACATATGGAAGAATGTTTCTTCTTGTGGGACAACCTGCCCACATTGCTGATATAAAATCCAACCCAAAATATGCAACTTTAACACTTTAGTTCCCAATTCTCAATGATGACCTTCGGACATTGGGACATGAATCCTTCAGCTACATTTCTCAGTTGGAGTAATTTTTACCATTGTGGTTTTGTAGAATTGGGGTTGTATCATTCAACATTGCTTTCAAAATTAATTCAGTTCTTGCTGTATAGGTGCAGTAGATTTGGATGCAATTGCTGATGAGACCGGAAGGAAAGCTTTAGAAGGAATCATCAGTAATTTTGGACAAACTCCATGCCAACTTCTGAAGGTATGGAGTTAAATTATTATCATAGAGTCAGAGTCACACAGTATAGAAACAGGTCCTTGGGCCCATCATGACTGTGACCAACAAACATCAAGCTACACTATCCCATTTACCTGCACTTGTTCCATAGCCTACTATGCCTTTAGCCTCTCTTCATTGCAACTACTCACTTAAAATTATTTCCTGCCTTACATTTTTACTTTTTCAGTTTGCGCTCCTTATTTCCTGATTTATGGTAGTCTTATTCCATTTAGAGCAATTTACCCTTATAAACTCTCAGTACCTCTAATTTGTGACACTTGTTTGAGTCTGTAAGTAGAAGGCTTTTCAACCATGTCACACCAATCCTGTACTCACCAAACAGCCTAACAGTTTCCAGTCAAGGCTGTGATCAAGATTAATGTCAGATTTAGATCAAATCTTAAATTGTCCTGGCGTGTACAAATCAGAGAACTCAAACTATCTTTGAGCCTGCAAAACCGTGATCTTCTTATTTTTAAATATTCGTCCAGCAATTGAACTGTGACCATATCATTGTGGTTATGCCACTGGAACATGAATCCAGATAATGTAAGTATAAATCCCTTTGAATAATAATGCATTTAAGCAATAAATAGATTTATATTTATACTGACAAAATTTATAAAAATCTGGAAGTAAAAAGCTGTTATCAGTAAAAATGAGTGTAAAGCTGTTGGATTGATTTACTGGTCAGTCTGTGTGACTCTGTCAACATGGCTTGTTTAACTGTCCTCTGAAAGTGAAAGTCTTTGATCCTTCAGACAGATGACCCATGACAGGGCAACGTGCTGGTCTTGCCACACAACCTTCAGGCTGTATTCAAGACTGAGATAGACAGATTTTTAATCATTAAGGGAATCAAGGGTTATGGGAAAATGCAGTAAAGTGAATTTGAGGTTTATCAGGTCAGCCATGAACACCTTGAAGCCAGAGTGGACTCGATGGGCTGAATGGCCTACTTCTACTCCTACATCATGTTAATCATCATAAAATTACAGTAGCCTTGAATTTTGAACATTTAGACTATAAAGTCCATCATTAGTCCAGCTCCATGGCAAGTTTATCTGTTGACTCCCTAATTTTGGCAAATAAAGCTGCATCCCCAACCTCGGGGGGGAAAAAAAAATTCTAACATTGTTCTTAATATCTCTCCTCCCATTTCTACTACTTAACCAAATTTGAATTTGACCCACATGTTATCACCAGAGTATGGCTGCATTCTTACTGACATCAAAAACCCATAATTCTTCCTGTAAAGTCTGTGTATATAGTTTAGTGAGTTTATGTATATGCAAGGAGTGAAAATGGCTGTGAAATCTGAGACTTAATGGTCACTTGGGAAAGGTAGTACATACTTAAGAATCTGTTTGCCCTGACTAGAACCTAGAACCAAGGCCCTGGTTCTAGGACAAGAAATTGGCCAATCAGGACTGAGCTGAGGAGAAATGTTTTCACTCTGACTGTTGAGAATCTTTGAAATAATCTATTTGGTAGTGCAAACCAACATCTTCGGCAGAAATGATAAGAAACAGGAGCCAGAATAAGCCATATGATCATTTGAGCCTGCTCTATCATTCAGTTAGATGAGGACTGAATTTCAGTAAAACTCTGTTTCCTACCCTATTTCCATAATTCTTGATTTCCTTAATATTCAAAATGGATTTCGTTCCTGAATTTACTACTGACTAAGCATTTACAGACCTGTGATAGAGAATTCCAAAGATTCAGAACAGTCCGAGTGATGAGATTTCTCCTCAACTCAGTTTTAACAGGCCACTTCCTTAGCCTGGAATTTTGATTCTCATTCTAGATCCAAGGTCAGCACCCACCCTCTCAATCCCTCTATTATTTTAAACAATTAGATGAGTTCATTTCTCATATTTTGAATACCAGAGATAATGATGATACTCTCCACTCACATGTCTACTGTCTAATCCTAGAAGGAGTGGAGGAAGTTGGGACAGTGGGGAAGGAAGATTCTCATCCTTAGCAACAAAGTATACTAATTCCTTCTGTTTATTTAATCTTTCTTTCCCTCAGGAGCCACATCCTCCACGTCTTAATGCAGAGAATGCTGCCAGGCGCTTAGCACGATTCGATTCCACACCAGACGTCTTTGAGCACTTGGGTCAACTCAAGTCCTTCTTTGTTGAGGTAAATGGTTGCCCAGTTCACCTACCCAATGCAGAGGTCAAGGTATCTCTCCCCGCCGCCCCCCAACGCAAACCATTTATTTCATTGACTTTACAAGGTAGAAACAGACCATTCAACCCGACTGGTCAACACTAAAGTTCATACCCCATAAAAACATTCTTCATCCATTCCTCTCAAAAAGCTGTGAACGGTAGACAAATTACTCCTTTGAGATTGAGACTGACAGAATCACAGTGTTGTTTAAGTGCAGGAGGATGCCATTTGGCCTATTTTGCTTTCACCAGTTACCTAGTGCCAATCTCCTGCCCTTTCCCCATAAATATGCACACCATTTCTGTCCAAATAATCATCCCTTGCTATCTTGAATGCCCCAACTGAACCTGCCTTCACAACATTTCCAGGCAGTGCATTCTGTACTCTAACTACTCCCTTTGTGAAAACGTGTTTTCTCATATCACCCTTGCTTCATTTGTACATTACTTTAAATCTATACCCTCTTACTCTTTTCTTTCACAAGTGGGAACATCTTCTCCCTTTCTACTCAATCTAACCTGCTCATAATTTTGAAAACCTCTAACAAATCTCCTCACAGCCGCCTTCTCTCTGAGGAGAACGGTCCCAACTTCATCAACTAAAGTTTCTCATTCCTGGAATCGTTCTTATAAATATCTCCTGTACTCTCTCCAATGTATTCACATCTGTCCTGTAATGTGGCACCCACACTGCACAATATTCCATTCGAAGTCTAACAAGTATCTTGTACAAGTTCAACATAACCTCTTGCAGTCCACCTTTATCAATAAAGTCAAGACTTCTATGCTTTATTAACTGCTGTTTCCACCTGTCCTCCCACTTTCAATGATCTGTGCACATATATACCTCGATCCCTCTGGTATTGAAGCCCCTATAGAATTGTACCCCCATTTTCTATTGTCTTTTAGAGTTCTTCTTACCAAAGTGCACCACTTCACACTTCTTTGCATTGAACCTTATCTGCCCATTCCACCAATTTTTCAGTGTCATTTCAGAGTTCCACACTACCCTCCTCACAGTTTACAATTCTTCCAAGTTTAATGCCAACTGCAAACTTTGAAATTATCCCCTACACACCTGGATCCAAATCATTAACATGTCAGGAAAAGCAAAGGTCCCACTACTGACCATCATCCTTCAGCCTAAAACAAACCTTTCCAATCACTCGGTCAATTCTGTATCCACTGCTACGCTCCATTTTGTACCACGACCTATAACTTTCTTCAAGTTTGTTGTGTGGCACTGTTACAAACGCCTTCTGGAAATCCATAAATGCCACATCAACAGTTTTACCCTCAGGGCCCCTTTCTGTTACCTGTTCAAAAAACTGCATCTTCTTAATCCAGGCTGTATTGTTTGCAATTCTCCAGTTTTCAGGCACCACCCCTGAGTCCAGGGAGAACTGAAAGATTATGGCCGTTGTTCTTGTTATTTCTACTTTCCCTTCCTTCAAAATCCTCGGATGCATCTCATCCAGTCCCAGTGCCTTGTCAATTTTAATAGGTTTAATACATTTTTATTGAGTGTGGCTAAAACAAAAGGTATGGAACAAAAGGCAGAGGAATGAGGTTGAGATAAAAATCAGCCATTCAGGGACTGAATGATCTACTACTTTTTTCCTGTGTTTTGAAAGACATTAATAAATAGGATTTTTGAAAAATTGAAAGAAGCAAGATTTTTATAATCATTCCGCCCAGCACGTGGGAGATGCTGAGACCCCAGGTACTTAGCTACTACTCCTACGTTGTTCGTCATTTGAAAAAATGTCTTCAGTATGAGGAAGGAGTAGAAATGCTTGATGCAGTTTTGCAAAATAATCTTCAAGGACAAAATGGGGCCCTTGATCATTCATGCTTCTCCAACATCGTGTATTTTAATAGAGAATGTAGAAATGCCTTCATAACCCAATCTATCTTCTTTCAGGGCATCAGTGATGATATTCCACTAGTGCAGGCCTTGGTGCCAAAAAACCAAGCATACTCTTATTTAACTCCATATGTACTGGTGAGTAGACAATGTCTTCTGAGGAAAAAGAAGTCAATCCATTCACAATTACAATGGGGAGGTGACAGCCAAGTGATACTATTGCTAGACTATTAATCCAGAAACTTGGCTAATGTTCCAGGGACCCAGGTTTGAATCCAGCCATGGCAGATAGTGGAATTTGAATTCAATTTTAAAAAATCTGGAGTTAAGAATCTATGAAGACAGTGAAACCATTGATGATTATGGTGGAAGAAACCTATCTGGCTCACTAACCTTCTTCACAGAAGGAAATCTGCCATCCTCATCTAGTCTGGTCTACATGTGATTCCAGACCCACAGAAATGTGGTTGACTCTCAACTGTCCTCTGAAATGGCCTAGCAAGCCACTACCTTCAAGAGCAGCCAGGGAGGGTAATAAATGCTGCCCATCCAGTGATGCACACATCCCATGAGTGAGTTTAAAAAAAAGTACTTCAAGTAACAGTATGGTTATAACATGACTAAAGAGATAAATATAGGACTGAAATTTCTGGGGAGTGGCAGTCACATTCAGATTGCCACTTTGTTGTTTTTACTTAGCTTATTCAAGAGCTCCCAGCATCAGCTTGAACCTCTGATTTGGGCCTTCTGAAAAACATGATTTGGGAGAAGGTGAGTATGTAGGTTTGGTGGATGATAGGGGAAGATGAGGACAGATGTCAGAGGTAGGTTCTTTACTCAGAGAGTAGTAAGGGCGTGGAATGCCCTGCCTGCAAAAGTAGTAGACTCGCCAACTTTAAGGGCATTTAAATGGTCATTGGATAAACATATGGATGATAATGGAATAGTTTAGGTTAGATGGGCTTCAGATTGGTTTCACAGGTTGGCACAACATCGAAGGCCAAAGGGTCTGTATTGCGCTGTAATGTTCTATGTTCTATGACAGATGTGTAGGTTAGGGAGGTAGGGTGGGTTGGTAAGGAAGTCTGAGCAGTATTGGGTCTGTTTGAGGTGTGTAGTTAGGTCAAGAGTCATCAGGCTAGGTGAGGCATCATGTTTGTAGGGGGTGGGGTTCAGGTCAGATTGCACCAGGTGTTGAGAGGGCAGGTTGGGTTTTGGGGGGTGTTTGGTTTTATTGTTACCCAGGACTAAAAACAGGTTTAAAATTTTTTCCCCCCTTTTCTTAGATAAGTATCCAAGTAAATTAGTCAAAACGCACTGTCTGCAGTCTGTGACTCTAACTCAGAGCAGTAGACCTTTTGTGAAGTTTATAGATGCAGGGTAATTGCCCATCAGAAGTTTAAACTTGCCATGCAAGTTACTCAATTGTTTATTGTATCTTACTGCAACAATGTCCTTTCCAGTTGGAAGATCTGGATCAATATATCCAAAACTGCATTCAAGCTAATTCCAGGCTAATGGTTGTCTGAAGAATTAGAATGAGGGAAACGGGATATATCAAAGTGACCACTAGATTCAGTATTGCCCAAATCTGCACCAATCAGTTTCTGAGAGGTTCACAGAAATACTTCACATCTGACCATAAAACTTTGTGACTTTAAATAAGAAAGCAAGAGCTTGTACTTATTGTCATGTTTTTCACAACTTCTATTTACGCCAAAGCACTTTACAGCCCATGTTTCAGTTTTTGAAGCAAAATACAGCAAATCTGAAATAAAACTGGAACTTTATGCTCCCCCCACAATCGTGTCCAGTAGATGGTTGACATGTTATGCAGGTTGTAAAGTTAGGTGTTACATTCCAACATCATGTGTCTCCATGCTGTCTCCGTTGGTATTTTACCAGAGATGGGGGAGGCATTGGGAAACCAGCCCCGCCTTTGACCAATTGGGTTCACCGTTCTTATTCTTCTAGTGGTGGGAGGTGACCATGCCATGTAATAAATCTGCTGATCTTTCAGTGGGCTGAGTGGTTCCTTCCTCTTTGGGCACCCTGTTACCAGTGAAGACATCTCACCCCATCGCTGTAAAACATAGCCTTGACCACTGCGTACCCCCGACACCACCACCAACCTCGTGAGCCTGGCCTGTCAAGCATTGATGAAACCTCCAGCTCCCTGACTCCTCCTCTTTAGAGAATTCCCGCAATCCCAGCATTGGCCACCTCTTCCTTGAAGATGGGACTTCCTGTCATGAGTGACGGAAGTCTGATTCTGAATCAATTTAACAAGCTGACAGTTGTTAAATAGTAATCCTGGGACGTCTTCCCACTTGTTTCATTTGGTGAAAGTGTCGTAGTGGCTTCCCTGCTCAGGCCGGAGTTTTTTTAAAAAGGCAGTCGTGACTCTGTGAATAGTCACATTCAATCGACATATTTAAAGAAACACCTCATTGAGTGACCTTGTCATCCACTCAGGAAGAACAAGCCAAAATAAAAGGTGGCAGAATCCAGGTACACCATTGAAGTAAATCACTTGGCCAATTGTAATTATTCACCCACTAGACTAGACTAGTAGGGTGGTGAAATTGGGCCTTTTGTCTTTGTAATAATGGTCAGTGGTGGTTGTGAAATGGAACTTTTGAACTGTGTATCTCAAGGAGCTATTTTATCATCTTGCTGATTGTGAACACACTACTTTGTTTCTCTCAGGTCACAGTGAGTGCGAATGGGTTGATAGGAACTCACGGCTGGCTGCCATATGACAAAAACATTTCCAACTACTTCACATTCACACGAGATCAAAATATCTCCAATGCTAAGTAAGTGTAATTTGTGAGATTTTGTTTGGTTCCATGATCAAAACAATCCACCACAACTCAGAATTTATGTAATCTTTTGAAGACACTTTCAAAGGATCATTTGATCATTTTACAGTCACTAACTGCATTACTATTCACATGAAATAGCATGTGGCTGGCCCTTTTATACTTGTACCATGATGTCTAAGGTTACTACCTTCCTTGAAAAACTGACACATTACTGGGTCACTGTCCCCTTTAACGAAAGGTCCATGAGGGTTATTGTCTCCTTTAAAACGCTGACATCAAAGTTCACTGACATCTTCAACCTCTTCCTCCTACAAGCCGAAGTCCCCACCTGCTTCAAGAAGACCACCATCATCCCCATACCCAGGAAAACACATGCAGTGTGCCTTAATGACTACCACCCAATAGCTCTGACTTCAATAATCATGAAGTGCTTTGAGACGCTGGTCATGGCCCACATCAACTCCAGTCTCCCAGCCTGCCTTGATCCCCTGCACTTTGCCTGTTGACAAAACAGGTCCACAGCAGATGCCATTTCCCTAGCCTTCCCTCATCCCTGGAACATCTGGACAACAAGATGACTACGTCAGACTCCAGCTTGTCGACGACAGCTCCGCCTTCAACACCATTATCCCCTCCAGACTTATCTCAAAACTCTGAGACTTGGGTCTCGGCCCTGCCAACTGCAACTGGGTCTTTAGCTACCTGACCCATAGACTGCAATCAGTGACTATAGACCACTGCACCTCCTTCACAAAAACACTCCACATTGGAACCCCCCAAGGATCCGTTCTCTGCCCCCTACTGTACTCCACGACTGTGTTGCCAAATTCCAAATGAACGCCATCTACAAATTTGCTGACAACACCATTGTGGTAGGACAGACATCAAATAAAGATGAGTCAGTATACAGAAAGGAGGTAGACGGCTTGGTGATGTGGTGCAATAAGAACAACCTCTCTCTCAATATCGGCAAAACTAAAGAATGGATCATTGACTCCAGAAAGAAAGGAGGAGAACAAGCCTCCATTTACATCAATAGAGCAGAGGTTGCGATGGTGGAAAGCGTCAAGTTCCTAGGAGTGACAATAGTTGACAACCTGTCCTGGACTTCCCACATAGATGCGACTGTTTTTCAGGCAGCTCAGAAAGTTTGGCATCTCCATAAGGACCCTCACCAACTTTTACAGATGCACAACAGAAAACATACTGTTCGTAATGGCCTAGAACCATAAGAAACCACAGAAGGTTGTGTGCACAGCCCAGACCACCGCAGAAGCCAACCTCCCATCCATGGATTCCATTTACGTGTCTTGTTGCCGCAGAAAGGCGGCCAACATCATCAGAGACTCCTACAACCTCTTCCATCAGGCAGAAGGTACAGAAGCTTGAACAAACGCACCAGCATGTTTGAGAACAGCTTCTTCCCTGCCGTTATTGGACTGATGAATGGACTCTCTAACAAGATCAGCATTATGTAAAGTTAATGTTGACTTTGCCTAGCACACGTCCTGTGTGGTGTAACTTGTATGCCTTACTCTATCCAAGTGTTTTTTCACCCAATGATCTGTACACCGTTGCTTACTATGAACTGCCTGTGTTGATCGCAAACAAAGTTTCTCACTGTACTTAGGTACACATGACAATAAATCAAATCAATCAATACTGTCCCCTTTAACATATATTATCCCTTAGTTACTGTCCCCTTTAAAACACAGACACTGAGAATTACTGACCCCTTTACCACACTGTCACTTAGAGTTACTTTCCTCTTTAACACATTGTCACCTGGGGTCACTGTCATTGAGAGTTGCAGTCCCTTTTATCCTTTAATACACTTCCCCCTGGAGTTGCTGTCCCTTTTAATGCACTATCTCCTGGAGTATTGTCCCCTTTAATACATGCTGTGCTTCAGAGTTAACATCTTCTTTGAGTTAGGTGAAAATTACTCTGGAATGTTTCCAATCTTCATGAGTACAGAACGTTAAAGACCATGAAGTAATTCACCATCAACTGATTTTCTTATTTTACTCACTCTGTATTATGACTATTTCTTCAGGACTCATCGTTTCTTGTCAGGTCCATTTGCTCCTGGAGTCAATTTATCACCAAAGATCCTGGCTGTTTCCCCTGATGGTAAACTTCTCTTCAGTGGCGGTCACTGGGATAACAGTCTTCGGGTTACATCACTGAGCAAGGGCAAAGTGACGGGACACATCATACGGCACATAGGTCAGTAATAGCCAGTTTTCATCACTATAATGATAGCTTCTACTGTGCCAAGCAAAACTGACAGAAAATGGAAATGGTCATCCAGAACCATATTTCCCCAAGTCTGGGTGTGTAAAGAGTAATGTGCCATCTGTACTATACAATAAAATCTAGTGATGACTGGGTTGGCCCACTTCTCTGCTTTGATACTTGACTCAGCAGATTCTCTTTTGTTTATTGCTGATTCCCGATTCCTGATTGCTGTTGAGAATGTGGTGCTGGGAGCCATGTATGTAGGTCCACCTACAAAAAGAAGGGAATTCCAAAACTTTGACTTGGTGACAATAAAGGAACAGAAGTGCATTTCCACCTCGGAATGTTGTGTGACTTGAAAAGGAACTTGCAGGTGATGGTGTTTCCATTCATTTGCTGCCCTGATTCTTCTAGGTTGTCAAGATTGCGGGTTTGGAAGGTGCTGTTGGAGCCTTGATGAATGGCTGCAGTACATCTTGTAGTTAATGTGTACTGCTGCCACTCGGTGCTTATTGCAGAGAGATTGAATATTTAAGATAGTGGATGGATGCTAATCAAGCAGGATACTTTCAATGTAGTGTTCAGCTGTCTTGAATATTGTTGGAGTTGTCCTCATTCAGAAAAATTTGAGAATATCCATCACACTCTTGGTCTATGCCTTGTAGATGATGGAGAAGCTTTAAGCAGTCAGGAAATGACTTAATTACCTGCTCTTGAAGCTACAGTAGTTACGCCTGGTCAAATTAAGTTTCTGGTTCATGGTTTCCAACAGACTGTTGATGGAGGATTGTCTCCAGGATTCTTTCAGTCATCAAGGAAATTAGACGTGTATTCAATTAGCTGGGACTGATTGTAACTGAGGTCCCATGGCCAGTAGAATGAAAAGGGGGCGGGGCAAGGAGCTGAGACCAGTATGTTGAGGGGTGCAGGCACGATGTCGAGGGAGCTTTACCTGAATCTGTTGTATGTTCTACAAGACCGACAACAGCATAAATCTCAAAAAGCTATCATACAAGTTCAGCAGGTAATAGGAATGGCAAATGGAATGTTGTACTTTATTTCAAAGGGAATAGAATATAAAAATGAGCAAATCTTGCTAAAACTGTACAAGGCAATCGTCAGACCACAACTGGAATATTATGAATGTTTTTGGATCCCTTGTCTAGGGAAACACATACTGGCACTGGAGGCAGTCCAAAGACAGTTCATACTAATGATACTGGGTATGGAGTGACAGTCTTATGAGGAGACATTGAGGAGTTTGGGTTTGTCCTCGTTGGCATTTAAAAGAATGAGAGGCAACCTTATTTAAACATACAAGTTTCTTAAAGGACTTGATGGGATAGATGCAGAAAAGTTTCCATTTGTGGGAGACTCTCGGACCGGCGGACATAATCCGAGAATAACGAATCTCAAATTTAAGACCGACATGAAGAGGAATTTCTTCTCAGAGGGTAGTGAATCTGTGGAATTCTTTACTGCAGAGGGCCGTCAAGGCTGGGTCATTAGGTGTATTCAAGGCTGTGTTGGACAGATTTTTAATCCGTAAGGGAATCAAGGGTAAAGGGAAAAGGCAGGAAAATGGAGGATCCGAAATTTTCCAAATGGTCTGATTGGTGCCTTACATAATTTCTATACTTTCACCACTCCTTGGGTGAAGAGATTTCATCTGAATTTCTTATTGATTTCTTTGTAACCGTATTATATCATTGGATTCCAGGTATGCTGTTCCTGGAAGTGGGCAACATTCTCTCTGTCTGTCTGTCTCCATTTTTAGGTCAGTTTTTAGGCATCAGGTCATCCCTCAGAATTTCTTTTTTTCAAGAGAAAAGTGGCCGAGCCTTGCAATCCTGGCCTGCTGTGGATGTCCATGCGTATCTGGTATCACCTCTGTAAACCTTCTGTGTACCATCTGTACTGTCTCTATATTGTCTCTATATATGGCGATCAGAACTGCATAAAGTATTCCAAGTGTGGCCTAACCAAGGTTGAATACAGGTTTATCGTAACTTCCCTACTTTTTAATACCATCTGTCTGTAAATAAAGTCTAGTGCTTGGATTGTTTTTTTATGGCCTGAGAAATCTGTTACAGAAGAATAGGAGTGGGTAAATTAATCTGTCATGCCTGACCCACTGTTCAATATATTTGTGACTGATTGAACACGTCAGTGACTTTACCCACCCACAATTTTAGTGATTGGTCTTCAAGATCCCTTTCTTTATTCTTCCACTGTTAAACTCGCAAAGTGACTTTTTCATATTCTTACCAAAATTATTACATTTTTGTTCATAAATTCATGTGCCAATTATTTGTCCGTTCTGAAAAGTTAGAATATCTGCCAGTAATTTATTGCAGTCCTCACCTGTGTTAATTGTCATCTGACTCCACATTGTCTGACTTTATTCATTAGTCTATTATGGGCCACTTATTGAAGGTCTCTTGAAAATCCAGTTAAATTACAACTATACTATTGTTTGCTCAGTTACCTGAAAATATTAATAACGTTGGCCAAGCAAAGTTTTCAGTTTTGGAATCCAGGATGACCATTTGTTAGTATGTTTTTCTTTTCTAGATGTTCTTTCCTCTTTTAGTAAGGGTTCCAATATGTTTCCTACCATCCATGTTAATCATCACTTTTATTTCCTCTAGATATTGTGACATGCCTGGCACTGGATCATTGTGGTATCTATCTCATCTCCGGATCCAGAGACACCACATGCATAGTGTGGCAGGTCATCCAACAAGTAAGATGCCCTTAGGGATGCATCACAAGTGAGAAGAATGACTTTGTGGAAGTGTGTTGAATGGGATGACCGTACAATGATGAAATGATAGGATTCGGTTGGCACTTAGTATCCCGTTTCGTTTTCCTTATCTCATCTTGGGCATGTCACAGGGAGTGAAACATGATGGATGGTGTCCTTAGTGAGAAGATAAGTCTTTGTTTCCACAGTCCAGAACTGAACAACGATCACTCCTATCAGTATTCTTATGGACAGATTAATCTGTAACAGCTAGATAATTGAGATCAAGTAGCTTTTCCCTCGTATGCTTCCCTGTCATAGTCTGTCCGTCACAGAGTTAGACAGCACAGAGGCAGACCCTTCAGTCCAACTCATCCACGCCGACCAGATATCCTAAACTGATCTCATCCCATTTGCCAGCATTTGGCCCATATCCCGCTAAACCCTTCCTATTCATGTACCCATCCAGATGTCTTTTAAATGTTCTAATTGTATCCACTTCCACTATCTCCTCTGACCGCTTGTTCCATACGTGCACCCTCTGTGCGAAAAGGTTGCCCCTCGGATCCTTTTTAAATCCCCCCCCCACCCCAGCCTCCTGTTCTTAAACCTATACCCTCTAATTTTGGACTCCCCTACTCTGGAAAAAGAGACCTTGGCTATTCACCCTTTTCATGCCCCTTTATAATTTTATAAACCTCTATAAGGTCACCTCTCAGCATCCAACATTCCGGGGCGGGGGGGAACCCTCAGTTTATTCAGCCTCTCCCTATAACTCAAACCTTCTAATCGCAAAAACATCCTTGTAAATCTTTTCTGAACCCTTTCAAGTTCCACAACATCTTTCCTAAATCAGGGAGTGTTCAAAATGCAGTATTCCAAAAGTGGCCTCGTTAATGTCCTGTACAGCTGCAATATGACTTTTCAACTCCTATACTCAGTGCACTGATTGATTGAAGGCAAACATGCCAAACACCACCTTCACCACCCTGTCTACGTGCGACTCCATTTCCAAGGAACTATTCACCTGCTTCCCAACGTCTCTTTGTTCGGCAACACTCCCCAGGGCACTACCGTTAACTGTCGGTCCTCAATAATATCTTTGAGGACTTGTCAAGTTCAGTCAGCAGTGATACCAGCTACTGAGCTACTCTTGGTAATGGGCATCAAAGCCTCCTACCTAGAATATATTCTGTACTCTTGCTACTCTCAGTGCTTCTTCTAAGTGCTGTTTGACACTGAAGAATACTGATCAGACCAGTTTTTTTCCCAAGGGCATGCACTTGAGGTCTACATTTTGATTTCCAGGAATAACTTTTTGGTTTCTCTGCACTCCTTTTATTAGTTGATGCAGTCATTTGGTAATGTTTCCTTCTGTATTTATGTTGACACGTAGAGTATTTGGACTTGAACGGTAGCAGAATTAGAAGAGTTCAGCAATTATCCATGTTTCAATATCCTTAAAGCCACTTAACGAAATCATTAATTGCATGGACGCCGCAGTTCTTAAATTATCTCAAATTCCACAGGCATAAGTTAGCAGGCAAGTCTCCCCGTTCCAGATAAGTACTGTAACGTGTCAGAATAGGTTGAGTGAAAAATTATCTACAGTTGTAGTGTTGGGCTTAAAAATAGTACCTCCAAACCAGACCAAAGACATGGCAATGAACGCTTGAAGCAAGCTGAAAACTACATGGAATGAAGACCTAGCGTAAAAACAACCTGTTTTGGCTTGAAAGTAACTGCATGGCCTTGGCTGAGTAGGAGACAGAATATTGTGTAGTTAACAAGGAGCTAATTGGAGATGTTTATCCACTTCTTTTGTGTACAAAAGAATGCCTGGAAAAGTACTGGAAAATGGTGATACAGCACGTAACATTAGATTCAGATCAGTATTAATAACTGGGTCTTTAGCCCACTCATTGGACGTCCACCACTGGACTGGGGTTCACGAGACCAGAGCCATGGAATCTGATATAGAGCTCCAAGTCCTGTCATTACCAAAGGTCCCAGTGAACCAGGAAAGGCAGCATGAGACTCACTTGTTTAACATTTATCTCATTAGTTTAACCCAATAAATTAGGTATATGTTGACGTGCACATGTCTTCTTGTTACCATTTTGATCAGTCCTTAAAGAACCTTTTAGGTACTTTCAGCCTAACAATATAACAGTAGGGTCTGAGACGCAAGTATTCCTGGATGATACGTTGGTTATGGAATGTTGTTGAAGACATAGTCTTTCCTCAAATAGCGTCAAGGAATTCTTACATAACCTGAGATGGGAAACAGGACATCTGTTTGACGTATCATCTGAAAGACTGCAGCACGTATACTGGACTGGACTGTCAGCTTGTTTTATCCTTAAGTGTTGTATGTGTGAATAGAACCCTTAATCTTCTGAATCAAAATGAGAGCAATGCTGTTGAGCCATGGCTGATGTAAATCGTCTAATGGATGGAAGCAGTTTAAGAAATGAATTTTTGTTTTTTTCTTGAAATGTTCCAGTTCATTCATCTTTTGTGGTTGTGTTTTTCAGGGTGGATTTGCTTGTGGTCTGTCTCAGAAACCAGTGCAGGTCCTCTATGGACATGATGACACAGTCACGTGTGTGGCCATCAGTACTGAGCTTGACATGGCGGTATCAGGGTCTAAGGTGAATCTTCCAAAATGTAGATGATTGGGAGCAGGGAAAGATTATTAATTGGGCTACTGTAATTTAGTACTTCGATGTTAAAGCTGAGCAGGATCAGTCTGCTACCAACAACTGAAGGCTGAGACCTTGAGGTGGTTTGTGTTGGGCTGAAGGCAGAAATATTGAAGCCGATGAAAACAGTGATAGCAGCCTTGAGGGAGAAATGAAGCAGAAGAATGATGAATGCAGGAAAACATGGCTAACATGTTCACATAATTTATACCTGGTTGATTAAGAAAAATATCCTCAGGGCGCTATGACCACGGGGATATATGATTACACAAAGGAGGAGTTCATTTGATAAAAGTCACCCAATCTATCAAATCCATATGGCAGAGAAAATCCAGAGCCTAATAGAGAAGGAGGCGGTGTCCTAATAGTAATGTCACTCGACTGACATCCCAGATTAATATTCTGGGGACATGGCTTTGAATTTCACCAAGGTAAATGGTGAAATTTGAATTCAATAAAAACACATCTGGAATCAAAAGCATTGTCAACTTTCATAAAAATGTTCTTTAGGAAAGAAAATCTGCCATCCTTGCCTGGTCACGTGACTGAACCCACAGCAATGTGGTTGGCTGTGAAATAGCCTAGCGAGCTATTCAGTTCAAGGGCAATTATGAATGCACAATAAATGATGCCCATATCCCATTAATATTTTTTAAAGACTGGCAAATACAGAAGCTTGAGACAGAAGTTCAAAAGCAGCAAGATAATTTGCATGCTTTTCCATCCGACTAATAAGGGAAGTATAAAGGCCACGTTGGACTGAGTTTGTTGTTCTGGTTTACAGGTAGTTTAATTAATTTGTTCTGACTTTAAAGCAATTAAAGTTGTTTCACAACAGAACTACTTTGCCAGTCCGTCCCCATTATTGTTAAGGAGTTCAGGGCCTCTCAATAACACCGCTGTTGTAACGTTGGGCTACCTGAAAGACAATTTGCACAAAAAGCTCCCACAAAGAATAATGTGATAATAGCCAACATATCTGCTTTTATAATATCGATTTAAGGGATAAATATAGATACAGAAGGAAAACTGCCCCCTTTTCTTTAAAATAGTGCCATGGAATCTTTTAGGTCGATCCTGACATACATCATCCAAAAGATGATTTCTCCAGTGGTGCACCATTCCAGGGATTAAGTTCAAAATGTTAGGCTGACACTGATGGAGATGATTTTTGAACCCAAAACTTCTAACTTGGGAGCACTAGTACCACCAACTAGTATATCTGATTGCGACTTGAGACCAGAAATTTCCACATTCGGTTGCAGTTTGGGATACATCTTATCTGTGACAGCAATAGTGGGTGCTGCACCCTGATTCTCATTTGTTTGTGCTCTAGTGTTGGTTTGATGGTGGGCTGTAGTGAACAATTCAATGGACTGAATAGCCTCTTGTTAAATTTTCTATTATTCTATGAACATTGTCACGTTCCTTGAGGAAGGTAATTACCAAATATTTTCACAATTCTTAAGCCTTTCTACTTTTACAGGATGGCACTGTCATTGTGCATACAGTTCGACGAGGTCAATTCATGCGGACCCTACGAATGCCCTGTGAAAGCACGCTGCCCATGACCATTGATGACCTTGTCATTGGATGTGAGGGTCAGATTGTTATTCACAGCAGTATAGAAAGCAGAGCATCATCAAAGGTAACAACACAACTCAAAATGGCAGAAGGATTAGAGGAGTTGAAAAGAAGTTTTTTCACTCGGGATGGGGGGAATCCAGAACATACTGTCTTAAAAGAGTGGCAAAGGCAGAAACTCTAATCGCATTTTTAAAAATTACTTAGAAATGCACCTGATGTGCAGTACCCTGCAAGGCTGCAGATCAAGATTTACAAAATGGAATTAGACTGGATAGTTCATTTTTGGCTTGGCATAATTCAATGGATTGAATAGCCTCTTGTCTTAACCTTTGTCTTGTTCCTTGGGGAAAGTAATGAAGAATCATGTGAGTGACAAGTGCATTGTGGCAATAGTCAGAGTTGAAATATTTTAGATTCAGTAGCCAAAGATACCTAAATAGTTAATGGCAACTCAATGGGCAGAATGGCCTACTTCTGCTTCTTTGTTTTATGGAATTATGCAGATGGGGATTGTCACCTGACAAGGAATAGTTAATTTACTTCATATCTAGGGGATGATAACTTCTAACCACTAAATATAGAACAGGTACATGTGATGTCAGAATCATATCCATCATGCAGCTCAAGGTCACATTTTAGTTTACTTCATGCTGAGGACTATGTGCTAGCCTTTCCAAACAATTGCATAGATAAAGGTGCATAGGATGCAGGCAAACTCTCTGATGCCTGTTCAGGAATGTCTGCAGACCAGGATCTTGTCACCTCAATTTTTTGTGACTGCTACCTCCACTTTGTTCTGGTCCCTGACTGCTTAGAATTGTTAATGCTTTTTCAAAGACATAGAATTAACACAGCATTGATTTTTCTAAGACTTCCATGCTATCCTAAAAAGTATGATTTATCAATGATTTACTCCAGGATATAACATAAGTTTGGACCAAGATAACTCAGTAATAGCTGTATTGGATGAATGAAACCGACAGCTTCACAGGATATCAGAAAATATGCATCATCTAACACTGCATCCTTGGGAGACACCATTTGTCTTACCCTACTAATTTGAATGCATATCCTCTATCCATACTCTCCATCATTTTCTTAATTATTTTGTACCTAAGCCAATAAGTTGCCTCCAGTTCTACGTGTTATCGGTTTTGACTTCAGAACCTTTTTGAATGTCTTCTGGACATCCAAATAAATGACATTCATCAATAATTAATTGCCATTTGATGTTATTGATACTTTTAATCAAATTGTTCAGACAAGTTACAGCATATGTTTGGGGCAGATGGGACATGAACCTGAACCTTGTGCCTACAGGTAAAGACAATATCACTGTTCTACAAAACATACATGTTATATCTTTCGGAAATTCAACATATTTGTTGGATGTGACTTACCTATTACAAACCAAAGCTTCCTTCGACCAATTCCAATTTGTCCAAATGCTTAGGTACCCCAGTCCTAGTAACAGATTATAGTAACTTCCCCACAAATGATGTTACACTAGATAGGAAATTATAGACCTACTAGTGTATCTTTTCAATTTTTCTTTCTATAGTGGAAAGTTATTGGCAGTTCTCCAATCAAAGGGTCAGTTCCTAAATTGAAAGGACATTGAAAGATCATTAATCATTCATCAACAATTTCTTTTCATTTTAACATTCTAGAGTAGACACCATTGAGTTCTGAAGAGTTATCTACTCTTACTCTGATTAGTTACCCTATTATAAACATAATTATTGAACTAATGGGTTCATCCCTGTGATTTTTTTTCTCTCTTCGTATCTCTGGTCCTTTACCATTATCTCCATGTGTGAAGGATGTGTGATAGGTTGACCGTACAGTGGTTTGAATCACAGAAAATGTCAGGTTTCGCATTAGCTGTGAGGCGAGAAACAGTTAACATTTCCGATCAATAACCTTTCCTCAGAACTTCAATTAACTGTTAGTTAAAGGGATATTTAAGAAATCTTTCTATGCTATTAATATCCCCTATCTCCCTTTACTTAAGCTCAATTCAGTCAATTATTTCATTGTTTAAATCTAGGATAAGATGTTCTTACATCTATATTCCGTGAATGGCAAACACCTGGCCTCTGTGCCCATGGATGAGCAGGTGTCTGCAATGTGTATCGTTGAGGAGTTTGTGGTACTGGGTACCGAGCAGTGCTCGCTGCAGATCCGGGACCTGCAGAGGTAAAGTTCACATTGTTATATTTGACACAAAAGACAGATACAGTGCTATTGAAATTTGGGGGAGATTGATTGTCTTCAACACCATAAACTCAAATAAATGTATGCATTTGAAACAAAAATTTGCTTTAAGTGATTCAATGCATAAATGGGTGGTTTTGAACCACATAAGATGAAGTTGGATGAGTCAGTGCAAAAGCTGGGTAATGCTAATAGTGTGGAGTGGATTTGGCTGTGTCTAACCCATGCTGTCATTGCCCTGAGTGTTTGATGGGAAAGTATAATTGGAGCTTAACTCTGTATTTATAACCTATTAAAAAAAAAATCAATTATTTTGCACTGTTCTCAATCTGATGAATATCCTGAATATTTTGGTCACAACAAGAGCATTGTGTTACTGATTCTGTTGCAGGGGACTCTCACCTTTTCATGGATCTTAAGGATTTGGTGCCAGATTTTCTTGGCTCTGCTTTTGGTAATTGTATGGAGCAGATAGATAAGTAAATCTGACAGCAGCACCAACACAATGGTAAAGTCCTGCTGTACCCAAAATCAGAGCAGAGAGTAGGAATAAGTGGGCATTTCGCAGACTGGTGACAAGTTGAAAGTGAGGGCTGCCCACCGGGATCCGTGTTAGGATCCTTGCTTTTTCTGATTCATCTAAACAATTAGGTGGGTGTTAAGGGAAAATCTCTGAATATGCAGATGATACTAAGCTAGGGAGAATAGTGAATTGTGCAGATGATGCTGACTGACTTCACAGGAACACTCTCAAATTGGCCAAATGGGCAGACACCTGGCAGATGAATTTAAGTGCAGACAAATGTGAGGTAATGCATTTTGGTAGAAGAAGTATGGAGAGACTCAATGTTGCAATAAACAAACAGAGGGACCTTGGGTTCAAATGCATAATTCTCTGAGGTTGGCCAGGTGAGTTGAATCAATGGTTAAGAAGGCATATGGGATCCTCTGGTTTTTAAATAGGCTGAGAGTATAAAAGCAAGGAAGTGATGCTACAACTTTACAAATCATTGGCCAGACCACATTTGGAGTATTACATTCAGTTCTGGGCATTATAATTTGAGGAAGGATGTTAAAGCCCTGAAGAGATTTATTAGAATGATACAGGAATGAGGAATTTTACATACAAAGAAAAATGGGAGAAATTGGGCTCATTCTCCTTGGATTGCAAAAGGTTAAGAGGTGAACCTTACTGAGGTGTTCAAAATCATGAACAAGTTTGACAAGGTAGAGCAGGATATTCTGTTTCCAGTAGTTGATATGTCAGTAACTAGGGGTCACAATTTCAAGTTTGTCAGCAAGACAGCTAGGACTGAGATCAGGAAAAAATTTCCTTACGCAGAGAGTTGTTAGGATTTGGAATGTGCTGCCTGGCGAAGTGGTGGAGATGAATTTCATAGGACGTTACAGAAGAAACCTAGATATCTATTTGAAAATGATTAATTTTGTGGGCTCCGGAGATAAGGTTGGAAAATGGGACTAGCTGGGTAGCTTTCTCAGCAGTGGGACAGACATGTTGGATTGAATAGTCTCCTTCTGTATTGTAAAATTCTATGAATAATGCATTAACCTTAAGACCTCTATGTCACAGATTTATTAGAATAAAACCAAGATTTAAAGTGTTACTGTACGAGTACAAGTTGCCTTAATATGGCTGTATTCCCTGTTTAAAAGTTTGACCGTGATATAATCAAGGTGTAAGTATGATTGACACAGAAACTTTTCTGGTGGGGGAATGAGAAGAGAGGGAACAATATTTGGAACTATACAATTTAGGAAATCAGGAGTCACTTTTTCTCACAGACTAATGGAAATCAATAATTTTCGCCCTCAAAGCTTGTAGATGCTGAGTCAATTTAACTTCTTCAAATTGAGTGTGATAGACTATTGTAGATTGTTGACAGTCTGATGGTAATGACGTATGTGTCAGAGAAGTTGTCTTTGTTAATGTCTGTCATGTTATTTCGTTGCTTTTTTTCTCTAGTTTGAAGAATGCAATGGAGCAAATGGTCATGAAGGTTCCCATTCACTGTGTCTCCGTTACCAAAGATAACAGCCATATTCTAGTTGGATTGAATGATGGAAAACTAATTGTAGTAGCTTCGGGAAAACCCTCTGAGGTAAATCACAGTCAGAAAGGCACAAGACGCTTGGTGGTATGACAGAAATTACACATTATTTTTATAACACTTTAATGAATTAAATCATTTGATGATGCTTCATTGATGTGTAAAGATTAATATTGAGCCAAATAACTTACAAGGGAATGTTAAGTTCAAAGAAAGGCCAAAACATCTCAGCTCAGAGAATTGAGTACATAATCTTGACTAATTTGTGGTGTATTACTAAAGGAGCCCTGCAGTAAAAGTAATACCATTCCATCAGTTGGGATATTAGTATGTTGTAGAAATTTCGAAGAGCAGTCACACCACCAGTGCTACCACAACAAAATAAAGGCCACTCGCCTAATTTTCAGTACATGGAATCTTCCTGTGTACGAATTGGCCACTCACTGTATTAGGCTATTAAAAAAGTATATTTGCACCTCAGGTAATCAATTGGCTGAGACACACTTTGGGATGACCTGTGGGAGTGATTTGTAAATCTAAGCTGCTCCTTATGTATTGAGTAGTTACAAGTGACTGATCTACTTGGTCAAAATATTATTCATTTATGTCATTGGAACCTGAGTTTGAATGGAACTCAGACCCAGGCCAGTACAGCAAAAACTTCACCCAGCAAAGTCTGCATTGGCTTTTTCAAAAAGCATTACAGATGGTCCTACTCTTCCATAGTATCTCCAAATCCCTGAAATTTTCACTTCCTTCAAATAGTTAATTGGTGCTGTCCCACTGTCACATTCCACTTCACACAGCAGCCGTGCCTCGTAGTGTAGCGCATGTTCCCTGGTGCTGCTCTCCCCTGAAAAACTGTGAATGCCTGGTCACTTGAAATTTTCATAACTTAGATCAAAAATTTCTTTTGTATCAAAGGATAAAGGAAAGAAAAAAGTAAGGAAAAAAAGTAAGCAAAAGTACTGTAGCCAGATTTGCACAAAAATAGGCAGAAAAGCAAGTTTTGGGAGGATACATACAGTTTACAGAGAGAGATTGATAGGTTATGTAACCAGGCAAAAAGTTGGCAGATGGAGTATAATGTGGGAAAATGCTCATTTTGGAAGGGAGAATTTAAAAAAAAGTATTATTTAAATGGGGAAAAACTGCAGAAGGCCAGAATACAGACACACTTGGGCATTTTTGTGCATGAAACACAGAAAGCCAGCATAGGTGCAACAGGTAATCGGGAAGGCTAATGGAATGCTTGCCCTTATTTCAAGGGGTTTGAAGTATGAGAAACTGGAAGTATTACTACAAATGTACAAGGTGCTGGTGAGACCATATCCGGAGTACTGAGCAGTTTTTGTCCCCGTATTTAGAGAAAGGGTTCATTTCATGGGTGGCAGTTCAGAGAAGGCTCACTAGGGTGATCCCTAGTGTGGGGGAATTGTCTTATGAACAAAGGTTACTCAGGTTGGAATTCTACTCATTGGAATTCAGAAGAGTGAAAGGTGATTTTTAAGGGGCTTGACAGGGTAAAAGTTGAGAGGATGTTTCCCTTCATGGGAGATTCTAGGACCAGAGGGCATAATTTCAGAATTAAAGGGATATAATAATATCTTTCTTGCAGTTTGCCTTTCCACCTATTTTCGTATTGTGTGCAAATTTGGCTACAATACATTCAGTTCCTTTCTCCAAGTCATTTATTCCTGATTCCTTGATATAAAAGAAATTTTTATTCTAAGTTCTGAAAGGTTAAGACTGAGGTGAGGAGGAGTTTCTTCTCTAAGGATCGACCGTCTTTGGAACTCATTGAAACAGAGCTCTCAGGGTCCTTGTGCCTATTTAAGGCTGAATTAGATGATTGATAGAAGGAGAATCGAAGGTTAGGAGGAGAGGGCGGGAAAGTGAACGTGAGGACTCTTGGATCAGCCATGATCCTATTGAATGGTGGAGCAGGCACAAAGGGTTAAATGGCTTACTGCTGTTCATATATATATATAAAAGAGAAGCAGATAAATTGATTTGAGGTGCTGATTAGTCATGATGGTAATTAGAAAGTGGAAGTGTCCAAGGTTGCGCATCAGGAATTGTCACATAGCTAAGGTACTGAAGAGTTGCTGTGTCCATGTGGCCACAACTTAACAACATTCAGGAGTGGAATGGTGTGGCACGGTGGCGCAGTGGTTAGCACTGCTGCTTCACAGTGCCATGGAACTGGGTTCGATTCCACCCTCGGGTGACCATATGGAGTTTGCACATTTTCCCCGTGTTTACATGGGTTTCCCCTGGGTGCTTTGGATTCCTCCCACAGTTCAAAGATTGTGCAGGTTAGGTGGATTGGTCATATTAAATTGCCCATAATGTCCAGGGATATGAACGTTAGGTAGATTAGCCATGGCAAATATAGGGTTACGGGGGTAGGGTAGAAGCTTGGTCTGGGTGGGACGCTGTTCAGAGGGTTGGTGTATACTTAATGGGCCCAATGGCCTGCTTCCACACTGTAGGGATTCTCTGAATGAAGAGCGAAATGGATGACTGATAACAGCATTTCTTAGTTTAATCTCTGTACTTGTTTCAGATGCGGTCAAGTCAGTTCGCTAGGCGGCTGTGGAGTTCCACCAGGCGTATTTCCCAAGTGTCATCTGGAGAAACTGAGTACAACAAGACTGACGCAAGCACAAAGTAGAACTCCTCTACAATTAGCCACATTCTACCAAGAATCCATCACTGTTACAATCTTCAAAAACAAACATTACAATTTATTTAACTTTTTTTTAAAAGATGAAAACTCAGCGAGACTAGCAGGCTGGAGAAGCAGAGGGCTGTGCTTCTTCATCCAGGTATGATGAGCTGCTTTCACCAACCAAAGCGCCTGTTCAGATCCAAAGGATTTAAAACATTGAATGTTTACAATGAATGTGGGAGAATGATTCGATGCCTTAATACTGCAAGGACTTTTTAAATTTTTTTTTAGACATTTGTTGATTTTTGACAACATTTTTCTTTCTGCACAGTGTGAACTTCCGGGTACATGTAGAATGTTGTAGTTATTATGAGGGTATGAAGATGTTAATAACTGAGTTTTGGAGGAGATTTTTTGCAGGGCTGGGATAATTTTTATCATTGCTCTGAATCTTCATCTTTTCAATCTTTGTGTCACTGTTACAAATTGGGTAAGTTAAAGATATAAGACATATTGGTAACGTTTAAAATATATGTACAAGATTGTTATCCGCTAAAACTTGATGCCATAGTAACAGCTGATATACAATTCATCTGCTAATAGTTAGTCTTTCATATCCATTTCCATACCTTATATTTCCCATAAATTCATTTACAGCACAGAGAAGGGATGTTTGGCCCATTTGAGTCAGTGTCAGCAGTTCAGTCAGTTCCATTACCTTGCCCTATCCCCATAACTCACCTATTCCAATTGCACTTCGACTTTCCTTTTGGAATAATTGATCATCACTACTTGTACCACCCTTATGGGCAGCTAGTTTCAGATCATTAGCATTGATTGTGTAATAAAAGCTCCTCTTCTTATTTCCCCTAGGTCTCTTGTAAAAACCTTAAATCTATATTCCCTCTTCTTTGTACCCATTAGCTGATGGCTCGTTTTTCTTGTCTACCTTATCCAAACTTGAATTAATTCTGTGCACCTCTATCAAATTTCTCCTCAATCTCCATCGCTTCAAGGAGAACAATTCCAGCAACCTTGTACCAAAATCTCTTGTACCTAAAATTTACTGTATCTGTTGGGCTGAGTTAATTGTGATACTGTTAGATCAAAGTCTTTGAAATCAGGAACATATTAAGATACCCCTCTCCAATTTATACAATTGTGTGTTGAAGTTTTTTGCTGGAAAAGGAACCAGTGAAATGATGATGCAATTATTACCAACTTAGTCTTCTCATAACAATAAGATTTTTAAGATCCTACCCTTCAGGTAGGAGCATCATTCCTTGGGATCACATGACAGGAGGTTGAATCTGTCATTTTCATTAGTTTGAAATTGCTTACTGAGCACTTGTAATCTACCATTGTGTTCCATTCACACCTGAAAATGTAGAGTTATCACCATTATCCTCTCAGTTAATTCTTCATGAATCACTATGTCAAGTAATAAGGCCCAGACAATTTAACAGGGTATTAAAAGAGAATTAGATAAATACTTGAACAGAAGATATTTATGAGCAGTAATTGGATTGCTGTATCAAACAGCTGATATATTGGCATAAAATGGGCTAAATGGCCAATCTATTGATGGACATGGCTGTAACAATGCCTTTCCCAACCTTGTCTCAAGGAGGCATGTCTTTTGTTCTATCTGATCTCCAACTTCTCTCTGTGATATCTTTTCCGATATTATTCCTAGTTTTAAGCATGACAATTCCTGTCCTTAAATCCTGCTAAGTTGCAATGCATCTTTTTCTCCCTTTCATTCAAAATCAAAATGCATGACACTGACTCCTACGTTTAACCTAATTTACTTGCCTCCAAGACTTTTGAACCATGGACGTCTTGATTTGCCATTCTTCCTGAAATCTGCATACTTTTGAACCCCAGCTTGCAATTACTGAATTGATGTTTTTTGATTTACTTGTCTTCCCTTCTACTATTCTCAATTTTACAGATAGTTTTAATAATAGAATATTAAGTTGAATCGGAATGTAACATTTTGTTTTAGTTCTCTTGAGCAATAGTTGAAGATGGGAGATTCAGGCAGGATTTCCTCTCCTGATCACTATAGAGCCAGTTGAAGTTGAGATTGAGGCCACTTGACAGGTTAAACAATGTCCTGATGCACACTGTCTGGCACAGATGTAATAAATGGACATTTGGGTGAAATTATAGTTATGAGTCCCTGGTACAGTACTATAACTTCGGGGGGGGGGGAAAAAAGGAAAGCTGATGGAAAATTAAAGAATGAATTTTAAAATTGCTATAGAGCATTTTCATATTTTATGTTTTATGTGTTGACTTGTTTGAAATTTGGGCTGTTGCTAAAATTGAAGTGGGAAACTATTACTAGATCGTTATTCTGGGCAAGCTCATCTTTTCATTTCTCACAAGAATGAGCTACTTAAATGGCACATTTTCATTCACTGGCCCCTTTCCCCTTCACCTTATCCCTCGTGATTGACAAATATTATCTGTTTAATGATGATATATAAACTGCTGATATTTGATTCCTGATATTTATTTATGGCTGAGGTGGTTGTTTAATCAGGAAACTCACTTCTTCTCATCTCAGTACCCTATAAATACCATTCTTTAAAATTCATCAAGCATTCAATTTTTTTTTCCACTGTTAAAGGATTTTTGGGCCCCGTTATATGAGTTTTAAGGCATATTTTGAATTTAATGGATTTTTAAAAGTGATTTTAGTATATACTACTTTAGTTTAGTAATTAGCTCCATGGGAAAATAACTATAATTTAGTTACAGGTATTATACAGTAGTACTTAATGAACCCACAATCTTCCATGCCTCAAAGGACAAGGGAAAATCACCAACAAAGCACATCACCTACAAACTCAACCCCAAATCGCACATTATTCTAACTTGGGACTGTTCCTTCATTGCTACTGGGTTGACATTCTGAGGTTTCTCACCTAACAGCATTTGGGGTGTGTCTATGCCGCATGGACTGCAATGATTCACAAAGGCAGCTCACCAGAATTCTAAGGCAAGAAAGAATTAGCAAAAAATGCCAACATAGGTTGGGACAATGTTTTAGACTTCTTGAAAACAGGCCGGGTATTTCATGTTTGCACTGGGACGTGGTTTTGGCCCAGCAAGAACAGACAATGTTTCATGATTTGATGTGGATGTTATATTTGCATTGGATAAAAAAAGTCGCTGTAACCAATGAAAACTTAACTTTTATACAAATTATTAAGTTATTCTGGAGACAGCACCTTTTCATGCTTTGGGTGCACCAGAGTTTGGGCCACATAGGCCACGGTTTTTAAATGAAGCCAAGCAGGTAGCTCCCAGTTTGGATAGTGGTGGAGACATGAAAATTGACCTTGACAGCTTTGGGTGGAGAGTGGGGTAAATCTGGGATGATTGCACCTCCTACCTTCAGTAATTCCTTTTGGAATTTCACTGGTGATTCATCGGTGATAAATAGAGCTCATGTTCTCTTTTTTCCTTAGATGACATATGGGTACTGTTGACATCTTGCATTAAATAGCTAACCCTAACCCTATTAACTGTCCAAACCTGCAGCTGGAAGGAAAGTCCTGATTTTTAGATATTGAATTTTCATCATAGTGAATCTACAAACATCACTTGTTCCCAATGTTTCAATTTTTAAATTAAGCCAGCATTCATTTCTGGTAAATGCTTAATAAACATTCCCTACAAGACTCTCATCACAATCAGAGATAAACCTGTTCACCATCTAAATTTATCATTGTTGTTAGACCCCACAGAGCAGCGGCAACAATATTATATTTAGACTTACAAACGTGTGTGGTGATATGAGGTTATTATTGTCCCAAATGGTATAATAAATTACTTTCTGGCTCCAATATGATAGGATGCAACCAAAGGTTATAACATAATCATTCCAATAAATTCCATGTGCGTTCTTAATTTTCCTTTCTTCCAACTTGTGGCACCTCCCACCCACTCTGCCACTGCATGTGCCACCAACTGAGTGTCAATAGCACTCAGTTTCTAGAGCATCCACTTATCTTAAGGGACTGGGAATGCTTGGCAAATTTGAGACTTGAGAGGAAGCATCATAAAAATATTAAGCTGCCTGCTTGCAGAGTTGAGGGCCCTGGCATCTCCTGATCTCAAACTAATTTGTGGTCTTTCCTCCAAACTCCTAGCAATGATTTTTAGAATTGTGCCCAATAAGTCTCTGCAATTTTTGAGTCTCACATTGGATGTTGACTGAGAGCAGACACTGGACCCAGTGATCCTAAATTAAGAGCACTTTTGGACTTGTTTACTTCTTCCATTTAGGACCCTGTTTCAACAAAAATTGAATCAAGGAGAAGGGACCGTAAAACAGATTTTCAATATTTAGTTGATATCTACTCCATATTGCCAGAATATGCACACTTGTTGTCATTATCTTGAAATTTGACACTGATGTTGCCTTATTTTCTGCTAGCAGGCTGAATACTTTCTTTTTGTAAAACATTTCATGTGTATGTGAATTAATATACTTTGGCTTGTTGGAGAAGGCAACTAAATTTTATTTAAATTTGTTGGACATCGACTTGAGTACTGTGATTTGTAAAAGAAATGTTGATACTTTGTGAACATGTGATTGTGAAGATTTTTTGAAGAGGTTTTGAAAATGGAAAGTGGATATATTTTCAAGTTTGGTGTTTTGCACTATGCACATTAGACCATCACAGACACAGCTATGGGTATTGTTTCTATCAGCAATTTTAAAAAAAAATTAGGTAAAGTTATAAAGCCAGTAGTCACTGCTTGGATTTGAAGCTTTTCTTTTTAAGAAAACAACAGCTGCCTTTGTGTTTATTCCACTGCCTGATTGGAGAATAGGTGTTTCGATGAGTACATTCCATAGACATTGAATTTAAATTCAATGCATTTATGTGTACAGGTACATGTGTTTCCCCTTTTTCTGTTTGTCTGTGCGTGCGTGCGTGCGTGTGCGTGTGTGTGCGTGCGAGTGTGTGTATATGCGCGTGCACATTATGTTACAGGGAAAATGCCTTCAGTGTAAAAATAAATCTTGTGGCCTTTTTTTTTGATCTGTTTGTCCACTTACTGTTTGTGGTGTATGTGACTTGAACTTTTGCTTTCAAAAACACTGAAAATGGAAAATGTTTTATAAATACATATATTTAAAAATATCATGCTTTGATTTTTGTTTGTGCACACATTGAATCACCCTACTGAAATTTAAGTCATATGCTTTTTGAGAAAATCATAAATCATAGGATCCCTACAGTATGGAGGCAGACCATTCGGCCTATTGAGTCCACACTGCCCCTCTGAAGATCATCCCACCCAGACCCACTCCCCTACCTGTCCCCATAACCCTGCATTCTCCCACGGCTAATCCATCTAGGCTGCACATCCCTGGACACTATGGGCAGTTTAGCATAGCCGATTCGCGTAACCTGCACAGATTTCTATAGTTGCCAAATCTTACTTCCATTTTCTTTTTTCAGTTTCTAATTTTGGGGTTTTTGTTTCTCCTTGATTCTTTGCGATTTCTGGATCCTTCTGTCTCAATTCCTTCCAGTTTTTTTGAAGCATGGTAACATGCAGAATAAAATACTGCAGCTTTCTATCAAACAGTCTAATCTGAGAGAGTGCTGCCTGAAGCACAGTCTAGTAAGATAGATCTGGCATACAGTGGTTATGTGACTAAACTGATCAAAGAACAAAGAAAATTACAGCACAGGAACAGGCCCTTCGGCCCTCCAAGCCTGTGCCGATCCAGATCCTCTATCTAAACCTGTCGCCTATTTTCCAAGGATCTGTATCCCTGTGCTCCCTGCCCATTCATGTATCTGTCTAGATACATCTTAAATGATGCTATCGTGCCTGCCTCTACCACCTCCGCTGGCAATGCGTTCCAGGCACCCACCACCGTCTTCGTAAAGAACTTCCCACGCATATCTCCCTTAAACTTTTCCCCCCTCACCTTGAAATCGTGACCCCTAGTAATTGAGTCCCCCATTATGGGGGAAAAAGCTTCTTGCTATCCACCCTGTCTATACCTCTCATGATTTTGTAGACCTCAATCAGGTCCCCCCTCAACCATTAGAAAATGTAAATAATCCTAATCTACTCAACCTCTCTTCATAGCTAGCGCCCTCCATACCAGGCAACATCTTGGTGAACCTCCTCTGCATCCTGTCCAAAGCATCCACATCCTTTTGGTAATATGGCGACCAGAACTGTACGCAGTATTCCAAATGTGGTCGAACCAAAGTCCTATACAACTGCAACATGACCTGCCAACTCTTGTACTCAATTGCCCGTCCAATGAATGAAAGCATGCCGTATGCCTTCTTGACCACTCTATCGACCTGCGTAGCGACCTTCTGAACACCCAGATCTCTCTGTGCATCAATTTTCCCCAGGGCTTTTCCATTTACCACATAGTTCGCTCTTGAATTGGATCTTCCAAAATGCATCACCTCGCATTTGCCTGGATTGAACTCCATCTGCCATTTCTCCGCCCAACTCTTCAATCTATCTCTATTCTGTTGCATTCTGCGACAGTCCCCTTCACTATCTGCTACTCCACCAATCGTAATGTCATCTGCAAACTTGCTAATCAGACCATCTATACCTTCCTCCAGATCATTCATGTATATCACAAACAACAGTGGTCCCAACACGGATCCCTGTGGAACACCACTGGTCACAGTTCTCCATTTTGAGAAACTTCCTTCCACTACAGCTCTGACTCCTGTTGCCCAGCCAGTTCTCTATCTATCTAGCTCGTACACCCTGAACTCCATGCAACTTCACTTTCTCCATCAGCCTACCATGGGGAAGCTTATCAAACGCCTTACTGAAGTCCATGTATATGACATCTACAGCCCTTCCCTCATCTATCAACTTTGTCACTTCCTCAAAGGATTCTATCAAGTTGGTAAGACATGACCTTCCCTGCACAAAACCATGCTGCCTATCACTAATAAGCCAATTTTCTTCCAAATGTAAATAGATCCTATCCCTCAGTATCTTCTCCAGCAGCTTCCCCATCACTGACGTCAGGCTCACCGGTCTATAATTACCTGGATTATCCTTGCTACCCTTCTCAAACAAGGGGACAACATTAGCAATTCTCCAGTCCTCCGGGACCTCACCTGTGCTCAAGGATGCCGCAAAGATATCT